ATAGGGGGGGGAGGGGGGGGGGGCCGGCAGCTCGGATTTGCGTTCCTGCTATCATGACACAACAGCAGCCTCTAACAGGAACGAAGTAGGTAGCGTTTCCTACGTTCAAGACAGGGAGCGGCCGCTATGTGATGGGAAACAAGCCCACTGCGGGGGTGATCAAGCGGCAGGGAGGGCCATATTCATTGCGAACGTCGTAAACGTTCTGCAGCTTCTCCAGTAATCAACGGGCGGAGAAATTGAAATGGATGCTGGGAGGGAGGGGGGGGGGGTTGCGCAGGACACGTTTTTTCGTGTTCCTTTTCGTCCCATCTTCTCTTTTAGGCGGCAGTCTACGCCTTTTCGTGTACGTTTCACGGGACGGACCAGCCGGGGTCACAAGGGGTAACCATTACCATTCCAATCCTTCTCCGAGGCGTGACATGTTGCCACCTATCGGGGTATCCGACGGCGCTAAACATTTCAAACACCGAGACTACAAGAACAAAAACATGCTGAAGAGGCAAACTAAATTATTCTTCCAACATGGTTGATACATTAACATTTCCTTCCCGCCGGTCCGTATACAAAACGATTGTCCCACACATCACCACAAAAGAACACACATCACGCTCAACGGAAGAGAGGGGAGGCAACACAAACGTCGGGACCACTAGCCTCAATTTCCCGTCGGCGGCCGGCGGGAAACTCCGAAACACTCCAAAAATCATTGCGAAAAAAATCGTTGTCCCTACGGTACATCAAAGAACCGTCATTCGAGGTTCCCAATTTATAACCACGGGGGCGACGGGTAGAGGAGAGAAGAGAGACAGCAGTGCCGGCAGTAAAATTAACTACCCACTTCTTATTATTAATTATGACAGGTACGCAAGAGCACCGGAGGTCTCACTTCGGCTCGTGCTGCTCATGATCTCCCAACACGATCTGCTTTTTTTTTCGAAATCTCGATATAATCTCGTGTGCCTGTACTGTAAACGTCACCACGGCTGCGCTGCGGTACCCCGTTTTGCGCATGAAGCTGCTTTATCGATTGTGCGTGTAACTAGTACACTATGTACTGGAAGTCGCTTCGTCATCTTTCATCTGCGAACCAAACTTTGGCGACGGGAAAAATTACAAAAAAAAAAAAATACTTGGGGGGGATGCGCACAACATCAAGTAGCTGCTTGGATAAAGCACTCAATGGCCCGCTCTAGGCCTGTGCTCCGTAGGTGACTTTTTTTTTTTTTTTTCGGTGATTTTTTCCGATTACCAAAAAAAAAATCGGTGATTATTCTAGCTGCACGAAAACGTTTTTCGGTGAAAATCGGCGACAAAACAAAAAAAAAGGTGAGAACCATACAAAACTTTTTCGGTGATTTTCGGTGATAAATTGAAGTAATATTGGGGTGAGCTGCCGAAAAACGTTCTTCGGAGATTTTCGGCGATGTTTCGAAGGATCGTAGTAAGTAACGTCAAATATTAAGCAAAAATAAAAACGTTGTACGAACTCTGGTGGTTCTTTTTGTACGTATGTATCTCATCGTCGACTCATCAGAACACCGATAGATGCCCTCCGGCATGATTCAACTGCTGACTACCTACCGACCTGGTACACAGGCACGCACTACGCACCACGCACTACAGCTACAGATCAGCCAGAGCCCGGCTCGCCCAACAACGTAGACAATAAACCAAGAAGCTCCATCACAGGTCACCGTCGCCATCCTCCGGGGCATCCTCACTCCCTTGCCTCAGCCCTCTGCTACTTCCCCTTCCCCTATTGTACTTCAGTAGTGCGGAAGCGCATATGCGGTCGCTGTACACCGACTCTTGACGTTCACTAAAGCAACACCGCAAGATGGAAAAAACGCGTTCCATGAATGCTGACGACGGCTGCAGAAGAACAATATCCAACACCAACTCGTGCCACGTAGGGAGTTGTCTCTTGTTGTTGCTCCAAAAAGTCATGTTGTCGTAGTCAGCGTCGGTGTCGGTGGCGGCGACGTAGAAGTCGTTCTTCTCCTTCAAAAGTCCGTCCACCATGTCATCGCCGACAAAGGGGAATACCGAGAGGCTGCGGATCTCGTCATTGGAGTACTTGTGAGTCTTCATGTACGTGAAGTCCACGAGCTTTGCGGCTTTGAAGAGCTTCATTGTTTCAGCCAGCTTCGCCTCAGAGTGGCTGCCGATCCTCTCGTGTGCGTACGCGCGGGGACGGCCAGGCGCGGGGACGCTAGAAGCACCGGCTCCATTGCGACGCTCACTGTCACCTTGGGCGGCCAAGGTGCTACGAACGGCAGCACGGGCTCTGACACGATGATAGCTAGCAACCCAAACAGCCGCTGAAGATCGTGGGACACCAGCAGTAGCAGCCGCCGCTGGAGCCACCGCCGCCGCTGGAGCCGCCGCCGCCGCCGGAGCCGCCGCCGCCGCCGCTCCAGCGGCGGGACTGTCACCAACAGCAGACGGCAGGCGGAGACGGCGCTCGGGAGCACGGGACGCGGGTGTCGAGCGGGAGATAACCTCACAATCTTCAGCAGTTGCTCCAGCAACGGCAAGGGGTTGGGCATTGGCACTGCCGCCGACAGCAGAAGAAGGCCGACGGCGCTTGGGAGCAGGGGAAGTGGCTGTCGAGGAGGAGAGAAGCTCACATTCGGAATCTTCGCCATCACTACTGCTGGAGTACAGCCCTATTCCGAGGAGACCGCTTATCTATACCACAAGTGTGTCCGTACCGTTTACCGTGGGTGGTGTCTGCAGCGCGGTGCTTGGGTTGCGTGCGCTGTGTGCTGTGTGCTGTGTGCTCTGCTGCTGTGCTGCTGCGCTTGAGGGGGGGTATCTGATGGGATTTAGGGGGTATAGCCTGTATACACGGAGCCCCCTAAAAAAAAACGGTGAAAATCGGTGGGCGCCGGCAACAATCAGTGAGGCACCGCCCGTTTTCGGTGATCGGCCACTTTTTTTTTCGGTGATTCAAAATCCTCACTTTTTTCGGTGACCTTTTCAAAATTCGGTGATTTTCGGTGATCACCTACGGAGCACAGGCCTAGCCCGCTCAATGGCAGTGCGGCGGTACCGCCGCAAGTGGAGGATTGCGGGAAGAGGGCAGTGGAAACATTCGACAGCAGGGAAAGCGTTGCTCGTACCCGTTTTTCTTCTCCTGTCATCGGTTCCAGCTTCCTGATCATCTCCGCCACTGTTGGCAGCAGGCGACACTCCTCCTCCTGCCTCTGGCGCACCGCGGTCAAACCTTGGAGTCGTTGACAGCTCGCCTGCTGTCTCATCATGATCGCGCTGTGATGATGAAAGGAGCTGTCGCTTTGAAGACGGAGTGCCCCCCGCGTCGTTCCTGCGGCGCTTGTGATCGAAGCTGGAGCTCCGATTGGTCGGGGAGAAATCGACTCTGTTCACCTCCGGATCCGAGGCGCCAGAGGAGGCGGGGCTTTGAGTAATCCTCTCATCGAGACGACGGCGATCGGGCTGATGTGAAGGCACCGCGGGGCCCGGGCGGCGATGTCGCTCTTCATCCTCGGGACTAGCCGGCGACTCCCAGCCCGCCTCCTGGTACTCTCTCGCCGCGGTATCTAACAGGCCTTGTAGCCCGCCCGCGGGTCTGCTCCTCATCGCTGTTGGGACAGCATTTGCGGACGTGGGACAGCTATTGCGACACCTAATGTAGAATACTCACCATGGTCTCATCAACCCTGCTGCTGGCTGCTGCTGGCTGGCTGTCTTGAAATTGTTGTTCCGGAGGGGGTGACGCGGAATCGTTCCGGGTCACACACCTGCAGTTCACTCAATGTAACGTCCACATTTATTTGCGAATCGGGTCGGTAAATCCGACGAAATTCACTTGTTTTGTTTGGATCTGAGAACTACTGTACCCCCGCCTGGGAGAGAGAGAGAGAGAGAGAGAGAGAGAGAGAGGAACGATATGTGCAACTGCCGTACCTAAATTTGTCCCGATATCCACAGTATTATATTCTGGAATCTGGAGATAGATATGTCTATCTATGCATCTTGTAGTACAAAGTACTTCTTGGGTTGTAAGAGAGTCGACCTTGAGAGCGAAATACCAACCGCACGCACGTACCGTATATGATCGTAAGTTTCACCGTCTTTGTCTTCGTCAACACCCGTGACCGACACAATACGTTTCTCTCCCTGTGGCAAGGAGACGCCCGCATCCCATCCGTGCTGGTGTTGTACCTGGGATCGTCAAGCACACATGATCCATGACGACATTCGCACCGCGAGGAATATTTTCATTCGAAAAGCTTGCTCTCAAGTTCCTGGGGTCGTCCATCGTGCATCATGATGGGCATCACAAGCTCGCCGACATTCATGATTGAAGATACCCGGCTTCGAGACTACCGCTACATTCGTGAGGGTCTTTTGAGACGGGGCTGGCAACAGGTAACACTTCCTCCCCGGCGTCACCGACGAGAAGGCTTGTCAAGATCAAACCTACAATGCTTAGACCAACACTCGTGTTGGGTACGCCACAGAGGCACCATGGGGGTGGCCTCTGAAGGCCAAAAGGACGTCGTATGCCCTGATTTGATTTGGACGCTGAACTCTGGGCGCTCACCCGGGTTAGACAAGCTAGGCCCGCAGCAGGCCACCAATTTCTTCGGGACCGGTTCGTCGTGTCTTACTACGAAGGTCAGCAGTCTGTTGTCTACTGAATGCCTGACAGCAGAACGTATTGTTCACGTGTGGTCTACAATCAATAGATAGATGAGACGACACAAATTCACACAATGAATGATGCACCAAACATGTGTCTGACCTGCCGATTGACTGCACAGGCATGGGATTGTCAACAACTATCTGTGTAGACTACAGGAAGACCGTTTTTCACGACTAATTAATTGCGGTGTTCACCGAGTACAACCTGTGAGCTGCGGCAACAGACACTACAGGCGGGAGGGTTCTAGGTTGGTCGTGATAGACTAGTTTTTTTCTTTCTCGGTACAATAAATGAAACCTCGTGGTGTGTAGAGGCCAACTCAAGATGATGTCTGGTTGCAATTTGTGGTGATTGTCTTTCTAGGCGGGCCTTTGCCATACTCTACGAAGCCCTCGAAACGGAAGTCCCACAGGAGGCGGAGAAACAGAATCGCCAAGTTCATTCTTCCCTCGATGCTTCGATCTCGGTGACTCGTCAACACTGGACGAATTCAAGCAAAATTACCGACAGACGGCGGCGGCAGCAGTGCTTAAGGCAGGTGCCTGTTTGATGATATTCATTGCCAGATAACGCAACGTGGCTGCACACGGTGGGGTGGAAGTATTTCCTGTGCAAGTTACGCATGTCATGGGTCTTCCGGCAAAATCATCTGCAGGAGAAGAACCATACTGAGCCATGCTGTGGCGGATACAGCTAGCTGACGTTTGTGGACTACGGCGCGGCCGCCATACCTTCAACCCAACGGCAGGTGTTCTGCAGATTGCTAGAGGAATCGCCAATGCACACATGGAAAGGACCTGCTGCCAGCAAGCCTTCTGACTGTGTTATTGCCCAAGCTGACTCAACCTGCCCCTCAGTGGGTAAACGAGGCGTTGGAGGATGCTTTGGAGATGTGCACCCTTGGATACTGGCTCTCGCTGTTAGAGCTTGCCGCCGTCGCTTGCTCGAGATGTCGGGCTGGCGGGAAGATGACAACGGTAACCAGTTGCCAAGTTAATCCCACCACAAACACAACCATTTCTTTTTTTGCTCTATATAGGCTAACCCGTAGGTCACCATCGACATTTTTGTTATCCCCCGTTGCCCCGTATTTCATTCAATGAAGTCAATGGCGCAACCTCGGGTCGTACTCCTGGAGGTATCTGACGTCTTACCACAAATTATGGGGTATTCCGTAAGTCAGCGTGACGCAACGTTTCAGATCACACAAACGATGTTTGCCCGCGGCGCTGGACACTCCTCCACTCCTTGCGCAAGTAATGGTGTGCCACGGTAGAAACATGCGATTTGTACGTGAGACGTGCCGGACCGTAGGTCACATCTTGCGTTAAACGGCTCTCACAGTGTTGGTCGCCACGACGTGTTGACGTTGGCGACCTCGAAAACGCATCGACTATTTCAACCTTAAGCAGGGACGCCGTCAAGTGCAAACGGAGCCGAGAGCCTTTCCAACCAAGAATGGCGATCACTCTTACTCTACAGCTACATCCTACGGAGAGTTGCGCATGGCCCGTCTGATACCGCGGCCGACATCGGCTTCACCACTGATAACTCCCGCTCAGCCCATGGAGTGAGTAACTCTGCGCGACCGGACTGGGACAAGCTAAAAGAACCAAGTCCGGACTGCGCCTACGTCGGTACCAACGCCTGTGGCGTTTCTCCTTCTGGAGTGGGGCTGAGGGGATTACAAGGTATTCGAGGCACGTCTGCGAGGACCATCTTTCGAAACACTGACGGCAAGATTGCGAGGAGACCGTCGTCTGCACCGGCGGGGCGACACGTTGACAACGCAGTCGCTGAGGGACGACATCGCTTCCCGATGCACCGGGAGACGGCCGCAACGGACGCGACGTTTTCAGCGGGACGTGGAATATGTCACCAGAGCTTACATCGCGCTGCACCTGGAGAATGGCCGCAACAAGAAACCGAGCATTTACGGAGAGGTTTGGTGAGTCGAGTGTCCTGACGAGATTATGAGCCGCACAGATAGACCGTGGTGCATGCAGCAGGATGCCCAGTTGCGGTAGACGTGGATATCTTCGCCAGACACACTGTGCGGTTCCCCCTTGCTTTTGGCCCCCTCCCTACCTTTTGAGTGTTGCGTAAATCGTAGCATTTTTTGTGCCCCCCATACATCGTGGGACCTGGCATACAGTGCGCACGTCGTGCGTTCGAGCCACTCCACGTTGATGATCATGGCCTCGTGATGCGGTTTCGACGACTCGCCTTCTAATTTGCCCTATTGTACTCGAACCGTACCCCGTGCAAAAACGTTGTCGAAGTTGAAAATATGGGGCGCCTCAGGGCTCGACAAGCCCACCTGCTGCACCTGCCCGCATGGCATACCTGAAGGTCGCGGTAGAACTTGTGGCTGTGTAAGACAGCGAGAAATAGAACTAGAAGCAGTCCAACTTTGCGCAGCGCTGGAGAGGAGGTGTCCTCAGTGGACCATGGATGGCGAGCGCAACCTGTGGATGATAAAGGTGAGTTGCAACACTTCATGTGACAATGGTGCAAAATCGTGGAGTGGACAAGTGTATATTTTGATGGTCCTCATGAGTGTGTTACGTTCACGTTGGTACGAAAGCAGCACTCCGAACTCTGCAACAACTTGGGACCCCAGCATGTCGATATGGCGAGGTCTCTCTTTGCCGAGCTTACGCTGCTCCAAGGGACCATAACACGGTGTAATTGTCCCGTTATCCCTTGTCCGGTTAACGTCCGTCGACCTATTAGCCCGCGGGTGCGTCGAGAGGCCAAGGTGTCCGGGTCGCATGGACCCTGGATCAGATCCTCTACGCACAGAAAACGATGGGAGGCAGGGTCGTCCAGAAGTACGTTGAAACGCCCTTGCTACTGCCTCGCCCTTCGCAACAAACAAGAACGCCCGGGGACTCTCGACACACTTACCTCCGCAGCAGTAGAGACACTCCTCGAGCGGGCAATGTTGGAAGTTGTGCGGGAGAACTGCGGTTGGGGGAGGAGAGTGACAAAGGGATGAGCAAGGCTGACGGCGTCGAAGCAATCGGAAGGGGCAAAATACAAATCTTGGCTTCCTTGGAGGCAGTCGATACCCAACCACTTTCTTCCAGCGGCGAAACAACCTCGCCACCACGCAGTCCCGAAGGACAGGGAGATGATACGAGCTACCACTCAAAACATCCTACAAATAACGTCGACACCAACTCGGGAGTCTTCGCAGAAGCGCGGAAGTTCGACATTCGGACATGGGTGCTGGTCACAGGGTGGAGTCCTCTGGAAGCGTTCGTGTTCGACGAATGCTACTTGCGTGTGTGTCCTCAGAGCTTTACGCTAGCCGAGTCGAGGCTCGGTGATCAAGGTGTTCACCTCACCAACCTCTCTGTGCGGCGGCCGGTCAAGACCTACGGTAGGCGACGGAGGCAAGGGCACACGCGACGGCCGTCCTCAGCATCGACAACAGGCCTTCGTGTCGTAAGCCACGGGGGCGGTGGTGCGCTCGCCCATCTCTCGGAAGACTTGCCGGCCCAGGGACCCGTTGGGCAACGACGAGATCCGCGGTCCAGGGACGAGTGGGATGCAGGAGAAGGCGTTGTGGGGACCCAGGCGGAACTCATCCAAACCCTTGGCGGGTTGATCGGACAGAGGCGTGTCGAGAAGTCGACGCGGAGCAGGGAGGAAGATGTACGAACGAGAGGGGAGCGACTGTGGAGAAACAAGGTTTCGCCGTCGATAGACAGGGTCATCGGAAGCACTCTCCTTGCTGCTCAGCCTTACGTGAGGCCAAGGGCCTCATCGTTCCAACTTTTCGGGTTTGACCTTCACCTGGACTGCGACTTGAACCCATGTGAGTGCTGGATTCTAATGGCACATTCGGGAGAAAGCAGAGATCGCAGATAAGTTCGCGATTGACCTATAGTCGAGTCAGATACTACTTGCTGTACACCTTGCTAAATACCGCTGGAACCCCGCTGGCTACTTGTTCAGGGCTCCTCGAGGTAAACCTTTCGCCGGCGCTGAGCCATACTTCCAAGCGGCAGAGCGCCATCATCCGTTCCATGTGCGAGGGGCTTCTGCGTCTTACGGTGGACCGTATGTTCCCGGCGCTGCAACCGCCCTCGTCGTGCGGTGGTGTTGATCCCGAAAGCAACGACTCCGACAGCCTGAAGCAAGCGGAAGACCAGCATTGCTCGGGAAAATGGAGACCAATATGTCCCTCGACTGTAGGGCACGAGTCTGTCGTTGACGTGGGTCAAAGCATAGGACGCCCGAGCGCCGAAGTACTGTCGTTGCGAGGCCAGCACCTCACGAAGAAAGGTCTGGCTCGGGCAGAGCGCGGTGTGCGAGAAGCCACAGCCGCGAACGTTCTGAGAGCGTGGTGGTTATCAAGAGCTGATGAGTGTCGAGAAACACGATCAAAAAAATCGCATGCAATCGCCGAGATTAGCCCGTGGATAATCAGGCTGATAGCTCGCCGCAGGCGGAGAGCGCTACAGGCCAAGAAAGAAAGATCGGTGCGGGTTATCCAGGCGGGTTGGAGGCGAGCAAGTGCGAGAATGTTGGAGACCCGGAGCCACATCGCCCGCGTTGCAGTCTGTGTCGTTCTGCAGACGATGTGGAGGCGTCGGAAGCTCGAGCGCTGCTACCGTTTCCGACAAACTCGTTGCAAGGTGTCTTCAGGCCTTCGCAGGTGGGCCGGCAGTTTTCTCGCTCGAAGACGAAAGAGGGCGGTCGAGATTGTTCGCCGTGCGGTCTTCGATGCGGCTATGCGACAGAAACAACATCAGCGACACGCCGCTACGGTCATCGCGCGAGGGGTTGGGGCAGCCTGCAAACGCCGACGACGCAGTCGTATCGTACTACAGCGATTCGCCAGGATGCCGTGCTTGCTGCAAGTGCGACTCGCAGCTCGTTCTTTGGAACGGGCTTCTCGCATTCAGAGTAGGGCAGCTACGACCATCGCCAGAGCGCTTCGAAGATCAATGGAGCAATCGATTACTGTTCGGGCGGTACGCAGGCTCCAACTTTGGTCTGGGGGGGTGCTGTGCAGGCGAAGACAACTGCTACATACTTCGACATCCGTAATTCAGCGGGGATGGCGGCGCGCACGTCAGCAAAAGATGGCACGGGCTAAGACACAGCTTTTGGAGGTGCATGTGGCGCCAAGACCACCGCGGGAAACTGGAGCGACAGGTGTTGTTGTTGCTGAATCATCGACCGCGCCCACAGGAGCGTTTGTGGCTGCAGACGATCCGCGAAGCCTTGTCCCAATCGGTGTCGGCCTCCTCGATCTATCGGGATGCGGGGATTATGGGAAACGAATTTGCAGCAGCGGCTTAACAGTATCATCTCAGTCTTCTTGTGGCTGTTCTTCTACGCGCAGGACAACGGATGAAAAGGTCCACTCTTTCCACGATAGAGATATCTCGACGGAATTCTGCGATAAGTTGCTGTCTCCAGTAACTACTACGCGCGAGGATTGGACTTCTCCCGATCTGGGCCTGGTCGGGGAAGGCCCGGAGAGCTGTTGCAACCAAACCTCTGCTGACTACCCTCTGTCATACGACGAAGGGCACTGCAGCACGCTGGTTACGCTGCGAGGATCCATTAACGCCAATTCCAGAAGCACCAGTTCTCCGAGGAGCAACGGGAGTCGTACAAGCGTCGAAGAAAATCAAACAAAGAGAGCGCCATCGGGAAATAACGAATGCTCCAGCGGAGTGCTTAGGCTCGAAGACATTTTGCCCGGCTACAACTCACGCCGTCATAAAACGACGCGTCTTGGTATTGTTAAGGGGCGTGGTCGATCCGAGTTTCGTTGCGGCCGCAGGCCAACGGGGGCGGGTGACTCCTCCGGCGGCGACAGCTGGCGGGCGACGCCTCCATTGTATGGTGACGGCCAGGGTCGTTCATATCCACTGGCAGGAGGAGCGCAACCAATGGATAGAAGTAGGCATGGACGGACTCGACAAGCTGACGCGGCGGTCAACCCTCCATCCCATGCTGTCAATGGAAGAGGCCATCGACGCAAAGCGACTGGGAACATTATCGATTGCGCCCCCCCGCCCTTCAGGTTCGGGTTTCGTAGTACCGGGGAAAGTAGTGACGCTCGGAAATTGAGCACGGGATGGAAAGGGGCACCAGGTGTTGACCGGGCTTCCTGTAGGAACGCGAGTGCAGCAAATCCGTCCACCAGGCGCACGTTTGCCACGAGAACAACCGGTAGAGGGCTGGGCAGGCTAGATGTCAGGGAGAGAGGCAATCAGCGACGAAGTCGCGGAGGGGGTAGCACTCGGTATGGCAAGACTGGTGGGGTTCTAGAAATGCTGGCGTTCTTGGAGGCGTGACAGAACCGTAAGGTACCGCTGTGATTTGTAGATGAATCGCCTTTGACAAAGAACCCAACAAGGCATGCTTCACATGATAATACCAGATCGCGACACAAATCGCCTTACGATGATGGTCGCTACGTCGTCCGTGTATATTTATGTATGTATGAAGAGTGGTGAATGGTTTGCTCGATGACGTTAGGCCACCCGAACGATTCGACGGACGGCACAAGGAAATAACGGCTGTTTAAAACTGTTTTTTCTGATACGCTGAAGGTTGCCAACGCCGACCTGAAGGCCGCCATCCTCTATCCCCTCGACCACCAGTCGGTGTCGAAATTTTGAAATTACGGCAGTATAGTCTATATGTACCCTGGGCCTTGCATCCAATAACTCACCTTGTGTTGAGATCCTCCGGGCATGTCAGGTTTGACCAACGATAGATAGAGTCCCCCGCCCCCCTCTCTTTGTTTCGTTGGTCCAAGTATAATTTTATTTATTTTTTTCTTAATATGACACAACGAAACCATCTATCATAGAAAAGAGTCTGGGACAGATTAGCAATGGATTCATAGCGTCAGAAAGTACCTGTATGTCTACGATTTCCCAGACAGCATATAGGGACATCTCCCCTGCGGGTAACAGGCTCAACAAGACAGTTTGGTATCTGTCTTGTTCAAATCTCGTTCGCGTATGATTAATTCCGTTCTGTCGTACCGACGTCAGGGGCGGTCTTCTTCCCCTAATAATCGTTAGTCTACTGCTGTACACCAAATTTCGGCCAACGACACGCCGCCGCTGTGATTCGTTGTATCGAACAGCTTCCGAGGCCGTCACATCTTCATACAGAAAGTGGCGAAATGTTTCGCAGGTGACAATAACTACTCTCGGAGTACAGCATCAGTGCACTGGCATATTGAGCGTTCATGTCATGAAATGTGTGTTGGCGTGTTGGCTGTTGGCTGTGCAGCAGAAAAGGCGGCATAACTACACAGGTACTCGTATCCCCCTATGCCGCCGCTCATTGTCCTGGCCGTGGGACCCCTTCAGGCCCCGCTCCGCGTGCCAGTGCTGCAGGCTGTGCTCCTCTTGACTCTCCCTGGCTCTGTGTGTATAGCGAGGTTTCAACACCTGTAGGAGCAGCAGTCAGCAGCGAGTGGGATCACTAGGGCTATCGTGGCCCGATCGAGCATTCAGCTACCAGATGGTGAGAGCGCACGCCGACATTCTGAGGTCTATATTTGAACATCTCTCGGCAAACTCTGGCACGCAGCTGCGGCTGCGGCTGCGGCTGCCTTTGGCCGTTGGCTGTGTTCTCTGCTCTATTGATAATCAAAGACATACAGGTCTTACCAAGGAGGAACACGCTGGTAGTGGTGCTGGGTTTTATGGGCCTGGGTTTTGTGCTGGAGTTGGAAAAAGTTGGGCGTTTGTAGATGCTTCGTTGACGAAAGGTCCTATCTATGTAGACAGTATGTCGTACGGAGACTCACGGCAGTCTAATTTTACGTCGACACTGCTGGTACTGCTGTAGCGCTGTAGACCCAGTATCCCAGTATCCCACACCCCGCGTATAGATTTAACGCACCATCTGGCATCCAGGCTTGTGAGCAATTCTGGTAACGCCCGTAAACCCGGCGTGTAGATGTAGAGAGCACCCCATCTGGCACTCACAGGCTCGTGAGGACCGTTGCTGGTAATGCCCTGTTGTACAAGCAGTGTTCGGCTGCTGGCGAAATCGGCCCGAGGAATTCCTTGAGCAAAGAACCGCGTTCAGCGTTCAGCCCTCTCAACGTCCCGAGGAACCTTCCCGAGGAAATTCTCTGATTCTCTCCGTATGCATAGACCCTACGTAGAAGAATTTTTTTTTATTGTTGCGGATATGCATTCATTCGTACGAATAGGGGACGGTGGTCACAGCTGAAGATTCAAACGAACGTTTATCGTATCCATTCTTGCAGCAGTGTAGACTCCTGAGCTCCCGCGAATCGGACTACAACGGCCCTTGCGCACGGTACTGTTTAGCGTTCCTCCCACCACCATGTCGACGTTGCATGCATCAATCAGCGGACAGTGTGTGTGAACCGCAGGGTAGCTGGCACTCACAGGGACTCCTCCCTTGCTTGACGAACTCTGACCGCCCCTTCCCCCGCTGTTCAGACCACGACCAAGAGTCGCTCTTGTGGTCACACTCTTCGCTCACAGCCGTCCACTACAACCGCCGTCCCTCCTTTGGCGCACGCTACAACATACACCCCGTTGTTTTGTTGCCGCTATTTAGTTGTTCTACTCGTTCTTCAAGACCCTGGTGGGGAAGGAGATCGCGGTAGAGCTCAAGAACGACGTCGCTCTCACGGGCACGCTGCACTCCGTGGACCAGTACCTCAACGTTAAGCTGACCGACGTGCAAGTTGTCGACGCCGAGCGGTATCCACAGCTGGTGAGTGACGGGAGCTCGGGTGCTCGATTTTGTAAACAGCTGGTGGGAACTCAGGATTATGGCAACATCAAAGACAAGGAATATTTTGCCCGAGGCGGAATGGGACTGATATCTGATCCAGACGGTGAGGCTCTTCGGACATGGATCATGCATCCTTATATTGCAGCTCGGGTTGGTTATCTGTAGTTTCCCGTCGCTGTTTTTGACGCAACGGCCACAGCAGTTCCTTGTGGGCACAAGGCAGTTGCGGTTGGGAAACGGGAGATGCCCATTGTTTGTTTCTCTGGCGGTGAGATGTGTTGTGCCTTCCGCCCTGCTTTGAAAGAAAGCAAGGCAGGCGGCAGTATCCAGAGTATGAACTCAAGAGGTAGCGCCGCTGGTCGCTGTACGACTCGCGTACCAACAGCCACCCACGAAGTCCTCTCACTGCCGCGCTCTCCCCCACTTTGTTGTGATCCCTTGCAACCCATCCCCGCGATGCTTGCATCTACGCAGGGGGCGATCAAGAACTGCTTCATCAGGGGCTCCGTGGTGCGATACATCCAGATCCCATCGGCGGATGTAGATACAGAGCTGCTGCAGGATGCGTGTCGAAAGGAGAGCGCGCAAGGAAAGTAGTCTACGATAGGAGTAGTGCACGTTCTGTGTTGTTTGTTTCAACGTATTTTACTGGTTCATGCTGTGCCGAGTACAGACTTAGCTGTTTGGAGAAGGAAAGAAGGTTGAACAAGTTCTTCTAGACTTTTTGCCCACTGCTAGCGGTAGATGAAAAACTTTTTTTTTTTTTTGTATCATAAGAAAATTAGATGAAAACATAGCTTCGAAGTACCATACAACGCCACCGGTTCGGTGGAAGGCGCATAAGACACCACCACGATGCTGTCTACAGATTGAGTGAGCTCTGTATCGAGGTAGTGCTAAATATATATTGTCCTCATTGTACTGTAGTGCCCAGATTGTGGCACGCGAAAAGTCTGCAGACACGCGTTTTCATCAGTTGCAAATGAAACACATCACTGCCACGCGAAGGGAAATACAACTTCACCAAGCGAGGAGGGCCCGCTATGATATTATAGTCGCTGGCGCCGCGTAGCACGCGGTCCTTTCCCGAACCACCTACAAGATCCATCTGGCTCACGCTGAGGCACGTGGTGACTGTCTTTTCAGTCGTAACAGCAGAGAGAAGCACATGAAAGAAAGCGGAACAGCTCAACGCTCACGCTCCTCCACCTCTTCTTCCACACCACGCACCACGCGACACAGCCCGCCGCAATAATAGGGGCACACCCAGGGCCAATGTCTCCTAAACCCTGTTAGTGTTCGAGCTGCCACCTCGGTAATAAACTTAAACCGGGACTTTGCCGGTGGTCGGGTCGAGATCAACCGGCCACCATGGCGGGATAAGAGGCAAACACCGTCGCCGTTCCTCTTCCCCCTGGCTCGACGCACCCACAACACGGCAGTCCAAGGCTGGGTGGGCCAGGCTGTCCTCTTGGCCCCCCGCCGACCCCGTGTTTCCCGTTTTGCTGGCATCCGTGCCCCCTGAAGCGGGTGACAAAACCTTGCCCAGACGGAGCATGGCCAGCCCTACGTTGTACTCTGCGAGGGCAAGGAATGAAGCGAAAACGGGCCGCTTACAAGTTCAGGTTATATGGGCGTGGCAGGGTACCCAAATCATGGCGCTACGGTAGTAGTCTAGGGCGTGTAGTCGTGAAAGGGCACCTCGCGGACACGTTTGTCCGCAAGAAATGCGGACCGCGATGAGGCATTGCATGGTTGACAATTTCCAGGGGATATTCTTCTTTTTGTGTAGTCCGTGTGGACCCTTCCCCCGCGTGCGAGCTGTACTTCCGGCGGCTCGCCATGAACGAGGAAGAGGCCGCCAGGGCGTTTTGGAGAAACAAACTGGAGGAATTGCACCAGCCTGCAGCAGCAGGAACAAGCGTAAGCAACTCTCCCCTGATGCACGGCGGAGAGCTGTCACGCTTGTTCCCACTGCTTCAGGCATGTGCATTTCAACTTGTTTCGTTGGGGGAGAGTTGTCACGCTTGTTCCCGCTGCTACAGGCCTGTGCGTTTGATTCTCCAACGCCGTGGCACGGGAAGCCAGCGGCAGAAAATCGATGCTCGTCTTTCCTTCCCCGCTCACCTGGAGATACCGAGACGAGAGCGCCAAGCCTTCCGTCCTCGGCAGCCCGATCTACAACCTTAGAGCCGGCCTCTGGGGGAGCAGCAACCCCACCCCATCTCGACAGCAGCAATCCTTGACGTTCTCCTTCGTCGGAGGCCGCGCTAGGGTCGAAAGATGTCTGGGCCCCTTCTGGAAAGAGAACGGGCAGCACCCTCTTTCGGACGAATCCCTGCACGTTGCGGACAAAGTGAGGGCAATATTGCCATGGCTAGAGCGGAAGGCGTGCTGTCATTCATGGGGCTACTAAACCCATTCGGAAATCGACTACAGTACGCATCGTGCTGCCACTCGTGAGCTCCTCTTGGCCATCGACCACGCATCCCACCCTCTCTCTCTCAACGTCGTGGTAGCAACGCTTGGTTTCTAGCCTTACACCAAAGAACGGCCGCACTCGAGCATAGGGTCGCGAAACGAACCACGTGACATGCAAAAGAAAAACGATGTATGCTGCTCGGGGAACCGTAGAAAAACACGTTGGCCATCGAAGACACTACAAAATATTTGCTAATCTACCACGGATTCCTATCTATGGAAGAGATGGGTTCGATGTAATCTCTGTAAGAAAAAAAAAGAAAAAAGCGCACCTTGAACTGAGTCCGCGCCGTGAGCTCCTGTCCGACGTAGCAGCCCTTGGTGAAGGAGATCGACCCCAGTAGGTCCAAATTGGACTCCAGGGGAATGGAGTCCAGCAGCTCGCTCCTGACGGCGAATTATACACGTGGGGGCGCGAGAGATGTTGAGAAGTGGTTGGCATGCAATCCCTGGCGCACACCGCTGCGATGTAGACTAATGCTTGTGCATGCCAACACAAGAAAAGAGTCACAACAACATTTCCTCCGGACCGCAGCCAACCACACAGAAGGATGCTGCGTTCCATATTTTCATCGCTCCCTGTGATTGTGGTACGTATTCGGCCCAATACGGAACTGGTTCTAGCCGCAGAACAGCAAGTACCTATCATTCTCCGTCTTAACGTGTCGGCCCACTTCGTCTCCATGGCTTCGCAACAAGCAACCCAACGTCCAACTATCAGGCTTGCTGAGCGACATCGTCCAGCTACATAGGTCTCCACGGCAACTCACCCTTCCCCGACTCCGTTGGCCATACGCAAAGCATGGTATCGACCTTCTGGGACGACGGGATCACCGTCTGGCCAATCAGCACCGTCTGGCCCTGCCACCCGAGAGAGCGGAACACACGTGAAAGAAATGGAACGCAGCCAGGCGCACGAGGTCGACAACTCCAGCGACGCAGCATTTAGAGAGATGGTAGATGACACATCGTTGAAAACAGGGCGGTGGTGCTGGCTCTACGAAGGGCGCCGCTAAAAATAAAGAGCCATGCGTGAGTTCCGATATCCTGCAAATCTGAACTTAAAAAAAAACATCGATGTTTCATCAGACCTGAGGCATGCAGCGAGGAAAAGAGAAGCGAACGAACAGCAAGCTATCTTGGCCAGGGTAGAGGACGGAGGGTGTGCGGCGATCGAATTAAGTAGAACTATCCGAAGGGCGGCAAAAGCCTTCCAAGGTACGGTACGAAGCTAAGGCCGCCGGGACCCAGCGCAGAAAAATAGAAACGAACAACTGGTGTACTGGCCCCAAAATTGGCAAATACGATGCAGCCTACTGTAGACTGGCGGCACTAGGCTGCATCCCACCGCCTTGTCTCAGACATCATACACACCGGTTTCGTCCTTCGGTCGAATCAGCCGCACTCCAAGCGCGGCGCTCCGCGGATCCGGAAAACGGGCCTCCCGGCCACCACCAGCACCATCACCCAAACGTCCCGCTGCCGCAGGGGACACGTCCCCTCCTCCCTCCCTCTCAGGCGCCTGCCAGGGGTCTCGCACTCCCGACACCAAAACGTCGTACAGAGCCGTAGCGTCCTTTATCCTGACCTTGGACCTCAGCTTGTAAAGCTTGAGGGGGTTTTTCGGGTTTTTTGCAAGGGATAGGGGCCATTCCCCCAGATTTCCCGGGGGGGGGGGGGGGGCGTGTTGCGATATCATATCAAGGTAGTTTGTAACTTCTCGCCCACGGTCAGGTTCGGACACAATTTGTGGAAATCATCTTGCGGGAGAACGAAATAGGGCAATTGACAACATCAACAGACGGGCTAGGCCTGTCCTCGTTCGCGATTTAGATACACTTAACTTTTCCTCTACTCTATTTTCAGCATGTTCACAAAAATCGACAGCGAACGTATCAGGCAATCGCCTATCGAGGACAGGCCTAAGACGGGCGAGGGTAGTCACTGCCATCTACTCTAGCGTGCCAAGAAAACTACTTCTATTATTTCGGATTCTCACCGGCTTCCCCTTCGCCTCGTGTCGGGGGCTTCTCGTCACCAACGCGTCGGCTATCACGCGTCCCTGTGGCATTGTTGTGAGCGAAACGCACCAACGTTACAGCGGCATTAGACGAAACGAGCGAACACGTGCTTACTCTTCATTCACACACAGGATCCATAAGGTGCCAACATATGCGCGTCACGCAGGAGCGTGCTTGAATGCACGCGTGGAGAGAGCAGGGGTGCAAACCCCGTGTGAATCATCCGGGCAACAACCAAACCCGCCCCCCGCATCACGAAGACTCCCGCGCTCTGCGCACGGTAATTTTCTTCCACAAAATAGCTCGTAGACAGCAGCAAATTGGTACTGCTGTTACCTTGGGGTTGAGGAACGCCGCCGATATGCTCGGAAGTCTGCCGTTCTCATCCAGAAGACCCATGTCGTTGGTCATCAAACCTTGCAGCAGCGCCTTCGCATCGACCCCGCTGCGAGCGCACAGAGTCAGCCGGTAGGTCGCCAACCAAATTTGCGAACGAGGGTGAGCGCCACGTAGGGTCACTGGTGGCCAGAGGCAGGTTGTGGGCAGGTTGCAGGGACGTTGCAGTCCAAAGTGTGCAAGTTATCTCGCATCTCGGATAGTGGCGTTACTCCAACGGGCTTCAAGCCTAAAGAAAAAATGTAATCAAGGTCGACCTCGGCCTCCCAACCTCCCCCTCCCCAGGTTGTAGTTGGTGCCCAACCTGCCCCTCTGGCCACCAGTGTTAGGGAGGGTGCGCGAGTTACAAACTGCTGTGGGGGCCCGGGTTAAATTGCCCGACTCCAGACGAACTCCGTGGTGGTGGAAAAGGCCCACCACGTGAGCGACCACCACCTTGATGGCCGCCTTCTTCCTGAAAATCGGCGATCCTACACTTGTAGATCTTTCCACCTGTTCCGCTCCCCGGAGGACTTCCACCTAGATTACCCCTAAAAAGTTGATGGAAGTCCTCCTCCGGGAAGCCGAACCGGTGGCACCGTATAACCCTTGAAAGCTTGACGCACGTCCTCCGGGAAGCGGAACAGGTGGAATGATCGACGACTGTAGCATCACAGATGTTTAGGAAGAAGGTGCCCATCAAGGTGGTGGGGGCGCGGGTTATTTGTTGCGGTTGCGGGAGCTTGGTAGTAGTCGTGGGTGGGCAGGTGTTTCAGCGGCAGTCAAGGCAGAGAATGCGCCCGGGCCTGCAAAACATATGCAAGCAAAGCTGCTGTGGTACGTGTACACCATGCGTATCTTTTCTCGGAAAAAAGAAAGAGGGGGAGGGCTTGCTGCCAAGCAGCTGGGAAAGAGCAGGACATCGAAATAACCGGTTGTGTTCCGTCAGATTCCGGAAATTCTTTCGAAATAACCAGTTACGTTCCGTCGGATTCCGGAAATTCTTTGTTCCGGAATGAGTTGAGGAGACCTGAGGGCGTATATTAACGAAGTGCCGAAAATCAAAATCGAAAAAATCAAAATCAAAATCAAGATCTGATTGGTCGAATATCTGCTACCTCCTGACGACGCCCTTTGATTTTATGGAAGTTCCTCTGTCTGGGAAGAAGTCCCCGGGGGACTTTTTTTATCAAAATCAAAATCAAGAGGCAAGGAGTTCAAGACTTCGAAGGCTTGGAGCACCTGCCGCGAGGCCGCTGCAAAGCAAGTGTACGATACGGCCTGCTGCACACTGCTCATAGAGGGGCTATCGGCACCCTACCACCGAGAACATGGCCGTTATTTGTAGCCAGAAGACTCAGCTCGCCGGCAAGCCACAAAACGGGCCGGCTCGTTGGGTGCTCGAGGAGAAAATGCCGATCGTGACAAGCGGTGAACGGACTGACGATCAGAACAGGGCTGCGCGGCTTTTGGGGGCTGTTCCGTGCGGGAGAGGGTAGTTGCAACCTTTTTTCTCCACACTCACGATACCCCAAGGCATCTAACCTTGTACGAGACAGATGGTGGGTAAAGCTACCTCCCGTCGCGTGGCATTGCTAATGCTGTTGCTTCCTCCTTCGAAGAGTTATCGCTGAAAAACTAAACTGTGAGCAGATATTCGGCGCGAACTTCAACTAGCCGCTCTCTGACGTGGATTTTTTAGGGCCAACCAAAACTTTTTTCCCTACACGCACGATAACCCACGGTAGCAGTCCTTGGGCTTGAAAGATGGAGCAGGGACGTACCTCCTGCGGCGTGGCGTTGCTGTTGCTTCCTTCTTCGGAAAGTTATCGGTGGATATCACAACCCGTGGCGGCCCAAAACACCGAACGTGCAGTGACCGCTCGCAACCGTTGGCATTTTTGCTTCAACACAACCTTTTTTTTCCGGCGCACTCGGCACCTCACGGCCCCAAACCTTGGCATTGCCCAACAGCCCATGTTTCCAGCTCCTTCCGGATACCCTTCTTGAGGCAACTCGTTCAGTATTTGGCGAGATATCGGCTAACACGTGCACAGAAGAGCGTAAAACGCACCCTAGAAAAATCGCCGCTGCCCTGCTGGCTCTTCCCCTGGCGCCAGGCCTTTTTGATTTATTGCCTCATCTATCTCCTATCCTCGTTAACATACACGACCCTCTTTTTTCAGTTTTCCACGATAACGCATTTTGATTTTGATTTTGTGCCCAATTGAATTTTGATTTTCGGCTCTTCGTTAATATACGCCCTGAGAACCAGACTCTCTGCAACAACGAACCAGCTGAAGAAGGATAGACAAATCTGATACGTCGAGCCACCACATCTTTTCCCGCTCACTTGGTTGCATGCCATTTGCAAGACTACTTGGACACGCCCATGTGCTGCCAGCTTGTCGGGACCTCACACAACTGCTGTCGTATCTAATAGTGAACCAGGGCATCGACAAACTGCCCGCTAATCTCGCCGCACCATCGCGGTGTGTTCAACTACTGCTGTAGACGTGCAACAATCGATGGTGTGATCCCAAGAAGAAAGCAGAAGCAGTAAGATACATAACCGTCGCCCAGCTGCAGCAGCAGATTACAACATTGCTTGCACAGGGACGCTTGCATGTACACACACACTTTAGCAACGACAGCAGTCAGTCCAGTCAGTCATGTGGCGGTTGCATGTGTTGAATCAGACCTGATCTCGAGAACTGCTCGACCCTCCAGGACCGCGGCCACGTTGGACATCATTCGTCGACAAGGCTGATGCCATCGCACTGCTGTACCCATTATCCGTGTACCTGCATGCATGGCACCCCTTCTCAGGCAGCACGTGTAGTGGTGAGCTAATCGTAATATGCAGCAGATGCAGCGATGTGCACTGGGCATTTTGGTTCAAAGAATATGACTCTTATAAAACCATATATTGGTTTTATAAGAGTCATATTCTTTGTTTTGGTTCTGTACTTACGACGGGGGGCGCGGTGCCTTTGCCTTTGATTCCACGGGACCTCCCGCGCACTCCAGCTTCTCTAAATGTACCAAACCACAGCACACAGCACACTGCAGCACACCAACAACCTGTCTCCCATCCTTTGAGCTGCACACGCTGAGAGAGCTTTGATTTGAGCTATCATACTCTCTCGCAAAGCCACTAGACATATGTCCACAACCTCTGTCACGGACGAGACCGCAGCACGCAAAGTCTCTCGTTTCGTTTTGGCGTTTTGGCAGAGTTCATGACAACCCGACAGCGATTGCCGGTGAGTGGATTTGTGCCCACACGGCATTGCTTGTAAATGTAGTTCAATTCGGTACTAGTGTGTAGCTCGTGTTGCAGCACCAAATGTCGTGGTAACCCACTAGAGTTAATGTATACCTCCACCAAAGGTACTGCTGTCTACAGCAAGTAGTCTGTTGTTCTGTCTGAGGTTTTAGTCGAAGAACCGATCCACGGATCGATCTCGCCGGAGTCCCGCCTTTACTTGCCCGTCCTCCACCAACAACTCGCTGTAGCGCTCAACGTGTAGCTGTCCACTGAGCCAGCATGTTGACGACCAGCATGCCAACGGAGTAATCAGTTGGCTGTGTGTCCTGCTGTCCACCTGCGATTGGTAGTTATCAACGCGGTGTGTTTCAAGTACTGGCTGTGCTGTGGGATACGTAGGGCCGGGAGATGTATGCATAGCTGCCTCCTGAGGTTTCCACTACTCCATCCACTACCTAGTACTTCCACTGTTTACTCTGAAGAGAGCTATGGCAGGGGCCGTGGCGCATGTATCCAACGCCACCAGCTTTTGAGGTACATGTTTCGCACACAGCGTCAGCGCTACCCTGGTTGCGTAGCTGTTGACGGGAGTGTAACAATCTTATCACGCCACGTGGATGGTGCACAACACACGTTATTTCCCCTCTCGTATGTACATACATGCACGGCACCTGCCAAATGGCACCTTCCTTACCCACAACGGCTGAAATTCGCGCTCTCTTCCCGTGGACTAGCGAAAGATATATATTGTCCTTTGTCTCGGGTCGAGGCGCTGCGGTACTAACGTTTGAGCCCCCTCCTCTCCCCGCGTGCGCTCAATAGTCTTAACCGCTAAGGTATCCATAAACACGAGTACGCCCCCCGCTCCCTGCGTGCGCTCGGGTGATAGCAGATGCGGCACGCATGCCATAAACAGAAGATCCACGCCCCGCTGGGCTTGAGACACCTCTCAAGAAGGAGGAGAGCCAAGCGACCACGGCGTGCCGGCAACAATTTCCACGCACAGTTGCGCTGCTTCCTCGCACGCGCGTCTTCGGCTGTAGCACTCTGCTGCTGTCTGTTCGCGAAGCCGTCGGCCGGGGAGGTGCGAAGCGTGAGCAGGGTATACCACTCGGCCTGCCTGGAGCGCGGCCAGAGCTACTGGGACTACGAGAACTTCCGGCTTAGTTCGTTGGGCTGGGAGGACGTAGACCGTTACGAGGTCAACGGGAGGCTGGGGTTCGGAAGGTTCAGCGAGGTGATGGAAGGGGTTGAGGTGGACAGCGGTCGCAAGGTGGTGCTGAAGGTGCTCAAGCCGGCCAGGACGTACAAGGTTAAGCGGGAGATCCGAGTCTTGCAGGCAAGTACCCTACAGTAGCACCAAAATAAACCCGCCTGCCCAGTGGCCGTGGAGCCATACCGCTGCTGCCCTTTGTACCCTACGCATGCAACCCCGTCGATTGCATATGCGCAACGGCATGTGCGAGTAGATCCTCCCTACATCGTTTGTACACCAGGGTAAAATGACGGCACCCCCCTTCCTGTGCCCGAAAATTATCCGGTGAACCACTATGTACACAACGGAGAGCAGCTATTGGCAGGAGGTCCAAACGTCCTTTCGCTGGAAGGCGTGTGCCGAGACCGACACACCGGGGTTACGACCCTCATTTTAGAGCACCTCGGCGACGGGGTGCAGTGGTTCGGCCACACAACCGCGTCCAGCAGCCTTCCGGGAACAGCCGGCGGAGTCAGAACGGCGGGGTCTCCAAATGCCGTCGATGCGTCGCCGAAAGAGGTCCGACCGCCGCCGTCCCGTGGCAGGGAAGCCGGCGCAGCGGACGGAGGGGGCGCCGGGGCAACGGCCTCTTCTATTGGGCAGGGCCGCGCGCTTCCGTGGAGAGGAGCAAGCAGCAGCTTTGGCACCGCCACGAGCAGGGCAACGAGCGCCGACAGGAGGGAGGGACTTGAAGAAGGAAGGTTGTTGTCGCGGGCGGGCGGCCAACAGCAACAACCTGTCGCCGCTGGCCAAGACCCGGCCGGCGAGCACGGTGGCGGTGCAGCGCGTGCGGAGGGGCTACACGATTCGGAAGGCGGTGGGGGGGGGCGGGGGGGAGAAGCGACCGAGAAGGAGGCCGTTGATCCCGGCCGACTGACAGACTACGAGGTGCGGCTGTACTTGTACAAGCTGCTGCAGGCGCTGGACTTTGCGCACTCGCGCGGGCTTATGCACAGGGACGTGAAGCCGCGAAACATCGTCATCAACCGACGGACCCGAAGCCTCCGCCTCATCGACTGGGGCCTGGGCGATTTTTACATCCCAGGTGGGCGCGATTTGTTCGACCATGGCGTGGGGTTGTTCGATATTATCGAAGTACCGAAAACTTCTATTTTGGCCTTCCGAAACGTTCTGATGCGCGGTTTGACGATGCAGAAATGTTTACTACGTGCTTCTGGTGAGGGATGTTGGCGCTGTTATTTTACACATGGACGGACATACCGGCACCGAGTTGAAGGGTATCCACGGCGTGACGTCAGAATCTTCCGTTCAAGTGGTTGATGCCAGCCACGATCACCTCCCCAAGGCCGGTGAAACTCCAAGAACACATCTGTACACCCCCCCCATTTGTATAGCACATCGTGAAGAGCTTGCTCTCCTCATTTCTTGTTGGCTGTGTTTCGTACAGGGAGACGTAACATGGCGCGTGTGGGGTCGCGGTACTACAAGGCACCGGAACTGCTCGTCGGATTTCGCTTCTACGACTACGCCGTCGACATTTTTTCGTGAGTACGGGCTGCACTCGCTTGTACTTGGCGTTATGGTTGGTTCGGGGACTGACTATACCTATGGATACGAATGGCGGCCACTTCTGTCTGTTGGTCGTATTTTTCAGATACTGTGGTGTTGCTCTCGCACAGTTATTGCTAGCAGTACACTGGCACTATGCGTTTACACTATATACTGTAGAGTCCCGGTGCTCCTGAGTCTAATTGCTGTCCTTCCGGAGCGTGGGTTAATGTACCCGGTGGTATGATGATATGTACACGAACAGCAGCGCAGCCACTGGAAACAAATTTCTTGCGCACAAGTTGTGGCAGGGACGCCCGCGGCAAGACTAGGCAAGGGATTCATCGCGTATGTATCTCGCCTCGATTTTTTTTCAGAGACGAGCTCGCTATGCTATGTAACACCGGGTGTAGGGGTGCCACAATAGGTACTGTGTAGAGTGTCAACAAGGTTATTGTTTGTCATCGCCCTCGACCAGGTTATTTCTGAGGCATCGTTTAGCTTGCGATTGAGTCATGCGCCCATCTGTGGACATTTTGTTTGTGGCAGGGTGGGCTGCATGCTAGCAGGGTTTCTGTTGAACCGGGAACCATTTTTTCGGGGGAAGGACAACGAAGATCAGCTTGTGCGAATAGCGCTCGTGCTGGGCACTCAAGGACTTCATGATTTCCTTCGAAAGTATGGTGAGAAGCACAGAAGGGTAGGGGTTGCTTCGCGCTCCGCGTGGTTTTCGATGGGTGCGTACGGGCAAAGCCCAATACGAACCATCGCCAAGCGTTGGGTAGGCCTACCAGCATGTTGGATTCCACGGGGTGTTGGCGCACGAGGGACAGTGGAAGTCGAGAACGAGCAACCGGAAATCGCATCTCTCCGTGGACCAGGCAATTGACGTCTTTTCACAGCAGTAGCGCATGCCGCGGGGACACGAACGGTGCGTACGTACGTGCAGCTTGGAGCTTTTGCCGAATGATAGGTCAACGGACACGCTGAGCCTGCGAAGCACCCCATAAAAGCGTTCGCGAACCGTCCCGAGCAACCTAGACTACTCCGCCTTTATGTAATCACACACTGCTCCGCCACGCGTCGTCAGATGTTGTCCTGGAGCCGCGACTGTTGGAAATGCTGGGCACGCACCGCAAGAAGCCATGGAGCAGTATCGTTGGAGGAGGAGGGGGGGGATGTGGCGAGGCATACGGCCCGGATGGGCTCGATTTGCTCGACCGCATGCTCTGTTACGACCACCAGGATCGAATTTCTGCGGCGGAAGCCTTGTCGCACGCGTTTTTCGACCCTGTGCGAGGAGAGGGGGAAGCCCCCGTGGGAAGTCATTCCACGTGACCTTAAGCTCTATGGTGTGGTACCGTACGTCATGGGTTTGATTTCCCAGAAAGTAGTTCCTTGAGAATTGTGATTTGTGGCATCTTGGAATGTTGCTGTATGGTTTGTTTGAAGCGTGTTATTTACGAAGGTGATAGCTCCCGTGCGATTTGTGTCCGGTGGTGTGTACTCGGGGCGAGCGGCGGCAGCAGGTACTGGGGGCGTTGCATCCCGTTTTGGCATCGTGACGTACCGTGATGCTGTCGGCGGCGCTACCATTGTGTACGCTGTTTACTTCGGAGAGCCTGAGACACCTAATAACCAATGTGATGTATGTTTACGAAAGTACCTTGTGGCGGCGGTTTCATTTTTCTTCTTTCTTTAGAGGAGGGGCCTCCCCTCCCCCCCCAGCCCCCCGTTTTTTTGCACTAAGCCTGTTGAGAGTAATTTCGTATCCATGTCAGTGCCAACACGGCAACACGGAAGTACGCTACCGTTCTCGGCGTGATTTCAGCGTCAAGCGCAGTTTTGAATTTTTCTTTTGTCTACCGCGTGAGTAGTGAGAATAGGCCAATGGCTTTTGTATACCGTGGTATGCATATGCCCGCATGTAAAGTGGTACTTCAGCGGTTGGATTTCTGCACCGGCGTTGTTCGTGTAGTTGCAAACTTGGGTTTGACGCGCAGGCTTGCACCGAGGTTTGACTGCCAGAAGAGGCTCGATACCCAATTTAACGATACCACAGCGGGGTATTCGTTTTTTTCTTTCAACCTCTCCTTCCGACTCGAGATCTCCATGTCAGAAGATCCGCACATGCATGATCAGGGACGATGACGCAACAAAATTTCCACCGGGGCTCGATTGACTATTGACCATGTCTCCGAGAGTCATATTCACACATGAAGTTCGCCGCCTCAATTTTCGGCTGCTGATTCAACACTTTGGCCATTCCCAAAGTCCTCCCCTTGTTGTTGTTGGTAGTGGTGCTCCTGATGACCACCTCCATCGTGTCGTAGAATCGTGCCGTCTTCTCCTTGCGCGTTCTCGAAAACAGCGTTCGGTGTTGCTTGCGATTGGTTGGCCAACATATCGTCCATTTGATTGTCGGAAGCGGGTGCCGGGTAGAACTGCTGCTCATGGTGCTGCTGAATTGGCGGCAACGGGACTGGAGCATAAATGTGTCCTCCTTTGCGCCTAGGGTGATACAGAACGTGCGAAGGAAGGAGGTGCGGTAGTTTAGAAGAGCGATCGATGACCTTCTTTACGTTGCATCGCGTCCTGTTGTTCGCACGGGCTCGATGTGCAGGACGGTACTGTATGTCGCCTGAAAAGAGGGGACTTCAAGGGCGTGTTCAGTTGCCGAGATGCTTAGACTACACACGTGGTAGTCGTCATCCTTTCGGACGAAAGACCGCACCTGAGTAGATTGATCTCGGCTTTGATCGCGTCGAGTTCCCTGCCTTGGAGCTTGACGAGGGCCGCCAGCCGATCCCTCTCCTCTTTTTCCTTGCGGAGCGTCGGCCCTCGTGATCCAAGGGCAGCACCTCCCCCGCTCGTGTTTAGCTCCTGAAAGGGCAGGCAAGAAGGGACGTACTGCTTAGCGTGACAACATGGTGGCCATGTTTGTTCTACTGGTCAGCGACACCATCACAGGCAGGCCTGGGAACAGGGTTACCCCCAACGAGTCAGCACCTGCGGCAGCCTTTGCCTTCAAGCGCACATTAAGCGGTATTTTATTACGGAATGTCGGCCGCCAAGTATCTTCCACCACTACTCTCGTCGATATCACGTCAAAGTGTCTTTGTTTGGGTTTGCAGGCATGCTTAGGGACGCTACCGAGGTATCCCATCTCCAAGGCACGTATGTAGTAACGCAAGCGTTGGTCATGCTCACAACACCGGCCATTCCTCTCAAGGGATCGCCCCGTTCCCCCCCCCCCTCTTCTTACAACGTCCGAGGCAAAATAGCAACAGCCCGAACACCAGACGATATTTTACCTTCTCGAGGGTGAATTGTTTCGAGCTGAGATCTGCCACGTCCCTGAGCAACTTCGTGTTTTCGTAGGTGCCTTCTAAGAGGCGACCCCTGAGTTCACGATTTCTCTCTTCCAGTCGCGCTAGCTCCGTGGCGTGTTTGTCTTCAATGGCTTCTACCCGTCGCCGCGCCTCTTCCTGGCTCATGCCAGAGCTCACCTTGTCAAGACATGGCCAGGATTTAGAAGCATTGAGAGTGGAGGGGAGCACTTGGATATCTACCGGTGTTCGTTGTAACTCGATCCAGATTCATCTTTGGTCTACCTTTAGAACGTCCCAACGGTTGACAAAAAAATGATCCGAAGTGGCCAGAGTATGCTGTCCTATCTGTCATTTTTACAAAATAACCCCCAACACGAGTGCACTGACGGGTATTTGTCGAGGGGTTTAGAGGAGACACGACCGGGGCGAAAAAACGAGGAAAATATCCCGTGAACCGTGAGTCCTGAGACTCCTTTGGAAAGCGTTGATGGTCGATGCCAAACCACCAGAAGAGGTAAACGACAAAGTACAGAGCCGTCTCGTCGATCATGGTGGGAGAATCAACATGACGCCAATAGCTTCACCTCGTCCGCACCAAGCAAACCCACACATACTTCTTCCCATGTATTCGCATTCCCCCTTGACGGCAGAACCTCTCCTCAACGGGTTCACCATCTCATGGGAAATGTTCTTGTTACGTTCTCACTGAGCCCTGCCGGAAAATGGAGCATTTAACAGAATGAGCACTTTATTTGGTTGTTTCAGAATGCGTCGAGAATCAGAAGCGAGTTTCGAGAGCACACACCTTGTCCACCATCTCGAGGTCGATGAGCTGCCCGAACTTGAGCACCTGGATCTCGTTGCACCTAGCCTGATGCTCCTCCATCTCCGCCTCCTTCACCACCCTGGCTTTCTCTAGCCGCCCTCGGTCGCGGTGCAACTCCTAGTACCCCAGCAGCAGTTGCGAAAGTAGCGAAAACAATTTCGAGAGACGGGGAATAGGCAGAAGCAATATTGAAACGAAACCAATGCCGTGGAGGCATCTGGTCAAACTCCTATTCAGAGAATATGTTCATGTCTTGAATCGCCAGGTAGGCATGGCACCTCCGACCGGTGGTAGATCACGGCACTTCCGATTTGTTACAGCTACCTACCGAAGGTACTCTCAACGTTTCAAGCGGATGACAGACCTTGTATCTATACATTGCTTCGAGGTAAAAGGAACCGGGAAGAGCGGGGGTGGGGTAGAGCTGAATGAACTCAAGAGAATGGACGGATGGGGTGTGTGATTCTCCTTGCGGTTCGTCTTCTTCCGCTCTTTGGCAAAAAAGATCAAACGGCCGCTATGAAAATCCTACGGTTTTCCTTTCTACCGTTGTTGAGTCCATGTTGGATACACGCCGTCGAACGGCAATGGAAAAAAACGGACTGACTGGTAGATAAAATTCTTGTCGAACCTTAAAGTTGTTCCTCTCCGCTTTGTTTTCTTGCACTAGTTCTGATATGCGCCGCTTTAGCCTGTCCAAGCCCATCCTCGTGAAGAGGATGTGCGAGTCCATTCCCGCGTCGGCCACAAGTTTCGGGCGAGACACGCTGCCTCTTCGCCTGAGTGAGCGTTCCACGACACGGGGGGGGCATGATATCGGTGCACCAGGCTGGTGATCTATCCTTCCTTGAGACCATGCACATGTCACCAAATCATCTGACCAATCGCCACGAGTTGTGTATAGACCAGGCCGATAGCGGCTTCCCACGAGCACTTCCACGTGTGAGGACCAGTACTGTTGCGACGATAGCAAGCTGGGGAAACAACTTAAGCGGACCAAACCTGGGTTTGTCACCGTCCTCCCCGCCCTCCGCCTGTCCCTCGATCGCGTTATCCATGCAGTACAGTTGATTCAGCTTGAGAGAGACAACCACGTCTAGCTTATTAAGTTCCGTCTGTTGGAACCGACACGAACAATGACAAGCGCGAGAGGATGGGGTGGAGTGCGGGGTAAGCTGAATACGCTCAAGAATTGGTGGAAATGGAGGTCGGGGCGAAAAAGAGCGAAACGATCCTGATCCGGCTGTTCCCTAGTTCGACAGCTTAGGTTCTGAAGCTGTCCCATCGGAACTTTCGCGAGGAACTTGTGCAGGGCAGCTAGCCGGCTGCGGGTTTGGTATTGACAAGTACTAAGTAGTTGGTTTCGAGTTCCCGAAGTGACTGCTAGGCGGCTTATGCCACTTGAGTCCGTGCACATGTAGAACGGCCGTCTTTTAGCCAATCTAACCTCAACCTTAACCCTTAACCCTAGTGCGCCTCCCAATGTTGGTATTGACTGTGTGTCGGGGTCGGAAGGAAGCCTTGGCGAGGAAACGGCCAGCATGCCAAGCATTGGACCAGGCCATGCCCTCTGCGGCGTGGTCAAGGACGACACTTGTAAGTTAATCTTAGTGGACCCTGAAAAAAAGTCATCTCTAGGTTGGAAGCAAGGCGTAGCCGGATCCTTTCCTGTGCAGAATTCAGAGCGGAGCCAGTTCCATCGATTCGAGCATGCTCCACGCGCGCGTGCTCGTTTCTACACTAGGGTGAGTGGGGTAGCACCTGCTTGTCGGCCTGTGCTGCCTTGATCTCCAGGGCTGTCTGCTTCAGGTCCTTGTCAATCTGCCTCTGCCTTGTTACCTGGATGGGTGGTTGGAGGGTGACGACACCCGAGCGGATTGAAAGCGTTAGGAGAGAGGCGGAGAGCGTTTACTGGCTGCAGGCGTGTGGTTGTATTCTACTTGTGCATGATATGCAAGGGTGATGGAGCTAAAACCAGCCGTCAGGTATTGCCTAGGCTAAACGAAGGTTCAGGTAGCGGCGCTCGAAGTTAACCAACCCGTCCATTATGTTCAATTTCTGCCTCATACTCAATGTTCCTCACGTTATGGAATTCTATGAATGGGTCGAGTGATCGGTGCGTCTACGGACCCCTTGCGCAAGATCTCTGGCTGATCTTACGTGAGCATTCGTTCATTCCTTCAGAACGATAGTCGGGTCTCAGGGATAAATTACTTCGTCCTCGAAAGCACGTACTACGTGAAGTCACGGAGTCAAGGAACGCCAAAACCCTTCAACTAAGAGCTTACCTGGCGGTCGAGGTTTCGCTTGTGCTCGTCGGTCGCCTTCTGCAGCTCAGCCAAGGTTTCTTCATGATCCAGCCGACTTTCCCGTAGCTCTAGGACCTGGCAACCATAAAGGCAAGATAAGGTTTGAAGTACCGAAGTCAAAAATTGCGTGGCCTTTTCTTTCCAAGCACGCCTGCCAGGCAGTATGTGCGCAAGTTGTCTGCGTTGGGGTACACTTTGCTACAGTTTTTGTTTAATGTAAACGATATCACTCCACTCCCGCATTGAATCAGTGGTCACCCGAAGTATCGCGCAGCATACATATTCGTACATTCACAGAACAAATGATGCCCGTGTGTCCCACCGTTGGAGTCAGCTGTGAAGCTATTGTACTCCTTTCGTGCAGGGTTCACCAAACGTGTCACAAAGCGTCCAATCTTTCGGTGTACCCCGGACGATTGATGAGCCGATGCGGTGTATTTCCTGCGCTCTTGTAAGGTGGAATATCTACCTTTTCGTAGAGGGCCATGTCGCAGCCGGGAGGGCAGCTGTCGTCCACCTCTTCCTCATCGTCGTCGTCGAAGTCGTCGTAGTCGTCCTCGTCGGAATCTTCTTCCTCGCTCTCGACGTCGCCGTCGTCGTCTTCCCCAGCCAGCCGTTTCTGCAGCAGGGGAGGGTGAGGGTTCCTTTGTTGATTGCCTTCGTCATTTGCACCGTTGACCACTCATCCCAAGAGAATCGAGGGACAAAAGTGCTCGTGTGCCGAGAGGATGATCAGGCTACTCGTGTCTCCATCGTTGACCCCGAATCATTCCTGTTTCGTAGGGGGGGTGGAAGGCATGCGTGTACTACGTAGCTGCTTGTTCGTTGCCTCTGAGTTATTTCCGTCACCCGTGACAGCGTGACGTATGAGGGGGACGTCAGTATCTTTGGCGACCTTCACTGGCCATAGTGCCCCAAAATACCCTCACATGCTATATACCACACACCTTGGCCCGTTTGATCTTCTTTCGGAATATCTTGTTGAGAACCTCGTGGAACTGATTCGTCTCGGGCACCAGGTCCAAAAAGTCCGACAACACCCCAGCCTCTAGCCCAGCGCCCGCCTGAAGCAAGGAGGAGAAAGTTTCGGGTTCAGCTGCCAAGTCAACGTTCGGGTTCTACGGTGAATATGCCACACTTTCTTGCGGATCTAGTTGCTGGGTCATGGACAGGGGGGCGGCGGGGGGGAGAAACAACTGCGACGCACCGACCGAAAGAAAACACCTAACCATGCCAAACACGTTGTCCAACAATAGTTCGGGCATGAGAGGTTGCACCCTTAGCGCAGCCTGAATGACCACAATAAAGGAGTACTCCACACTTCGTGCGGACCTCTGCTTCCGCCTGTGTCGCCGAGAGCTTGGCCTTCGAGGCCGCAGTGGCCGCGACGACCTCCTTCTTGTCGTGCTGCTGCTTGTCCATCTTAGTTGACAGGGCCCTATCCTTCGTGTCAAACTGGTTCAATAGTTCCAGCTCCTGGCTTGTTGTTGGCGGCACACGCGAAGCGAGGCGAGGAAGGCACCGAAACGCACGAAAACATTTCGTGCCAGTTCAGCTGTTTGTCCAGCTAGATCTTCTGTCCTTTCTTGAGTGTGGCATGTTGTAGCTTTCTGCAATCCTGTCATTCGCCGCCCCAGGTTGAGAGATCACCGAGTGAGACAAATCGTGACAAACAGACCTCTACAATACTCTCTCTTCTATTTTATTCTACACAGTTTTACTGTGTTCGATCTTGCCTGACGTAAAACCAGCAACTTGAGCTCTGCTGCCTTGAGGTGCGCGGCTGTGAGCATCCTCTCTCTCCTCAGGTCGTACACGGCCTCATCAAAGGCTAGAACGTTCTCCGCCGCGGCCTCTAGGATAGTGCGCCTTTCGTGCCGCAGAAGCATGTCTCTCGCGGCGCGCTCCTGCCGAAGGAAAGCGTGATGTTACAAATGCGTGATGAGAGCACGGCGAATGCACCATGAATACCATCATCTTGCAGTAGTACCCGACGTGGAGGCCGATACTTCTTTGAGGTCGGGTGAAGGTAGCGGCAAGGGGGGAGCTTCTGCAGCAACCACCGTACGTAAACGTACCACCGCAAAGTGTGGGATGCTCGGAGGCAACCTAGGCGTCCGACACTGGCGCATGAAGCACCCGACAATATTCTCGAGTGACAATGATTTTATTGCACACATTTCTATTGTCAAGGAATCAATCGCTCTGCAAAACACGAATCCGGCCGGGCATTGTACGACAGGAGCCACGTGCTTACCTCTTCCTCGAGCGCGCTCAGCTCCCCGTCAGTCCGGCCTTTCGACCCCCTTGCAGCCGGGAGCTTGTTGATCATGCCGTCCACATCTCTCACCATCCTCAGCGCTGCTTCTGCCGAGGTTGCTCCGGGCGAGGAGACAGTGAGGGCGGACTCCGACGAAGGGTGTGTAGTTGCTCCCGGATCTTCGCCAGGAGAAGTAGTCGTGATGGCCTGTGTCACGCCTTTGTTGTCTGGGGGTGTTCGCGGAGACAAGTCGTCGAGAGGTTGGATGGCATGCTACCGGGATGAAGGAAATGCCGGGAGGTGGCGCGTGTCCTTTCGGGTGTAGATATACCCGGCTGGTTGTACCGAACGTGTGGGAGTAAGAAACTATCCTTTCCGCAATCGGTGGTCGCTGAGCAACAGCGGCATCGATCATCCATGGCCGGAGGGACGAGAATCCGACCAAACAAAACAATCTCGTTGCTGGAGCAAACAAAAACGCTTTGTTTGACGCCCACCAGTTCTGACATGCGTGACGCCCTCCTCCCCGACCGCCCCGTTGAAGCGGCATTTCACGAGGCAAACGGCGATGATCCTGTGTGTGTCTCTACACACATGCCACCATGGTCACCAGTCATGCTTCGCGTTTTGGCGTTACGTGTGCGCCGGTCCATGCTCTTGCGACAATACACGCCCGATTCCCCACCACCACCGTGTTCTGAAGGGGGTTTGGGATATACCTCACGCTCCCCTGCCAACTTGTTAGCAAGCAGCGCGAGAGGTCATCGACTTGACCAAACCTCGAAACGCACCTCCGGAAGCAAACGTCGCCGGTTGCAACCCAGCGCGCGCTTCCTCAGCCGCGGCCAAATCACTCAGGCTCAATGTCTCTCTGCGGGGAGCAGGGGGCAGGTTCGCGCCGCCGATCGCCTTCCCCCCCCTCGCTTCATCGGCCTCGGCGGCTGACTTGCACAGGGCTGCGTAGGCGTCCAGCTCTTGCGGGGACACGTAGTCTCGCATTTCTGGCCACTCTGAAGGGTCCAACGCCGGCTCCCAAAGGTCGCCTTAACAAGGGGAGGGGGTGTTTGGGCAGCTGTGTTCTATGTCTCACCCTTTCGTCGTGCCATTGTCGTATGATACACGTATGCGGTGCAGAATTTCATAATTTGTAGGTTGAGACACATAGTTGAGCAGGAGAACGGGAAATCGCGAGTTGTACCTTGGACATAATTTTTTAACGAAACTGCGGCCGGTGCAGACAGGAAAGTGCTTTTTTAGGGAACGTGTAACGTTTCTGAATCCCATGTATTGTTGTTTTTCAGCTGGTGGTTTTCGATCTTGGACTTAAACGGACCCTAAAAAATCGTCTCATGGTAGTGCTGTGCTTGAGTGTCGTGTCGGGTATACTGTGACGTTCTAGAGAGAACAAAATGATACTAGTCAGCAAGTAGTAGGTGTATAGGTGTAGTTGACGCGGTCGATCTTCGAGGTCGAATCTCTTCAGCACTTCTCTATCATATCGGTGGTGGGAACGAAAATTATTGCTGTAGACCAGACGCAAACAGGCCCCCTTTTTTGTTGTAGCCCAGCTGACGCGATAGGCCACCTCAGCTGCAAACCGGCACCTACCTCCGCCGTTCCCGCCCTCCCCCAGCTCGGCATCGATCTCCCGCAGGCGCCTGTTGTCCGCCGAAACGGTCGAGAGAATCTCTTGCTTGATCGTCCTTAGGGCCAGGAAGCGGCTGTTGAACCTCGATCTCATGGCGTGCAGCGAGTCCTCGAGGAGGACCATCTCTCGTTGCTTTTTGACTACGTTCAGCTGCATCTCTTCCGGCACCTTCGGGATTGCGGGGCAGTGAGGCAACGGAACAAAGGAGGCGAGGGGGTGATCGAGGAGGAAAGGACGAGACAGGTAAGGGATGGGGCAAGAAGGGCAGTCACAGTGGTGGGATACAAAAACGGGAGAGAACACAGGGCTTCAGGGGGGGCGAAAGGAACCAGAGTTGGTGGATTTGAGTCGATTCGTCGATGCTGGTGTCATGCCCTGCTCGTTTGAGTCTTGAGACGCGGTCGACCCCGTCCGACAATAGCGTGGAATGCCTGCTGGAGTTGACGTAATTGATACACCGATTGATCTTGTCGCGGTGTCCCTGAGGCCTTCCGGGGAGGTCAACGGCTTCCGAAAAACTCAAGAGATACACCGGAAATACTGGAAGCATCTGCTACCTCACGGTTGTCTTGTTTTGATGTTGAGAAGCAGCAGTTAGTGGATCGGTGGAAATCCTGTTCAAGGGTGTGTACACACTCCCAACGTCTGTCGAGAACGATTCCCTTTTTTTCACATGTTTTTCCAACTATTTTGTCACGATTCCGCATAGTATGGGCACTTACTTCGTAATCGGGAGAAGACTTGAGCTTGTAGTCCCCCATGTTGGAATTGGCGAGTGCGATGGCTTCAACGTCCCTGGAACATTAAAAAAAAAAGGACACGGACGCGGCAAGGGCAAGGAGATTAACACGAAGGAGACCTGACGCCGTCTGCACAGGAGGGCGGGGGATGCAGGGATTGTAAACACCGACGGTGTCGAGGCTCGACGGCCGCACACACGGATGCGGTACACGAAATAAATGCCCCATTTTCCTACGTTGGAAAAGTAACAACGCGCGTCCCTCTCAAACAACCTACCAAGCAACCTCTGGGTTGATGTGTAATCAAGACGCAAACGTGCGACATGGAAGTCAGGATTACCGTCTCGGCCTTTCCCCGGCGCGAGAGGAAGCAGTCAAGAAGGGATGCGTTCAATGCGTCAAAATTGTGCCTGGCGTGTCTCACCGGGGATCGTCGGCATCCTCTGCGGGCTTCGCCTTGAGGAGCTTCGCAAGCGCTACCTGGCGAGCGTGCCGCTTGGCCTTGCGCGCCTCAAATGTCGACACCTGTGACCGGGCCATCAAACGGCAGCGGAAACGTTTCTTTCAGACCCCATCACCTTGTCCATACTGCCCCATCAACTCCACGTGTTCATTCACACGCTCCGTGTGAGCTATTGCAATATCATTATTCATCAACGTTTGCCTTTCACGGGTTGCTCCGCGTGTAGATGCCACGTCTACTAGGCTGACCGGTTTGGGGAGAGGGTAAGAGAGCCATAGACTAGAAAACGTGTGATGGTCCGCGGGAAGAGGTACGGTAGACGGAGTAGCACGCGCTCACCGTAGAAGTATAATCCCGATATTCAAACTACGGAGTGTGTATAGCGCCACCTGTCCGACGTCTTCGAGCGGGCGTTCACACATACCGTGCACCGTTGGCAAAATCGTAAACTAGGTACCAACCCTCAATTGATTAAACCGCGCAGTGAAACGGTGTAAGACGTGAAAAAAAACGACATACCTCAATCTCAAATTGGTTCTATCATATTTGGGAAGCGACGAGCTGCATATAACCATCAGGGGATGGACTTAACCATCAGGGGATGGACTTAAATTTGGTTCCTCATGAGCAGAATGAACTACTGTAATAAACCTCACTCGGTTCGGGGCGGGCAGGTAAAAGTCACTTGGGTTCAGCGACACTGGTGTTTGTCCGGGTGTATTCAACGCGGTTCCTGTACTTTGTAGTTTTTGTTTTTCTCTCGCCTTTTCCTCGGCCCTGCTTTCTCTGTCTCCACTCCCCCTGAAGCTTGCACTACCACTCGCCCCGCCCCCGCCTGAAAGCGCGCTGCCGTCGGCTGCGGGTAACCTCCCTTGCGCGCCCATCACTCCCGAGGATGCCAGCCCGGCCTTGAGACGCGAGCAATCGAGAAGAAACGGGCACGGTGACGATTGAGGATTTATCAGGTCTCACGGGTGGTGAATTATAGCTAGTCCATGGGCAGGCACCGCAGGCGGTATGACGTTTCAACGTATCAGGTAAGCTGGTGTGAGCCTGCTCAATTGCGCCAGGTACTTGTTGGCTCCCGTACATACAGAGGTGCCGCGCCCCTTTTTTGAATCTCAACAGAAGTGCGGCAAGAATCGAACTACTATATCCCTCGACGGACGCACACCGTAAAATGGCAGAAAAAAATCACGAGCAACGCCAACGTACGATGGAATCGCGCTTACTGTACTATGCGCTACACTCCTATCCCGACGCAGAACCGTGAAAATGGAGCCAGGTACCGGAACGAACCCGTTACACCAAACAAACCTGTTACAACAAGCGAAGGGCGATCCCATAAGGATGGAAATACGGATGAGCGTAACATGCATGCTTCCTCTCACCTCTCCCGTGCGGTCCCCGTTCATCTCCGCCTGTACGGCGGCCATGTGCTCCCTCTCCTCGCCTCGGATCTGCTTGTGCACCGCGTCCAGGAGCTTGCGCAGTCCCGCGCTGGGCTTCTCTACCCTAAAGCTGCTGATCTACGACCGACAGAGGACACACGCCGAGATATGCCGACAGGCGGGGAGAAAGCGAAGAAATCGGCACAGGAATGTAGGGGAGTCGTTGTCGTTTGCAAACCTGCTACAAACTATGTACGTGTATTTCGCTGAAACTCGTTTCTGTCCATCCGGATCGATGGTGATATTTCCACTACTCTACCGATTACAGATAGACGTGTGCCCAGCCATTTCGATGCCCGAAGTTCCATCGTTCGTATCCGTTTCTGTTCGTACACTTCGCAGTCTTGAAACCGAGTATCGCACGTATCGAACGGCGCGCGTTCTTCGTCACGTCCACATGTCATTGTATCAGGGGGCATCGCTTGATAAACATGACACCGAAGAATGCACACTTTGTAGCCTGTGCTGTCTCTGTCTACATGGTCAATACTTCCGTGATTGAGTGACGTTCGCATTCTGCTACCGACCCTTGCAATTCCATCAACATACAACAGTTCAGCCGTGTTCCTACCAGGACTGCATCCGCCCTCCATTCTGTCCGTTGAGACAACAAGCGTAGCTGCACTCTAAACCCGATCTAGTCGGAGGGAAATTAGAAGCAGAGTATCGTCCGTACTCATTCATGAAGCGGCTAACGCACCTCGTAATCCCATTGCAACGCCTTCATGGTTATGCACTCCATCTCCACATCGTCCGTGAAGTGTCGTCGAAGCTGAAACCGAAACGAATGAAGGTGGTTAGCATACCAGTCGATACCGACGCCAACGTGTAACGTGAGACGTTTGCGGGTGCGAATGGGAAGGCTTCTTGCGGGAATCGACGGGGGTTGTTTCCCCCATCAACAGAGACAGTGGTTCGTTGTGGGGCTAGGGTAAATCTCATCGAGATGGATGATTACAGTACATTGCTGTGGGTCTTACAAGATTCACCAACACACGAGCACGCAGGACTTTTCGGGGCTACGCCGACCTGGGAGTCATCCCTCTAATCCACTTGCAAATGGTTTCTCTAGCCTCCGGCGCTAAAACTTTGCCCTTCGCTCTAACGCAGAGAAGCACATCGGACCATCTCATCCGACCGGAACCCCAACTTCGTTTTGTTTCAGCGCGGTGTTTGTGAGGTGCAAGTTACTCGACACCAACCACGGCTTACCTTCACGAGGTGTAGTTCCGACTCCTCTCTGGAATACTCGAGCTCACGGGTGACCTGGATGAGAAGACATCAACGAAGAAACACAAGCAGGACCTTACCGGTTATAAACGAAAGTTTGGAAAGGATTGCATTTTCCTGGTTTTACGTTGGCATGTGCGCCACTATCGGTCAGGGGGAACTTGTTTAGGAAACCTAACCCAGAGTTGAGATCGTTCATCGGAGGGGTTGGTCACGGCGGCTGCGGCGAAGCAATTTTTCTATGAAACACGAGTGCCTTTAAGAACGACCGAAGAAGCGTTCTTTCCGGCGATGTTGCGAAAAGTGTACAACGCCTTCTCGCGACTTGGTGCCGTTGCGTCCAACAGTATGTTGGGCGTCCGCAGGATTGGTGCGCAGAAGACATGGATGTGCAACAAAGTTCTACATCATTGCTCCTGAAGTACTCGATTAAGTGTCCTAAACCGACAAATGACAGCTGTCCGCCCACCTCTTCGCAAAGTTCTTTCCCTTGCCGTTCCAACATTTCCTCGTACCCGGGATCGATGAGCATGTCCGCCTCCGACAGTCGTTCTCCTGGGGGGGCGGCGGCGTTCTCTTCCACGAGTCGGGCAAACTCCGCCTTAGTACACGAGTGCCAAACGGGGGGGATAGCGTTCCCACGGGAGAGGTTTGCGCATGTGGGAAGTTATACTTCTTTCTCTGTTCGCACGCAGGGACTCCATCGTTCTAAGCACGCTGGCAGCGGCGAAGGCACCCTCGCGGGAGATGATCGACTTGAAACGGGAGTTCGCCCCGAATGGCCTTGAGCATTTGGTGTTATGACAAACAGGATTGTAGAAACTCATTTTGGACCCACGCGCTGTTCTACTCCCACTCTATTGCATTCTACCGTAGGTTGTCTGCCTCGGTGTTGTCAAACTCTTTGTCACCACGCCGTTCCCCTCAAGCGCCAATCCGGATTACTCCTATACCGTTTCATCAACCGTCGAATCTGGAAAAGGCGAAACAGCCAACAAGCTGATGCCTGCAAAGAACGACCTATAAGTTGTGCGTCGACCAGCTAGACGGCTGCTCTTCTGACACTACATGTAGATATAGTCTATGTGGCGAACAGAAATAAAAATAACTGTTTGAACAGTCAGAGCCCTTTATCTATCAACGGTATTTACCTGCATCTGTCGTATGATCGCTCGAACTCCTTCCTTTTTCGCCTCAGCCGCCTTTCGCCTGGGTCGCAAGTTAAACAAGCATATATAATTAGTCAGTGGTATGCACGCGGAATAGGATTCAGGGGTGTTCCTCTTCACGAACGAACGACATCCCCCGCCGGGAGACGAAGGACGGAGGGTAACAATTATCTATAGGTCGTAGTCGAAGTATCATACATACATCTTGAAAAGGGGGATCGCTCCCAACAAACGAAGTAAAGGCACTGAAGAGTTGTAGACTAAAGGAAATGTATGTAAACAGGAGAACAGTGGTTATATTCTGGGTTCAACAGAAACAGACGTTCCTTACCTGCAGTATCGAACGGAGAACACACACTGCTACTTCGTTCATGTAGAAAAGCGATGAACAAGGAGGTTGTACCTTTTTCTCAACTAGGGTCCAGTTACAGAAACGCAGAGTGAATCCATAGTGTAGTAGTATTGTGAGGACCAGTCCTTGTTGTGTACCATTGTTTACGTGTAGTACTCTTCCGGCGAGGAGCATAGATCTATTGAAGCAAGGTGTTGCCGATCATATTTTCAAAAGTTGTTTTTTGACAACATACCCCGCACATATCAAAGAGCTAGCTTACAGTTACCGTACCTGTTATCGTCTTCAGTCTTGAGTTTGTCCTCCTGGATAGAGTACGCCGCTTCGTCCGTGATGTCCGCAGCCTCCTCCTCAATCAGGGGAGCCTCACTGCCGAACCCTTGAGGGACCGGCCGCACCTGTGTAGGTGAGTAGCCACACGTATTGTGAACCTCCGGTCAAAGCGTACAAGCCCAACGCTATGCATACGTTTCTTTGTTTCGTCTCTGAAAACAATCGTTTTTTCACGGGGCTCAGCGGGGAACCCACCGCTCGGACACGTCTATCCCTCTCCAGCAGATGAGGCACAAAAGACGCGGTTATACAAACGGGTTAAGCCGTACACGGCGGACGTAGCCAAGAAGATGTCTCTCTCCCGATCAAGGTGAACGTTCCCACGTTGTTCATCTATCATTGTCACACTGGCCTGCGGATTTCAACGCTGACGGCGGTATTGGTGAGACAACGAGCACCAGAGCATTGGGCGTTTTCTGCTGCCGGGGTGCTGCGGTCGGCGGTGCCGCGTGATATTTCAATCGAGCGGTGTGCCATGCAGTGAGTAGTGCGTTTGCCGTCAAGTGAGATTCGGGGTTGGAACAAATGTCTTAGCGAAGGTCGTCTAGTTAGGTTCCCTACATCGACGTGCATGGAGTAAGAATCGTACGTGTTCTGTGCAGGAATCTAGGAATGCAGGGAATACCGAGAGCGACGACCAGGGCATCATCACGTACGTGACGCTTGTGCCATCTTAATCTGGTTGCACTGGTGCGTGTTGATGACACCTTGCGCGAAGATGCAATCCGGTGTTAGGTCGATCCCGTGCGGCAAGCAGGCGTTTAAATAGTGTGGCTTTTAACACGGTGTGCGGTGCGGGCGCGGTGTTGGTAGAAAACGTTTCCTCTTACATAGACCAACCAACGCCTCATGGGGCTTTGGTTAGCTCAGAAGACCGCGACGAACCCCGTTGGTAACTCTCGGCGTGTGAGACACTATCTCCTCAAGAAGGTCTCATCTCATCAGGGGCAAGGAGCCATTATTCTATTTCGCCCTTTTGACAACAATTGTAACGTACCAGTTCGAAACCGTCAAGGTCCGTCACAGCCCCCTGGCCGTCGTCCATGTACTCGCTCAGAAAGGCTGGCGGCTCTGGGGGTTCCGCGGCGCGAGGGGCCGGCGGTGGTTCCCGAACGGGTGACTTTCCGCGCTTCTTGCTCCTGTTCATCGATTCCATCCATCGTTTTATGTTGTTCACCCCATTTACACCATGTACATATGCACGGTTTAGTTTATTTTGTTCGGTAGAGGGTACGGCGTGAGAGCTAAGGTTGGTCAAATATTCGCTAGGCGTCTGATAGCAGTCTTGAGAACGAGGGGTGGTTCTGTGTAGTCGGTGGGAAGAATCATTTTCGGTGTTATATTGTTGCGCCTCCCGTTGTACCCTCAGGGAGAAACGTAGTGCTCCCGTCAAATTCTTGTTGCTGTGCGAAGAGGTTGAGAGAACACGCGGTACAAGGTAGCCATGTTGCAGGTGTCTGTTGAGACAGCCATGTCGCTGGATAATCCAGTGCGAGCGCTATTCACCACATACCAGCACTTAAGAAAGTGGCACTACCTTAAGCTTAAAACTGGGTTTACAGATGTCTTGTCAGCCGCTACAGATATTATATTTGTACATCCAATCAACGCTATTCAAATTGTCGTGGTCGGAAGCATGAATTGAGCCCACATCTTTCGTGCAACAAGCGGGCCGTCCTTGAACGTTGGTTTTCTCGAAGTACTGTACCTGGAGCCCATTGGTGAAGACGCAGGACTGAGCGCCGGTGGAATCGTCACGTGTCGCATTCGCTCCGACAACTCCAACGCTGAAGCCTGCAAGACGATTCAATTCAGCGTGCGTACAAGGCCGGGGGGAGGCGTGATCAGAAAGTTTGCTTGCTAGCTTCCGCTGACAAGTAAGATGGAACTTGCTTGGTGTGGGGAGATACGGTAAGATGAGGGTGACACGGGAGAGGGAGATAGGCCAAGTGGGTGTTCGAGAGAAATGGTACCGTTACGGTGTGTGCGTATGCTGCACGTAGTGGTGTCGGAGTTTTTGGAAGGACATGGTACCTGGGTAGGCCAGCTGCCTGTCTGGCTTTAGCGCTGTGACTACATACAGGACACCAGACAGGGATGCCGCAGTGTGAGACAAATGGGTGGACGACCGGGTTGTCGACCAGTCAGGCATTGACGAGGTGATGCAGTGCTCCAGGATGAAGATCACGGATACGTCCCCATGACGCCAGAAATCTACCATCAGCGAAGCACAACAACGCTCACTCTCGAAAGTGCCCAAACCAGCTGCTGTGCGCACTGCTGTCGGAGGACACAACGCGAGGGAAACATCTTCGACACAACGGTGCGAGAACCCCCGCCATCCGCACCTCGAACGGCTCTCTCCTCAACCGGTGCACCGCCAACAGCCCGTCGCTGTCGCCGCTGACGATCCACTCGCCGTCGCACGAGCACGCCGCCGCCGCCACCGTCGCGTTCCCGTCGTGAGCCTGAACCCGAGCGTACACCCCCGCCGCGAGGGCCGGCCTCACCGTCACCGCCCCGTCGTCGCACCCGCAGAGAAAAAGCTCCGCGTCGTCCTCGCCAGTCTCACGGCTCGAACCACCGGAGGAGGCGTCTTTGGCGGCGGGGCCAGTGTAGCGTAGGGTCGTGATGGTCGGGGGTTTCGCGCCGATGGCGGCCGTTGATGAGGGTCCGTACCCCGCGGGGAAGTCGCGCACAGGAAACTCTTCCTAAAAGTGCGACCGGACGTACGTACAGTAGCATCACGAGAGAGAGGGGGGTGCTGACGGTAAGTGTGTGACAGGCCTACATGTATAGCGTTGGCAAAGGTACGAGGGGGGGGTTGCATCGACCCTTCTAAATGGTTTGAAATGTTCGTCATGGCATGATCGCCGCGTTTTCTCTCTCTGAGAAAAGGGAGCGGATCTCCAAATGCAAGTTAACTTCGTGCTCTGGAAAACTCTTTCCAGGACGTGCGATCATTTGTAAGGCAGTTTCTGAACGCGTGCGCGGTGCAACCTTTACAGCACCGACCGCGCCACACGCAGTCTTATCCCAGCAACTTGGAGCAGAGCAAACGCATGGCACCAGCAGTAAAGGAGGGATAGATTACCACAGGTCTCACTCTCACCTCCCAGGAACACTCAAAAATCGCCCCTCGAGCCCAGCCCCCCATCGCGAGCAAGAAGTTTTCTCCCCCTCCCCGGGCGTAGACCGCCTTCAAGGCGGGGGGTGTCGGCAGAGTCTGGTTCGATGCGTCCTCCTCGCCCTCTTCGTCTCCGTCTTCGTTCTCGACGCTCCCCTCCAACGCATCAGCCGCCGTCTCCCCGCCCGCTTCTTCCGGCAATTCGAGCTCGAGTGCACTCAGTGATTGCACGGGGCGCCTCTTGAACGTGTACCACCGGACGGGGATATCGGGGATCTCGAACGACTGCAGCATACAGAAAAGATGCAGCCAAAGCAACATGCCCAGTTTTGACATGCATATCGTTCCGTCGATGAGAATTTTGACTCAAGAGGTTGGGAAGAATTTCGGTTTCATCCCAAGCACCGAGCCGCTCACGGGTGATGCCGGCACATTGTATTCGAACCACGACGTGTCCGATATTCCGTCCCCAAAACTACAAAATAAGAAATACCCACAGAACAAAAACAAAACACACCCAACCATTACGTACGGCAACTGAAGACACGAGCTAATAGGCGTCAATAAGAAATGATCCACGACAAGGCAACAGCAGTAATACGCACGCACCTGACTCGAATCAACCCCATCGAGGTGGCCGCCGGAAAGATCGACCTGCGCCACTTCTCCCCCGACGCAGGTGACGATCACGCTCGACGAGTCTTTCCGCCAACACACGCTCGTCGGTGTCGACGGCAGCGTGTAAAACCCAACCGGGACGTAGTCTTGCATCTGGGAAAGTACGGTTCGATCGCGAACAAGGGGCCGTGATATGCGGTCAAGGAAACAGCGCGACACACATATACAGCTCATTGTACCACGAAGCAGAAACGAGTAGCAGTTGAGTGGGGGAACCGAGCTTGTGCGCGAAACGAACGGGGTCTTGCTGCCTGGCCAACTATCGTTTGCTTGACGAATTCCCCGGCGAAGCATCGGAAGGGGCCCGGGCAATGTTCCGAACCACGAGGCACAAAACAAGGGCGAACTTCGGTAGTTGTCTCAATCTACGTCTTTGCGCTTCGTCATCTAGCAACATCAACACCGACTCTCTTTGCAATTACCTCTGCGGTCAAGCAAGACTTGATGAAGAAAAGCTTGCAATCCTTCCCAACGGTGGCCAGCAACTTTCCGTTCGGACTGTACGCGAGACCGGCCACGCCGCTGTCGTGCGGCTTCAGCGTCTGCGCCCGTCGCAGCGAGCCGTTTCCACCATCAGAGCTGCCCCCCAAGCCCCCCGCTGCGTCGCCCCTGGCTCCTTCACCCCGGGGATCTCGAACCAGTACCCTCACCACGCCGTCCGCAAATCCCACCGCCACGGTGTGACCGGCGGGGTCAACGTGGTCGTTGGCCCACACGAGGCACTGCGCTGCCCGCGGGAACCGTGCCATCTCCAGAGGCTTCTTGGTGAGGAAGTCCCAGATGCGCACCGTTCCATCAACTCCGCAGGTTGCCGCGAGCTGCTCCAGGAAACTCGTGTCCAAGCCCGTGATGGCACCGGCGTGGAAAGTGGCCAGCTGTCTCGTGTCCGGGGCGGGAGAGTCAGCCGTCGCTGGTTGCGAGATGGGAACCTGCCACAGCGCCCCCGCTCCATCTGTCACCAGGAAGTGGTCTGAATTGGGGTCATCTCGAACGCCGCCGCGCTCGACGCAACGCGCGTTGACGCCCTCGCCGATGAAAAGCTCCCGTACCGGGGAAACCTCGCAGCACATGGAGTCATCGTCCGCATCCGCGCTGTCGATACCGGCGAACGGCCACCAGCGCACGTACCCGTCGGCACCAGCCGTGACCACGAGCATGTCGGTTCTGTCAAGGGACACGTGCAAGACAGGACCGTCGTGGCAGCCCGTCTTCCCAGGCCGCACGACCTGGCACTTGATGAACTGCCCTTCCCATATCAGCAGACAGCCCGACTCCGCCCCGGAGACCACTTTCCCGTCCGGCATGTGGCAGAAGCAGTCGATGTCCGTCATTTCGACCTTACCGAACTTGCCGATCTCCCCCTGCAGCTTGAGGCCTGTAAACGTGCTTGCTACTCGCCAGAAGCGGATGTGTCCCGTGCCTGACGTGGTCAAACGGCCCTCATCGTCCGGGGAAAACGAAACCTGCAGAAAACAGGGGCAGCGATTATTTCCCCACGATCTGTTTTTCGATGTGATGGGGTTCGAACTACCGACTATTTCCCGTGTTAGGTTTATGAAGCCATTCTGTTTTACCGTGGAACTCAGCGCCGACTAACTCCAGATGAATTTCATGGATCAGCCCCATAAACCTACCACGCTCTTCGCACAGTTGTCACATAGAGCGGCCAGCCGCGGCAAATGGTCAACTATTCTTACTTCGAGCACGTTCTCGATTTCAAACCATCGAACATGCGAAGTGCCATACTGTAGACCTGACCCCCTCTAACCACCAACAATAGACAGTCCATTCACCTTGGCAACATCTTGTCCAAAGGCCTTGCAATGAAGGATGACTTTCTCGTTGACCCAGTCCCAAACTGTGAGCATGAAGTCAGGAGCCTGCCCCACGCTAGCCAGCTTCTCTCCGGTGGTGGTAAAGTCCATAGCGCAGTACCCTCGCTCGGTTCCCTTCCGCAACACCTGAAATATTGCAGACCACGAGTTCCCCAAAGAAAGCCACTGGTTGTCGAAGGTATTTTAAGTACATTTAAGTCAGTACTGTACCAAGAAATATATGCATATGTAGATGTACTCAAGCATCCGGTTTAGCACTCCCTCTTCAAAGCATCCGTCATGGGAATTTCTATCTGTTGAGCGATATTTGGTTTGTTCGCGCAGCTCCAACTTGAAGTTGTTGCATTGCTGGAAGATCTCGTACCTTGGCTATTTTGAAGCTGGGGTACTCGTACACGTAGATGTTGGGCATCGACCCCTTGTCTCCGACCGCAACCAGCGTGCCAGTCGGGTGCACAGCGAAACAACCCACCCCGCCACCGTCCAGCCCGAAGATGACTCGTCGCTTCATGGTGGACACCTCAAGGATCACCAGGGTATTACCAGCGGCGTACATCACCTTGCCCGGCTCGATGTACCTGAGGTTGTCTGGTCTTGCTGTGTCCAATCCGAAGGAGTGGTGAGGAGCGATGTTGTTCCGGGCCAGCTCTCCGTGCTGTCAGAATTGAAATGGGTGGTGGTTAGAAATCGTTGAAGGATATGGTTTGTGAAATCTAAGTGTACACTCACCGTTACAGATTACAACAGCCGTAGAGGGAACTTTTCATGGATATCCGGCTCATTTAAAGCAAGGTGCCGTACCTTGAGGAACGTGGTACGTGCAATGACAGGCATCCTTACTCATGTTCTTATTAACTATTGGTAGTGGTCTACGGTAGTCTACATGTGCATGTAGTGTGCGGTTTGTAGATATGCCGTCTCACCTGCAGCTCTTGTTTGAAGGAAGCCTTATCGTAGAAGGAGTCCACCTTCACCTTGACCACCTCCAAGGATGGTCGATGGGATTTTCGCTTAGGAGGGGGGATCACATCAGCGGCGATATCATCCTCTGTGCCAGCCACTTCTCCCGTAGATGGATCCACCACTACACTGCTGTCCATGCGGCCCTTATCCTCGGTTGACGTTCTTTCGGGAGGATCCCCATCCTTTCGATCTTCAACGTCGGCCATTGGTTGTTCTTCACTCTCTTCAGCAGCGGCTTCGCTAGAGGCAACCGCAGGCTCACTCTGATCAGTCATGCCGACGGCACCGATTTCCTGCCACGTCGTGGTAGCATGTAGTGTTTGAGCACGCTGGAGGGTTCGGTGTCGAAGCCTCGAAGCCTCGAAGCAAAATGGTCCGCACAAGCGTTTCAAATGAAACATTTGTGGCACGCAGTTCGCTGATTGGTCAACGCACCTGCGGCGGAATTGTGTTGGGAGTTGGTAGGGAGAAATCCATGGGGGTTCCGTGAATGCATAATTTTGAAAATCTGCAAAATTGGAGACAGCTAGAGAGCAGAGCACAGCGAGCAAGCGAAGCTGAGCTGCACACGACACGTTGCGCACCTTGGGGGCGTCACTCACGTACTGCCACTCGCTGCCTTGTGCACGTACGCACACGCCATCACTAAAATGCCTGGAGGTTTGGCGTCGTGGTTAGATGATACAAATGGTCAACCGCATGTTCGGCGACGCAATGATGCCTGCTCGGCAGACCGCAGGACTTCGGTCTCGGTCATTGACGAAGCAGCACCAAGTAGTACTAGTAGTACCGGCGGCAGCCAAGGTCCAGCACCAGACTCTGCTGAAAAGGAAGCCTGGGATCCGTTCGAAAGCGATTGTCGCGAGGACGCCTTCGCTCGGCTCTTGTCGGCTGCAAACCGGCCGGCCGGATCATCAACGACTACTGCTTCCACATCCCAACCACCAGCAGCACCGGCGTCCTCGTCCTGGGATCCGTTTGCAAGCACTGGCGACGGAAAGGAGAACCGCGGAAACGCTTTGTCGAAGCTTCTCGCATCTCCCAGCCAGCCCAACGGCAGTAGCAAGGGGAGAAGTGGTCCGTCGAGTGCGAAGAGAAAGCGTCCGGCGGTGGGTTCTACCTTGCTGAATGCTACCACCGCAGCGGGGGGATCGCGAGCTGGGGGGGCGGGGAATGCGGAGGCTGTGACCCGGTTTTGCGAGTGCCCTGTGTGCGGGAAGAGGGTGAGAGTAGTGAGAGTTGCTGGGGTGTGCCCTCTGATGTTGGTCAATATGCGCCTGAACCACACAGGCTTTCACACAGGCTAATCAGCTCCTCGCACGCACAATGTTTTTGATACCTGTAACCACAAGTGTGCACACTGCTGACCCTGACTGTCACTTACAGCACTGCGGTTGAACCTTTGCACACATGCCACAGATCAGAGCCATGATCCCTACAGATCGAGCTGTGATACACGTAGCTCTATTGAAGGGTTTTCTATGTCCCTTATGATCGGTAGGACATCAGCGATATGTGCATGTTTGCTCCATGGTGATCGGTGGTGATCGGTAAGACATAGGCATCATGGGTACTGTAGCTAGCTCATGATTTATTTGTGATGTGTGCGGACGTGCGGACTCTTTGCTCCCTTCGGCCTTCGGCATATCAGTCTTACTCTCTCGGCGATTCACGCGGGTTGGCTTTGCTATCCTGTGGTTACCCCTCCTCCCTACTTAAGCCGGCCGTCCAGTGCAACGTACAAAAATGGACGCTGCAGTAGCTCAGTCACGCAAGCGCAGACCTCAGGTGCCTACGAAGTACTCCGTATCTGTGTGCAACCCGAGGTAGCCTTGCTTCACTCACCTTGTCGTTCTACACGCAATTCCGCTAGTTTGGGTTTGGAAACCCATCGGGTGATGAGTTGCAGTAATGGCTTCCTTTACTATAGGCGTCCACAATAAAGACATTTCTCTACACTGGGGTTGCTGTTTCATCACCCTGTAATGATAAAACCCCCGGCGCTTGGTAGGCTGCATCGTGTGTGGGCTACCCTTTGCATGTATGTACCGAACGGGCCTGCCTGCGGTTGAGAAATATTTCGCTGAGAAACTGAGTCTCAAATAGTTTCGCGAAAACTCAGAAAATAGGGAAAAGAGAAAGAAAACACAGCTATGCATAACTCAGCGGTGAATCCTAGGTTTAGCTCCATAAAACAACCTGTGCTCGACATGCAGTGGGGATGAAATACTTCGAAGCTGAGCCTCGACCCGATTTTCGCGTTTCTCATCTCCGGTCCCGTTCTGTATGCACGCGGCTGGCTGCCCCCGCCGCAGGTCCTTATCGAGCTGTGCAGCAAGCATCTCGACACGGAGTGTAACGGGCTGGACGCGACCCCCCCCGCCGCCACCGAGACGGCAAAATCACCGGTTTCCGCTGCGACCGAGGGCTGGGGAGCCGCGGGACCCCTTCCCCCGGCAACACCACCGCCACCAGCGCTTGCAGCAGTTTCTAATCGATCCGTGCTTGCATCCCCGCCGCCCGAGGAAGGAAAGTGCGATGGCCGCGCAAAGGCAGCAGCTCGAGTAGCGAAAGGTGTCCCGCGTGGACAAGGGCAGCAGCCCTCGGGCGATGCAGCAAGCGCCGAGGACGACGCGTCAAGCTCGCGAGCAGCAGCCTCGACGTTTCCCGCTCCTGCCGTAGCCCCTGCCTTCGTATCCGCTGCTGCTGCTGCTGCTGCAGCCAAGCCGGCGGCGTCTTCTCGGACAAGGAAGCTAGGTCGAAAACGAGTAGCGGCAGCAGCGGCGATGACGACTTGTCCCGTTTGCGGGGAGCAGGTCCAGGCGGACCTGTGCAGCTTGCACCTGGACACGGACTGCTCGGGCGGCGGGCGGAAGGAAGAGGTCCGCGACGAGGTGGGCTCGGGAAACGGCGGAGAGGCGGACAGCGGTAAAACCGTGCCCAAGAGGGACACCGGGAGCGAGGCGGCGGGGGGACTGAACGCGCTTGCGGCGGAGCTGACTTGTCCAATTTGGTGAGACAGGCTTGGAAGTGAGCGATGCGGTACCGTGGTTTAGACGGGTAGCTTTCGCCTGCCTCGCCGCTTGCCAGCGTTACTGCTGTTTGTGACGTTTGCCTGTACTGCTCCTATGCTTTGATTTATCAGCTTTCACATAGCGTTTCCCAAGTAAGACAAAAATTGAATTGGTCAATGCTGCTGCCGATATATATCCAGTCATAGAAACGATCGGATTTTTTGTTGTTTTGTGTCCCCCGTTACCTCGTTTTCTTCCGCATAGTCGTCCTTCCGCATCGCAAAATAGAGTTTTGTTTTGCACGAAGCAGTCGTTTTGACAAGATTCCGGCCGTCCGTCCCGCGATTGCGCCGCCTGCATATCCTCTTGCGCGTTCTCCCGCCTTTTGTCTACCTTTGCACGACATGACAACAAGTCTTTGTGTCTTCGAGGATGCACATTCCTTACCGTGCAGCCACCGGTTTTGCCTGGAGTGCATCCTGGGGTGCTTCAAGTCGAGCAAACGGCAGGAGTGCCCGCTATGCAAGGTGAGCACTTGCCCGTTGGATTGACCATTATTGTTGTTTGGTTTTGCTGTTTTGCACGAGAAGCACGCATGTTAGCTGTTTTTCGATAACGAGCGGCCTTTGCTACCCTCTGGTTCAAATCGGAAGTCAAGATTTTTAAATTGGTGAGAGTTGCTGCAGGCAAATTTCTCTTGAGCTTTTAATCTTTTCACGACCCGCTTCGCTCAGATGTATCTGTGATTCTCGCCCACAAAAGAATCCGAGTACTTGTAGTCTGAAGAATGCAGAGCTCCCCTGTGCTGCTCACGACTTTCAACTTCACCGGGCATGACACCCTTCCGCACACACACCGTTGCTTTCTTGCGTGCCACGTGCTGCTGCGCCGCTCCCAGATCCCTGCATGGAAGAGAGACTTGACAAGGGACGTCTCTATCCAGAACATAATTGCCGCTTACCGAAGGATGGCAGCGTAGCAGTATCTGCCACGCTTTGTTGGAGGAACGAAGATATCGTAGCAGTATCTGCCACGCTGTGTTGGAGGAACGAAGTAGGGAGTGTACAATATCCTCTCTCGGGGCAAAGATGATTTGAGCCGAGGGTGAGAGCGGCTCGGTTTGACTGGTTACTGCTCGGAACGTGCTCTTACGGGGTGGGCACAGCAGGTGTGGGAATGAGGTTGAAATGACCGTGCGTGCATGGAAGACTCTTTTTTTTTTTGTGTGTTGTGACATGCCGGCAAGCGATTGTTGGTGGGGTGCTTGGATCATGATCACGTTCCCATTACCGTAACGCTGCTGCTGTAGTTCCTCTTTGTCTCTTACGAGAGAGCGCAGAGAGAGAGACAGAGAGAGGGGGGGGGAGAGAGAGAGAGAGAGACAGACAGACAGACAGGGAGAGCAGACGTACTCCACGGCGGAGACCAGTTTACGAATGACCATATTCACGTCATGCGCTGTCGTACGATGATCGACCGAGGTCGAAGGCCGTAGCAAGTATGTCGAGTTCTTCCCTCGTAACCAAAGTATTTATTCGGTACGGACTTACTTGAAGAGTTACCCTATAGGGTCGGGATCTGAAACTGTTGTGGGTGTCTTTAACGTTTGGGCGGGCAACAGCTATCATCGTCGGTATGGTGTTTTTTGTGCAGTTGTGGTATGTAATGATTTTTCCTGTTTTTTCGTCACAGCACCCGGCGAGAGCCGGTGGTTCGTGCCTTGGTCTTAACCAGTTGTATGCCTACTCTCCCTTCCTTGCAGTCTGGATTGGATTTAGTGTGATCTTTTCTGTCGTTTCGGTAGTAAATGAGTAGCTTGCATAGTGCAGAAGGTATTGATCCGACCGGTGTTAGATTCCGTTGGACGGATCACACCCCGGCGGTTGCCGTGAGGATAACGTGATGACGTGATTGTTTTGAAGCAAAGTGCCGTGCGTCAAATTCACACGCTGGTTTCGAAATCGCCCAAGACCACCCGAAGGATAAATTTCGTTTGTGGAAGGTGGCGGGAAACCTGGCAACAACCAAACGCAATTTCTTCACGCGAGCATGGAGCAAGCACATGGAGCAGACCGGGAATCTGTCCGCGTTAAAATCGCTGCAAAGACGGTTGATGAAAGTGGGAAACACGCTACACTCTAGGCTGGTTTTGGTCCTGCCGCCCGTGGTGTTTTCAGAGGTACTTGCATTGGGCACTTTAGTTTCTTCGCCGCCTGAGGTTTGTTTTCCCGTCGCCGTTATAGATGTTTTGGGCGAGAGTCTGGATAGTACCCTTCAACGAGATTTCATGTTACAAGCCATCCCAAGAGCGTTCAACTTCTTCGATTACCGGCGAGATCACTGCACAAAAGGCAGGAGGAAGAGTTCAGTGATGATGCGCGCAAAAAATGTGACGTTAAGACGAGCAAAGACCTGACCGTACAAGCTAGTACGCGACCTACCCAGCACAGGGGTTGCAGGGGGCAGGATGCCGTCATGGAAGTGCTACGGTGGTATATGAGGCCGACCGTGTTGCATCAGAAAAATGCAACTCTTCGACAAGCAAACGGTGTTGCACACGGGGCAACAGCAGGTGCACAAAAGGTAAGCAATACACCGGTGTGCCCATTTCGCCAGAAAGCGGTTGGACAGACAACATCGTGCCACCTTTTCGGCAGAGCCGTTGGTCAGACCATGCGACGGCAAACCAAAGAAATCAATCACAAAACTATCATTTGTAACGTATTATTAACATTTCCCCGTCCCATCATCGTGTTGCCAAAAGTTCCACGACTCTTCCATCCGCAAGCAGACTATCCCAAGAATCGTAAGCTCCGCTTGCTCTTCATTTCTCACGCATCCGATGAACCTCGGTTTCATTCTGGCGACAAGCTCACAGCCGATCATCATCCGCTCCGCTCAGACCCTTGTACAGTACTGTTTAACAGACCGCTACCAAATCGCAACGGGAACTAGAGACAACACAATCTAGGAGACGAGAACTGGCGCAAGTTCTACTGCCCGCCACGGAGGCGAAGCACCAGGTGCAGGGTAGACTCCTTCTGGATGTTGTAGTCCGACAGGGTGCGGCCGTCCTCCAGCTGCTTGCCGGCAAAGATCAGGCGCTGCTGGTCCGGGGGGATACCCTCCTTGTCCTGGATCTTCTGCTTCACGCCGTCGATCGTGTCCGACGGCTCCACGTCCAGGGTGATGGTCTTGCCCGTGAGGGTCTTGACGAAGATCTGCATGCCGCCACGAAGACGAAGCACCAGGTGCAGGGTAGACTCCTTCTGGATGTTGTAGTCCGACAGGGTGCGGCCGTCCTCCAGCTGCTTGCCGGCGAAGATCAGGCGCTGCTGGTCCGGGGGGATACCCTCCTTGTCCTGGATCTTCTGCTTCACGCCGTCGATCGTGTCCGACGGCTCCACGTCCAGGGTGATGGTCTTACCCGTGAGGGTCTTGACGAAGATCTGCATGCCGCCACGAAGACGAAGCACCAGGTGCAGGGTAGACTCCTTCTGGATGTTGTAGTCCGACAGGGTGCGGCCGTCCTCCAGCTGCTTGCCGGCGAAGATCAGGCGCTGCTGGTCCGGGGGGATACCCTCCTTGTCCTGGATCTTCTGCTTCACGCCGTCGATCGTGTCCGACGGCTCCACGTCCAGGGTGATGGTCTTACCCGTGAGGGTCTTGACGAAGATCTGCATGCCGCCACGGAGGCGGAGCACCAGGTGCAGCGTAGACTCCTTCTGGATGTTGTAGTCCGACAGGGTGCGGCCGTCCTCCAGCTGCTTGCCGGCGAAGATCAGGCGCTGCTGGTCCGGGGGGATACCCTCCTTGTCCTGGATCTTCTGCTTCACGCCGTCGATCGTGTCCGACGGCTCCACGTCCAGGGTGATGGTCTTACCCGTGAGGGTCTTGACGAAGATCTGCATGCCGCCACGGAGGCGGAGCACCAGGTGCAGGGTCGACTCCTGCAAATGAACGGCAACGACATTGGCAAAAAAGGGGAGGAAAGGGCAAGGGTTCAATGAGTCATCAGGGTGCGACAAGGAATATTGCGACACATACGCATACCTCCCTCGTCCAGCAATTTACCACGGAGCCGTGATGTCACAAAACGTCTACAGCACGCGCTGATTTTTGAACCGGTCCGACGCCGCTGGCTTGCGGTCATCACGGCTTCAACCACAAACGGTCGGCTTGAAAGGTTCCTGTATAATCTAAAATGGAAGCCCAACGCGTCTGTCTGAGGCCGTGATGAAAATAAGCCAGTTACATCGAGCGCGCGCTGATTGAACCGGTCTGATGCCACTGTCCGTTCTTGACGGGGTCAAACGCAGACATTGGGCTTGCCTCTGAAGCCTAACGTCTACGTTTTGATGCGCGTCAAGTACGCAAGCCTACGGCATCGTACAATTTCAACTTCTGCGCGCGCTTCTAGCCGTATGTCACAAAATTCCTTCCACTTACAAATCACTCGGTTCCCCCTTTCTGACTGTGTACATAAACAACTTACAGGACACACCAAACTCCTGTACAGTGTTCCACCACAAATAAAAACAAATAAAAACATAGAAAGGCGGGCACCCTGCCTGTGATTCCCACGCGCTCAAGACATCGTGCTACAACATACCTTCTGGATGTTGTAGTCCGACAGGGTGCGGCCGTCCTCCAGCTGCTTGCCGGCGAAGATCAAACGCTGCTGGTCCGGGGGGATACCCTCCTTGTCCTGGATCTTCTGCTTCACGCCGTCGATCGTGTCCGAAGGCTCCACGTCCAGGGTGATGGTCTTGCCCGTGAGGGTCTTGACGAAGATCTGCATGCCGCCACGAAGACGAAGCACCAGGTGCAGGGTAGACTCCTTCTGGATGTTGTAGTCCGACAGGGTGCGGCCGTCCTCCAGCTGCTTGCCGGCGAAGATCAGGCCGCTGCTGGTCCGGGGGGATACCCTCCTTGTCCTGGATCTTCTGCTTCACGCCGTCGATCGTGTCCGAAGGCTCCACGTCCAGGGTGATGGTCTTGCCCGTGAGGGTCTTGACGAAGATCTGCATGCCGCCACGAAGACGAAGCACCAGGTGCAGGGTAGACTCCTTCTGGATGTTGTAGTCCGACAGGGTGCGGCCGTCCTCCAGCTGCTTGCCGGCGAAGATCAGGCGCTGCTGGTCCGGGGGGATACCCTCCTTGTCCTGGATCTTCTGCTTCACGCCGTCGATCGTGTCCGACGGCTCCACGTCCAGGGTGATGGTCTTACCCGTGAGGGTCTTGACGAAGATCTGCATGCCGCCACGAAGACGGAGCACCAGGTGCAGCGTAGACTCCTTCTGGATGTTGTAGTCCGACAGGGTGCGGCCGTCCTCCAGCTGCTTGCCGGCGAAGATCAGGCGCTGCTGGTCCGGGGGGATACCCTCCTTGTCCTGGATCTTCTGCTTCACGCCGTCGATCGTGTCCGACGGCTCCACGTCCAGGGTGATGGTCTTACCCGTGAGGGTCTTGACGAAGATCTGCATGCCGCCACGAAGACGGAGCACCAGGTGCAGGGTCGACTCCTGCAAAATAAAATTAAAGAAACAAGCAAGAGGGTCGGGCAAGATTCAGTGAGTGATTGGGGTGCGACGAAGAACAAAAAAGCTTCCCCGTCAAGCACACAATTCAAGAGCCAACACCCGACCTAAGAATGTCAAGTCCAATATTGGAGGCAAATTCTGAAAATAAGCCTGCTCTGTGAAGGTTCGCGAGGACCATAAGACCGTTTTGGTCTCTCGCCAAACGTCGAAAGGGCAAAAAACATGATACTTGGGAGGCAACGTTTGAGATACACTCCTGTAACAAGACATGTCTTGGAAGGTTTTTGGCGTGTGCCCTTCGCCGTTTTGGTCTCTCACCCAACGTTGAAAGAGGAAACACGTCGTTTGCGGCAAGGCTTTTATGTCATCAGAAAATACTTCCAGGAGGGTGGGGGGTCGACACAGAAAAAGTCACTTATATTGCAAATACAAGAAAGTGCCAGGGTTGAAAAACACGTGGCCCATCTACAGCAGTAATAGTTGCACTTCTACAAGGGATGGGCGTGGCGGCAGCGCGAGAAACTAACATCATCACGACTGCCTTCGTGCCGGGGCCCGATTCACACCTTCTGGATGTTGTAGTCCGACAGGGTGCGGCCGTCCTCCAGCTGCTTGCCGGCGAAGATCAATCGCTGCTGGTCCGGGGGGATGCCCTCTTTGTCCTGGATCTTCTGCTTCACGCCGTCGATCGTGTCCGACGGCTCCACGTCCAGGGTGATGGTCTTGCCCGTAAGTGTCTTCACGAAAATCTGCCGCGGCACCATCACGTAGACAAGGGAACGTTTAGTTGTTACACCGAGGGGAGAAAAACACGGCATCGAACTTAAGAGACACAAGTACACCACAATCAAATTGTGAGAAAACTAAGAACGCAAAGCACGAGGGGACACAACACACTGCTGTTCACACCCGCCCCTTCTCTTCTTGTACATGCTGTAGACGTGACATTTTTAACTCCAGATTGTGACACGTGTACCGATCTCTCCGAGATCAACAGACGAAGCCCCATGACCTCTAAAAGACTCGCTCGCTCATATAGGTAGTATACACCATGGTTGAAAACACTAGCAAGAAAACAGGTTCTAACGGACCATTTGTGAGCAGGTCGACATGCGTCAGCGACGGTGTTTTTCTCCACCTCCTGGGCAGCGAAGAAGTATATCCGAGAACTGCTCGAGGGATGAGCGAGGGAGACCCAAAAACGGAGAAATCCACCACGTCCTTTTTTCGAACTTTGCGTCACCAATGGTCTGCGCGAATGGTGAACTGAAAAGCTGGTCTACGTCACGGGTGTGCACGCTAGCTCGCGGCGGACGAAAGCACCCAAGACACGAAAGGCGAGACACGACCTGCCCGCCAAAAACCTGCCAAAACGCCAAAACCAACTCTACTTCAACCTTCACGGAGGGATTGTCGGAATTGTAGCACGACAACGCCAACCGGCTACCCAAAAGGGACCAAAAATAAACAAGCGAGGAGTCTTGTGAGGAGGGAGGCGGTCACGGTGGTCCTGTGGCCGCGGCGGGGAACGCGCGTCAACGCTCCATCCACGCTGGTGTCGGAACGACGGGCCAAAAACGGTCATCTTCATGCCGCCCTTACAAGGCACCGAAAAAGGGGTGACCAGACACTCAATCCTCTTACAATATCGGTCGATTCGCTACCCATGGCCCAACCTCCTCAGTCTAGCGCCCTTGAACTCACTTGCATGTTGATGCCTTTGTCTTGACTCGCTGTTGGTTCTGCGGTGCTTGTGATAATTTGCTTGTAGGGTTGGTTTCTAGTGTGGGCGGGGCCGGCGGGTGCGAGTGTGGAGAAGTGGGGGAGACGGGGAGACGATAATTGAGGGGGCCCTCTGCCGAGAAGTAGGGGGGGGGTGTCGCAGGCTTCTCGACTCTTCTAGAACTTTCTAAGGATCGTTCCCCAAGTTCCGTAGGTTCCCCCGGAAACCGATCTCACCGCGTTGACCCGCCAAGTCCCGCTCTGCCTTCCCTGCTCGCTCTTCTTGCTGGGTATTCCGATGGCCCGACCGCATGTACAACAAGCATACTCCGTAGAATGTTCTTTTCGCTCTTGGGAAGCGACTTTTCAACGCATGACTGACTCTTCCTGCTGCTTTTCGAATTTCGAATTCATTCACTGTTCGATCGTCAATGTTTTTCAAGATCGTGAACTGTATTACCCCGAACATCTCATCACCAGCAGTGCCGTGTGGTATGGGCTTCCAAACGGACCCAGCCCTGTCTGAGCGGTAAGCTCTACGTGATGATTAAAGGACGCATCTACAACACACATGCACAGCAGCATCAGACTCCACATCAGATATCAGCAGCCCACGTCTTATAGTCTAATTATTGATTGATCCAACCGAGACGGGACGGGCCGGGGCGGGACTTTTGATGGTGGTTGATCTGGGGTGACAGCAAGCAAAGATTGGTGCTCGCGTATGATCCGTTGCGTAACCCCGACGCTTTTCAGCGTTAAAAAATCGTGTTTGATTATTGCCGTGCCCACTCTCTACTGTCGACTACATAGTCTACTCTAGGTCTACACGTCTGTCTGATGGATTCAACAAATGGTATGAACCAAATAATTTCGGTGTCCGATAACCCGAGGTGAAGGTTATTCGTCGGATCACAGTTCGCCCCGGCCACGTCCGGCTCCCGTGGGCGTCGACAACATTATTCCTCAACACCCAACACAATTTTCTCTAAACTACGTACCCTAAAGTACTATTTGCGGCCATGGACAGACTGACGCAATCGTCCGGTCTTGAACTGCTGTCGACAAAATTCATCTCAACCTATCACCCAAAAATGTTCCAAACGAAAATGTTGCCATCTGCGCCCACCGACGTTAGCTGTTTGTCGTCCGGACTAAAGCTGATCAGGAGCGGGAGGACGAAGCGCGCGGGGCAGGAAGGCATTCATCGCGGAGTGAACAAGACGGGAAGGACCACGTTGCACGCTTGCAACTACATGTGTGAGAGAGAAACATCACCACGGACATATGTACATACATGTAGTCTGCCAACAGCGAAACGAAGGCGCGACACAGCATCCACAATGAATGAATGTGTTTCCCCGACGTTTTTTGGGACTCTCTGATGATACCGTACGCGGGAAGAGGAGTAGGTCGTGGACGCGTGCCCTGCCTACCCACCACCCCACATCTATCTCGTCATATGCAGTCAGTAAAAGCAAACACGAGCAGCAGAAAACTAGACTCACTCAGCGGGATTCTGCAGCAGTACTACACTATTATATATATAATAGTATATATTTCCAAATTCGGTCTTTTTTCAGCTAACCTGAGCCCGGCAATGGCGCCTGAGTGTCCAGTCCCTTCAAAAATTAGATCGACCGTGTCGTATGCCCAAAGCTTGACTACCGCGGCTGAACCACCGGTAGCGACGTATCGCCCGTTGTGGGACACGGCCAACGATAAACCTTCATCGTCCCTAGATTTGGAAAGCTCCTAATAATGTTCGAGTGACGAAGAGGACGCGGGGTCGCAGGCACAGCAGCTCTTTAGCGGTGACAAACCGAGAATATCCGCGAGCTTTGCGCAAGAAGGAGTGTAGACTAAGCCTAAGGCTGCTGCGCTTGAGAATATAGACAAACAGACATCGGCAGGGGGGGGCACAGTTGTGCATCTCCAGATAGCGAAGAACCTGTGCTCGACAGAACAAGCATCAGCTCGTAAGCTGAAGCAACGACCTCTTGCTCCCCCCCCACCCCCCCCCCCCCGAAGAAATTGTTCCCCCAACATCCACCAAGGGCCCGAATCAACCAAATGCACGGACAAAACGAAGTTATGTTTCAAAACGTGGTCGCCTGCTTCATCCTTCCGCACGACTGTTCTCGGTAAACTGAGCTCACGAGTATTATTGTGGCGTTCCAGTATGCCGACAATATGATGCTGTCATCATCAACGCTCTTGCAACTTTCCTTACCACTTCCCCTGTTTCTCACCTTGGCCAGGACAGGATGGTGCTCCCTAAGGTCCCAGTAGGTTACCCGCTTCTCTTGCCCCATTGTGATTACGGTAGTCTCGTCTTGCGAGAGGGCTACCGCATTCACGCCCCCCATTCTTTGCGAGTGGTGTGAAACCTATCGTTCGAAAAGAAGCGTACAAGCCGGTCGCCGACGGTCGCAAGAATTGGATGTGCATTCGTCCAATAAGGGTACTCTGTCCGTTCGATCCAGACACCACCGCCGATACCCGGCGCTTGGATCTCTCGAGACAGAAACGGCATGTTGGTGGCCAGTTGCGTACGGCGCATCTGGGTCCGAACACAGATTTTGAACGAGCTTGCGACGAACCAACAAGGAACGGCAGACGTTCCCCGAACAATCGTTCGAGTGCACGATATGCCTTGCCCAGAGCTTCTGTTGATGATGGGTTGTTGTCATCGACATTCTATCTAATTTACCTGGCTTTCGCTTCGCAGGTCCCAACAGATGAGAGATCGATCTCGCGACACGGAGAGCGCGTGAACGTCGTCGCAAAAAAGCGCCAGGGATGTGACCCTTTGGCCGTGCTGCTTCAAGTGACTCACCTGCCCAGCATCGCGTGAGAAGGCTCGTGAAGTTGAACACACCATAACGTTAATTCTCTCTACAGGCATTCGGTGACGAAAGAACGGCGGCGATTATTATAGTCGATGAAAAGCAGTTGTCCGAAGCCTACGAAACTAGTCCAGAGCATGGCTTTGACTGGTTAACGTATTGCTTCTCCGAGAAAAACACTTGTTGCTTTCTTACCAAGTCCCTGGATCGCAACTCCCACACCCGCAGCTCCCCCTCCATCCCACCGGTGACCAAGAAGCGCTCGTTGTGGCTGACAACGAGGCTAGTGACCCCGCCAGCGTGCGCGTTGTCGATGGACCAAAGAAGGTGGCCGGTATCCGCGTCGTGTGACCGAATCTGCCCATCTCGCCAGCCTGTCAGCATCATATCCTGTTATGGTTGTTGGAAGCATGGGCGGGTTTCGTCCGTGTGAGGGGGTTGACGCGGCCGGGATAAACAGAAAGCGTGCACAGAGAGGCAGGGGCCGCGGCGGCGGCCAGGGTGTGTCACGTGTCAGCGGAAGCTGGCGGCAGAACGCAGTACGGACGGTTCCTTAACTTTCGGAAACACGCGGAATCCGACAAAGGTACCAGCACGAAGCTACACAACATCTACACAGGGTGGACGCGGTGTCGATCCTACATGCCGTTTTTTTTTTTTTGTCTTCACTTCAAATCAGCGCTCACAGCACTAGTGCCGTTTACTCCAACCCGTGGTCACACAGAAGAGCCCCTCTCTCTACCCTCCCCTCCTGCGGTACTTTGCCTTCGATTTTTAATGCGAGAAGAGTCCAGCACTCTCTTCCCTCTGTGTACACACGAACTAGCGCTATCCACTAGGCCAGGAGCGGAAGCGAGAGAAAAACTCACTTTGCAAGAAAAGCTCGCGTACGCCGGGATTCGAACCCCTGACCTGACCTCTAGAAGGTGTCGAGGTTACCAACTAAACCACCGGGGCGACCGATCTCCCTTACAGTACCTCGAAAGGCTGACAATCCTCGTGGATGTTCAGCTGTTGCGCAACGCCGGAGCATGCCCGCCTACCGCTTAATATTCAATGTGGTCGAATACGTTGCTCAGCGTCAGCATACTCGTCGAAAAGTTGACTTGATCGCGAAAACCACCCCAACCGTACAGCGCTTAGCAAACCGATTTTCCACGTGTCTCTATGTAACAACAGCGCACGCACACCTGGGTGAGTACGAGACACAGCGGCTCCCCCGCGTCCCGCACGACAGCCGTCGTCAACACCCCATAGTCCGACGTGTCCCACACCCGCACTGTCCCGTCCACCGAAGCCGTCGCGAAACGGTCCGACACGCCTCTCGCGTAGCTGACGCAGGTGACCGAGCCGCGGTGGTTCTCGCTGACAACGATGGAGGCCAAGGTTTCCACGCGGACGCGGTATATCCGGCCTTGGTTTGTTCCCGCCACGATCTGCACGAACAGAACGGCAATTGTGTTGGACTTGAAGGAAGTGGAGCCAGTTTAACTTGGTCTACGAAAATCGCACATTATTTCCTGGGATCGTCACTACAAAACCCCCTACACCATTCAGTAGCTACCCTCGAGGTCCTGCTAAGCTGCGAAGTTTTTTCTGCTTTTGCCGATTGCGAAACCCCCCCCGCAGCGATAGAGATGTGAAGAGGGCTCCACAATCAAACCGAACATAGAACATGAGGTTTTGGTCGTTGCTTTCGACGAGATTCACTGGAGGCGGGACCGATAGAGGGGCCACTTCCCCACAATATCCGTTGATGTTGCGATACAGACACACCAGCACGGTGTTGTGCTTCAAATGCTGAGTTTTTTCAAAATCACAGAATGCTCCGAAAATATCGTCCCATGTTGAATGAACGATGTGGTTGTTGGCTTGCTACAGTACAAGAGGCGATGCGTCGTCACCCCACGTGCCTCTGTTCGATCGGGGCTGAAGGACATCGAAACTACGCCGCCTCGTAGCTCTGTCTGCGCGTAGTCCTTACAGGCGCTATCGAACAGCGTGATTGTCCCGTCCCCTCCACCGATCACTGTTCCCCCCGCGTGACACAGGAGCGACAGGGCCCCGAGGCGAGCGGCCGGAATCGCCGTCCCAACCTGGACGGTTAGCGATTGATGATTGTGTCTGAGCGTCAAAAAGCGTACCAGGAAGCATGACCAGTTATTAGCCTTCGAGCGAGAGGCGCATATGCAGCGTGCATTGGGCTTTGGAGCTTGCCTTTTTCAATCCATGCGGCAGCACCTGCAACTCGATCCGGACCAAGAACAACGGTATGTAGCTGGAACCGACCGACGTTCCCTCTCACATGGTTCGAAACAGGTTGGTGCTTTAGAAGTCATTTCCATGTTGAGACGAACCGGTAGCATAGGTGCGCCCCCTGCAGATCCCAGGTGGCGTTAGCCTATGCCCGCATGGAATTTCTCCGAAACCGAAGAACACAATATGTTATATGGTACAAAATCTCTGTCTATGTGTAGGTTTGCCAAGCCAAGCCATGAAGGCAACGCAAGGTTCCAGGGTTGAGTTGGCGCGCCTTTCGCACACATGACATTTCCAGTTAAATTTCCAGTTAAGTACCTGCTTTGTGCGCAAATCAACCCCAACAAAGTCCCCGGTGGAAGTCGTGCACCACAAAGTCTCTCCATCCTCGGAAAAAGCAAGCGCCGTGACATCGCGCACAAGCGAGCCCCTCGCCTCGCACACCACTCGATTGGCAGTGATGTCTCCGGAGTACGGGTCAAGCGACCACAGCACGATCTTCTTGTTCCCGGCGGTCGCCAGCATGTAATTTCGGGTTTCACGGCGTTTGATATCCCTGATTCAAGAGGTTTTTGGAGATGTGACTCCTTAGCTCAGGTTTGGTCGACTGCGCCCGTCATTAGCCGTGTGCTACAGCTTTTGCGTGTGTCTCGCGAACGCCGGTACGTTCTGGAATGCCCAAGGCACCACACGGATATTCGCGTCTCTTATGATTGTTGCGCAGAACACAATACCGTAGATGTACTTCCATCTCGTTTAGCTTAAAAATAAAGATATCAATACTTGGCGTACGGATCAGCGAATTTTTGCCCAAATATCCCTTCCCCGCAATTGTAGTTTGAGGGTTTGTCTTGGAAACTTCCGGCACCATCACCCGATAAAAACGTCCTCAACAATCGAACACAAAGAACAAGCACCTGCAGAGCCTCCCTCCAGACTGCACCGGTCACAGGCGCCGCCTCTACCAGGTCGTGCTGCTGACAGACCTATATTGTGTATGCCGTTCACGACGAGACGCCGTTTCATGCCGCACCTGACCATACCCCCCCATGCCGCGACGGTGGTAGGAGCAGGATCGTGCTGTACAATAGACACGATACATCCGTTGGACATGTCCCATATCAAGATCTTCCGATCTTCGGGCACGCCGCCAGAGAGCAGCAAACGATCGTCGTGCGAAAAGTCAACGAAGGCCACGCCGTGATCGTGTTCCGCGAGTCGGAAGAGTAGAGCTCTGTCTTGGAAACTCCAAACTATGACATCCGAGTTGTGTCCTCCTTGGCCAGAGGCGATATATCTTGACGAAATGGAGAGTTTGGTGGAAGTATTGAAAGGTGATGGGGCATGAGCAAGTAGTCTATCGGGCGGGAGATACAGAGCAACTGAACTTCTCTAAGTCCCAGGTTCGAGGGTGCGTGTGCGCTCTCACCTAGACTATTACCGTATATGACACAAGATAACACACCCCCTGGACCGATTTTCAAAGCTCGATTACTCCACGACGAAGAGGATGCATAAATGAAACAATACGTTTTCGAACAGCTCTCGACGAGACGGTTCCAACGCCGCCGTTTTCGGCGCTGTGACTCTTCCTGCTGTTGAGAAATCGAGCTTTGAAAATCGGCCAAGGGGGTGTGTTATCTTGTGTCATATACGGTAGGTTGGGCGCTGCGCGAACACTGCCTGCTTCTGTCGCTCATAACACGTTCACGACGCTTACATATTTTAATCCCAAAAGGCACTGCTACACACTAAGCGTATGCTGAATCAAACCTGGAGAGGATGCCATTTCTTCCCTGCCTACTACATTGGGGCTGCTCTCAGCTCGACAGCGGCTACAGCCGATGGGAATGTTTTCGTTGTGTAAAAGCATGCTGTTGACCTTTGCATGTACTGTTACCTAACACAATCATATTGCGCGAGGAGAAGGCTCCCCAACAAGTTGAGTAGCAGGATACATATGTAATAACGTTCTTCTGCTGCCGGTGCTAGATGCTATCGTGTATGTGTCACTTTTGTCAATGGATGTTGATGTTCGTTGTTCATGCACGAGCTTACGCCGTTTGGTACGGTGACTCCATAGTCTAGAATATGCGGGTCACCCACATTCACCTGCCGGAGCTACCGAGTGCGATACACGTGATCATTCCATCGTGCCCCGCTAGCATATGCTGCGTATGCGGGTCGCTGAAGTCGCAAATCACCACAGTACCCCCGGCGGCATAGACCAAATGTGTGCCATTGGGATGGTAGTACAGTCCCCCGGCCAGATCGGAGTAACCGATGGCATGCTCCAGCTCCATGCCGGGCGTCGATTCTGGCTGGTTCATCTGGGCAACACCACTGCCGGCATCTTTTCCCGGTGCCATCGCCATTGATTCAATCAAGGGAAGCAGCAGCGTGTCATATCCTCATCTCGCTGGCTATAGGCCGTGGATTCTCGTTGGCCAAGCAGCAGAAGGGTTTCTCGTCGAAGATATCAAAGCACAACAACCAGACGGTTACAGATGCCTTCGACTCATAGAAACCCCTCCCATTCGAAATCGAAATCTCGCCGCACGTGAACACGCGAAAACAGCAGCAGTACCTTTGTGATGAACAACAAAACACATTTCAGCCACCGTTCAAATCACCCGTGTCCCCCGCGCGTTCGCCCGAACGGTATACATACCGTTCGTGAGAAACAGGAGAACATGTACGCGTCAACCGAACACATGCTCTTCGTGGGCCTCGACATCGGCGGCACGAACCTGAAAGCAGGTGTGATCGACGGCACCACGGGTGGTCAATTGCTCGGCCGCGCCCAAGAGAGACTGCCAGCGGATCGCTCCCCAGAGGTACGATACGATGTTAAGAACAGCATGTTCTTCCTTTTGCTCCCGCCCCTGGGACCCACGCGCGAGAGCTTACCCAGCCTGGCCCTTCTACCTCACATGTCCCTGTCTAACATACCCGTCACCCGCCGTGTATGTACTGTAGTACAAAACAAGATCCCCCAGCTGAATGGTCCCGTCATGCCCTGTCATCATGTGTGTCATAATCAATTATCATGTACAGGCCGTAGTGGACGGACTCGTTGCGCTGTGCCGGGGCCTCCTCGACGAGCACGGGATAACCTGGGACGACATACTGTACACGGGCGTCGGCTGCCCAGGACAGATAGACAGGTGGGTTTGGGAAATTAGCCTGCCGGGCCTTGAACCCCAGGTCGTTGTCGGGGACGGGCTTGCGCTTTTTCCTATCATGTCAGGTGTTGGCAATGGCGGATGGGGGTCCATGTTTTAAACCGAACGTCGGCATAAATAAAGTTTCACACGCATGTTATGCAAGCATGGGGGTGATGTATGCCCAAAGAGAGCATCACGTTCACGTGCGGTGGATCAGAAAGGCGCGTCCCTCGCAGAGGTTGAACCGGTGAACGTGGGGTTCTCGGAGGTAGGTGTCCCCTTCTGTACTACAGCAGTACCCCATGCATATGTATCCAAAAAAGTATCTACTTGCGGTGAACGGGCCCAGAAAGGCACTCTTTTCTTTTTCGAGGAATTGCGTATATGTCACACATCAGCAGTGCAGAAGTTTTGTCCCGCCTCCAGCATCTACTCTCGACTACTCCTTATCTTTGTGGAGAATATATGAACCGATTGAAGATGTCACAGGTCCCTACAGATCGAGCTAGCTTTTTCGGCGGTGCATGCGTACATCAGTCCGTGTGATCGTTAGGACATGGGTGATCGATGTTGTTTCCTCCCTGGTGATCTGTGGGACATGAATGATACGAGTGTGTTTGCCCCGAGGTGATCTAATGGGGCATAGGTGAGCTATTTAGCTAATGATCTGTCCTCCATATGTGTGAGATTCAACTGCTATTTTCATCGAAGTGCCCCTATAAGCAGGATGTTTAGGATTGCAAGCAGTATGTGTTACGGAAGAATACAACGTGAACGCACGGCTACTACAAGTGCCTTTCGAGAAGAGTCTCATCGGGATCGGCAAGCATTAGTAGCCGTCGTCCATGATGCATTGACAACAGCGGGCGACCCTGTTTTTGTGTGCCCGGTATGCATACTTGTATGCATAGGAACAAGCGCACCAGACTCGCGTGAAGAGGCGCGATCGCGCGACCCATCTCTGCGGAGAATCCAGCTTCAAGTTCGCACGTCCACGACCAAACACCAAACACAGGCAACCACTACTAATATCATTAGACTTGGTACACGCCATCATGGTCTCTCTCTCTGGCTAGGTTCAAGGTTCAAGGTTGGGGGTATTGGCTATGTATTGGGGCTTGGTGAAAACGCCAAACGTTCTTGAAGAGGCTGTACTGGAAGTATGCTACTGTACCTCTTTGTGTCCACCGTGACGTAACCACATTTAGAAAAAACTCCCGTGAGCTTCGTTTCGTGCTTTGGAAGCGTGTGTAGACCATGCGTCTCTTCATAGATATACAGCAGTACCGGTGGGCCAAATCCCCTCCATGGTAGAAGAATGGATCTTGAGGTGAAGAATCGGTCAGTCAAGGTTTCGCTACCACCATGAAGCGAATGTTCGCTAATCGTAAGTGCTTTTCTCGGCACCTGACTTGAATCGTCCGACCCGGCCTTACGACAGGGAGGCCGGCGTTGTCATCGGAGCGAGCACCTTCCCCGCTTGGCACAACGTTCCTCTGGCGAATCTGGTGCAAGACCGGACGGGACGGCCGGTATGAGAAAACAGAGGAAACGGGGGGCGGGGGGGGGGGGGCACTCATGCAAATGCATGCCTTACTAGTTAAACCATTGACCTCCCATCCCTCCAGTGCCGGGACGGAAGGAGGGGTCGGGGGGGGGGGTAACGGGAAGGCGGGGGGGGGCTCATGTCCTGCCTGTTTCGGTGTTGTAGCTTTCGACATGGCGCAGCGTTTTTACTTGATGAGATACCGCCAGTGTTTGACGTCCTGTAAGTTTGTTTTTTGTGAGAGTTTTCTTGCTGGGGGATGGTGCAGAAGGACGGAAGCGAAGTCTTGATCGTACTCATCATGGCCGTCTTGTGTCCGTAGGCCGACATAAAGCGGTGTCGTGGGTGATCAAACGCGGAAGTTGATTTTCACATGTGTTCTTAAAGTACGCACGGTCACTAGGCCCTTTCCTTTCACCACTTTGCCTGCTGTGGCATCTACCGCGAGATGCACGAAGGCCAACGTCGAAAGTCGAGCATGTGTTACGCCGGGGCACCGCTGCATCTGATGCCGCATATGCACACAAGGGCCAACAACATATTCCTGTACTGTCTCTGAAGTCTTGTCTCCTGTACTGATGTGGCGGCTGGGCAGGTGACGGTTCTGAACGACGCCTCGGCGGCCGCCTCGGCGGAGTTCGCCAGCAGGGGGAGCCAGGAAACCATCGCGGTCCTAAGTAAGTTGTTTCATGAAGTGCATGTTTTTTCGGTACTGTACTTCAAAATAGGGACAGTGTTGTTTTTGTTTTCGTGGACGTTGGTTGACTTGGTATCTCTCGGCACTCTTGCCGCTGCTGCTGTTCAATGGCGCTGTGCTGCATGGCAATGTGCTGCATGGCGACAACTGCCGTGGCACAGACCTACGGGCTGTGGCCTGTATGATGTAGCATGGTAGACGCTGTTATCCCGCTGCTCTGCGCTGTGTCACGAACTATGTACCTGTCTGGATGCGGCAATGTGCTGGAGTACGTTCTGATCGTCCCCCGGGGTTCGCCGATTTCCTGACAACACATGGGCCTCGAAGATTCTAGCTACGAGGAGAGTCACCAACCTTGCTTCTACGTCCCCTCTACCCGCTTAACTCCTGTGACACATCTCCCCACCCCCGCATATTATTTATGTTTTTTTTCTTTTCATTGCCACCGCAAACAGCGCTGGGAACTGGCATCGGGCTTGGGGTGGTATGCGCCGGGCGTGTGGTGACGGGCTGCAGAGGTCTGGTAGAGGGGGGGCACATGGTGAGTCGTGGAGCGGCGAGAGAGCTAACACCTTCTACGTTAGTTTTCGATGGCTGCCCATCGTTTGTCCCCATTTTGGTTTTAGATACTGTGCTGACTCCCGGCGTCCCGGGCAAGAAGGGACGACGAATTTGCAATCATCTGCCCACACTGCTTTCTTACAGGTTGCGTTAACTTTCAGGGCATTGTTTTTCCGGGGTGCGTTCTACTGACTTGCTTATGTGTGCCGCACGTGCTACTCAGACAAGATACAATGGTGAGCGTCGTTTTAAGGGCCAAGAGGGTGGTCGCGGTTGCGGTGTTGTTGGGTCACGCTTGTAACGGGCGTTGGAGTTACGCGTACGGCAGGTTGTGGGTAGTTTCCAACAGTGAGGAAGGAAGCAAGCCAAGCACAACAGCAGTGATGGTGCTGTACCACGCGCCATACTGTCAGTTGCGGCCCCTCTCGACTTGTTTGCTTTTCAAGCCTTTTAGCGTTCATCTGCACGGGCTTCTGTTGAAATTGTCGTCGTCTTCGTTGTTTTTGATGTCGTCTGTTGATCGTGTTAGCTCTAGCACTCGTTTCAGCTCGGTGTGTTTTGCGCAGGGCTGGGGTGCCAGCCTCCCAGACAAGGATGGTATGCCTGGCCGACTCATCGACAGTACTGGGGGTGGTGGTTCTGTGTTGCAACGGCGTCGCATTTTGTCCTGTTTTCGGCGTCGCCGGCTTTGAAACCGCTCCAACGCAACGTTTTGTTCTTGCATTGGGACCCAACAAAATACTCGAAGCCATGGAGTGCTCTCGAGCAGACCTCAACTCCCCGTCGACCTTCGCGTCCCTGATCTTCAGGTGTAGGTGCACTCTACCCTGCCGCGCACATCAATGATTCGCGGCATGCGTTCTCAGGCATACCAGATGCCCCCTCCCCCCCCCCCGCCCCAACCCAAAGTGATATCGAGAGGAAAGATAGGGTAGGGAAAACATTTTTGGGCCATCTGTGGCAAAGTAGGAAATGACGATTGACCATCGGGGATGGGTCCTATGGGAACAATACTCCGTCCTTTGGAGCACGTGGGGTCAATGGTTTAACCTAACCGCTAGGGCACGCACAAACAGGGGTACCCCCCCCCCCCCCAACCCTACGGCCTTCTTCCCCTCTCTTGTCTCGTGGTCCTGGTCCTCCTCAGATCGTGGAACCGGGGCCGAACGGCCGCCTTTGCGCCTGCGGTCAGCGCGGCTGCCTCGAGATGTACGCCTCCGCCTCCGCAGTGGCGGCCATCGCCTCCGAGCGCTTGGGTAGCGGCGGCGGGGACTTATTCCCGGCACCGTCGGACACGCCTTACTGCAACGGGGAAACCGGGGAAGAGCCGGACGCGGTCGCGCCGACCACCCCCACGCACGGGTCACCGGGGATCTCCAGGCGAAGGGGTTCGATCAACAGGTCGGACTCGGCGGTCTCGCTTCGGATCATGGAGCTGGAGCGCCGGACGAGCGCCGAGCAGCGGGCTTCGGCGCCGGCATCGCCGTCGACCCCGGCTTCGGCCGCCGGGCGCCGCGGCAGCCGTCTAAGCGGGGGAGGGGCGAAGATCACGGCAGCGGATGTGTTCTCGATGGCGAAGAAGGGGGACGAGGTTGCGGTTCGGGTGGTGGAGGAGACTTGCGACTACCTGGGGCTGGCTTGCGTGAACATCTGCCGCGTGCTGGACCCGGACGCCATCCTGCTGGCGGGGGGCATGTCTAAGGCCGAGGGGCTGTTGGAGAAGGTGCGTGTGGGTGTTTCCGTCGTATGGAGTCGGTAGTCGGTATGAGCACGCTCAGGAAGGGACAGGGTACAGCGAGAGGGGGAGCTAGTCAAAAGGCAGGTCGGCATGCAGACGTAACAGACAGATGGACAAGAAAATTTTCAGCAACAGAGAAGCGTTGAAAGAGAGATAGTTGAGATAAATATGTAGATGAATAGAGAGAGGGATCGAGATAGAAATAGAGATAGGAGAGATGGAGAGATAGATGGAAAGGCTGTCGAGATTCTCCCTACTTGCAGGTTTTTTGCCTTGCCATCCTAAACCCAGCCACTGACTTCTCACCGACGCCTTTTCATTGGTCAGCTGGTTAACGCGGTCGATGCCAATAAACACACACACACACACAAACCATGCGCAGGCAGGTGCCCGTGCCCGATGACATGGCGCGGAGTACATAGAGACAGCCGTCATAAAACACCAATGAGTTAGACTGCTGAATATCCGTCATCAACATGTGATTTTCTTCACACACATACAACACCCGACTGCTGTTGCCGTAGGTGCGAAAGTCGTTCTCGTCAAGGGGCTGGAAAGTTCTTCCGCACGAGTGCGAGATCGACCTCGCCAAGACCTGCGTGGATGCGGGCGTGATCGGCGCCGCTGGCGCGGCGTGCTGCGAGTACGCTCTATCGGTACGCCGGCCTCGCAGACGACCATCGTCGGATTGCGGCAGCATTACCGAGCCTTCGAATGGGGGGCTGCAGGGCGGGAAGCCGGGGGCGCGCAGCGGATGGAGATCGTTCTTGGTTGGGGTCGGGGTTGGGATTGGGGTTGGTGCGGCTGCTGTTGCTGTGATGGCGGGTAGAGGTGGGCGCAGTGGCTTCATGTAGCCAAGGTTTCTTGCTGTGTCAAATCGTGTTTCCGTGTCAAATCTTGTTTCCGTTTCATCCTAAAACAATTGTTGATCCTGGATGGTGTAACGTCCACCCTGGTATGGACGGCACCCGGGTCTGCTTGGATATCTCAATTTCGTGGTCGTGCTCGGTTTTAGGATAGAACAATAATGCTTTCGAGACAAGTCAATCATCAGTAGAGTAGGTGTTTTCTGTATTTTGTCTTGCTTCCGTATGTCGGTGTTTGGTTTGTTTAAGTCGGTCACGAGTGTGTTTTGGGACCGCTGATATCCAACGTTACTTCTTTTGTTTTGTTTGTTGGCCGCGTGTATTTTCTTGGTTGACTGCTGCGTACTTTAGATCTATGTGCAGGTTTGTCAATGCTTCAGGTGCTATTTAGTGAAGGCGCCGAATATACGTTGAGACCTTGCATGGCGTGTGGTATGCCACGAAACGAGGGCAAACGATACAAATAGAGAAGGTGTGTATTTGTGTCTTTACTATGGTACATGAGAAGACATGCATAGAAGACTTCGGTGGAGGTGACGGTATGCTTCCTCGTTTCACTCATCATATGTGTATACTGCGTCGCTGCAGGTGTTGGAAGCCACGGGAGTAGACTCGCACGTAGACCTGCTTGTGATAATGTGATACTCAAAGAGAGCGCGTGGGTGTTTTTGTCTCCGTGCCTCGTGCGTACTTTAGGGTGCTGTCGTAGACGCACGCGCGCCCGTTCTTGAGAGAACGAGGTAGGAGCATCCGTTTGCTGTTGGGCACGGGGAGATCACTCTCGGTTTGTGGTGCGCAGCTAGTTCAACGAGGCAACGAGCGTTTTCCTTTTTTCTTTCTTGTTGCGGTACCTACCGAGGCCCAGGTGCCTTCCTTCGCCTGCGGCCCGGTAGCGACAAAAACGCACTTCATGAAACCATCATGTGTCTGTCCCGCACGAGGCAATGCACGGCGTGGAGATGCCGTACTGCTGTTGCTTGGAGCGCATGGTGGTGGGTGCCGATCTGCAGACTCGGGGTCCACATCCTATGCGATGGGCTTTTAACAAAGGGCCCTTGATGATGTGACACTCTATTTGCGTGGTTGTCTTCGGTAAACGGACGGCGTAAATGCATACGTGGCGGCTTTGTTCTTGTTATATTTTGGTGGCATGAAGGGGCAAATAGATGCCTGTCAGACCGACGTTCCTGTTCTCCACGGGCTGCTTGACAGCGTCGCCCAAGACCAATGCCGGAAACCCAACACGTACACACATTGCGCTTGAGAGACCACACCCACCCAATCGTGCCATGCAGCTTGGCTTCGAGAAGAAAATATTGCATTGTTTTGTCGACTGGTGCTGGTGGCTTGTGTGCCACCTTGTACCTGCCCCGCCCCCCCTCCCCCCTATGCTGGCGCTTGACACACAAATACCCCAAGGCACCTACAGCGAGGCCGAAAGGGCTTGACGTATTCTTGGGTTTTCCTACAACCAAAAGCCTATCTCTACGCTGGCATGCCACGTCGCGTGCATGTGGCGGGATCGCCTATTTGCTATTCATGGATTGTCAAAGATAACCACAGACCAAAACATCCAACGCGGTGGTATCTCCCTACAATATCGCGAGGGGGTCCCGGACAACGAAGACATATGTTTTATTCGAAAGGCATAGGGAGGCGTCTCAGCTAGCGCCCGCGATTAAGAAACAAAGCTTTAAGAACCAAACGTCCAAGATTTTGGCGATAAGTAAGATAAATCGACCAATAAGCACACCTCAGTCGTGGGTCTTCGCCATAAATTCTAAAGTCGGTGGTGACATATAAAAAATTGAGCCTCGACCCCAAATTGACGTTTCTTAGACGCGGGCGCTAGCGCTAAACTGTATGTAGCCACGTAGTCACCAATCCAACCAACCCAAAGCACCGAAGAAACAATGCAGCTTTGCACCGTCAAGCGTCACCTGCCAAGGAGCCCAGCCGCCGTTACAGCCCAGGGCAGCTTCATTGTGTATTCACCCGAATTCCGGAAGGCGGAAGCAATGCTAAACCACATCTACGAAAGGCAGATGTACAACAGGATTTCCATACTTCCACATCGCCAGACGAGTCGCTCGCTCACACGCCGTGAGGGTTCGTGGGTGGTGTTCTTCCTCTTGAAGGCATGGGAGGGAATATCTACTCTATACACAGAACAGAACAACCCGTTCGGACACCAACAAGAGCAATCATCCTAACCCGTTTGGAGCCCACCATTCAGGGGTTTAGTTTCTGCTGCGGCTCAAAAAATGAGCAGAGAGGAGAACCTACGGACTAACCCTACCCCGGACAAGCCGAGGGCGAATCAACGACGGTAGCACTCTCTGTGAACTGACGTGATCCCAACCAGGGACAACCGACTCGAATAGGCAAAACACGACGGGCTGCCAGCCGCCCACATCAGGCACCTAAGTTAGGCGGCGCGTAACATTGAAAAAAGCAAATACTGTTGTACACATTACAAAAGCTTGTATCGAGAATCTCTTCGTAGATAAGCATGGTTGCCCGAGGCAAGCTGGGTTGCCAATGGGTGTACAGACACACCATCCGACGCGCGGGAAGTTACGATGGACAGAAAGCAACATGTTAAGCAACCGGTGGGACTACCGCAACCGGGAAAACGTAAATAATACCACCACTAAAAACAAAAAAATATCCAAGTACCTGGTAGCCCAGCACCAGGGGGCGACATGGACATCCCCTTTTCCTGAGCGTAAACAGAAAGCGCCATATAGACATAAGAGACTACGCGGACATTATACAACCCTCCCGCTTTGCTCACACGCCAGAGTAGTTCAAGCGCTGGGATAGACGCTAACGCTTACGATCTGCTACCGCTTCTACGGCAACAACGCATCAGGAAAGAAATGCGGGAAAAGAAAAAAAAGACTCCCCACGATGTCACGGCATCAAGATACCGGTGACATCACTCCCGCTGCCGACCCCGCCCATGCTTATCCCCGGAGTGTTCCCGCCTCTGCCGCCGGGCATAACGAGCAGCAACCCGTGCAGCACGAGCAAGTACACCAGGAGCAGGTGCCGCCGGAAACGGTTCCGCAGAACGGTCCCCGAGGCTAAGAAAAGCCACCTCTCTAGAAACCCCATCTGCCCGCGTCTCGCCTCCTTCTCCTCTTTTCGGTGCGGGTGCGAGTCAAGGCAGAACGTGAAGGATCATGGGGGGGCAAACAATGGCACAAGCTTCGATGATAAGAGGCTATCTTGGCCGACTTACATAGAGCATGAGGAGGAAAACCTTGCCACAAGCTTGGACGATTGAGGTTTGACTTGGGGGCCGTGTTTTTCTGTTTGGTTCATCACGTTATATCAGCGCTCACCAACACAGCGATGGAAACAGGAATACAGGCAACGTTAGCCAGATATCGACAGTATATAGTATGAAGCACACATAACGCCATGGACGCGCGGGTCATTGGCTGCCTGCTGTTGGTCTCATACCATTAATTGGTATACGACGAACGCCGAAGGTCATGTAGGAGACTCAGCTCGATGGGCATGGGCAAAACGTTAACGTTTCACTGTCCAGAGAGCACACCAAGCGACAGCAGGCTACACCACACGGCACGGCGGAACCAAATCGTAATTCGTTCGAAATGGGTGTCTTACTGTGTGTTTGTTCTTCGAAAGACTTGGAAAGACAACAAAAACAAAACACGTCAACAAAGCCATCAATCTACAAAAATAGTTCGAACTGGCTCCAACGTCAAGCCGCACGGAAGCTACATATGTGCACCCAGGCTACTTTCGAATGGGGGTGCTCTAATAGCGAGACCTATATACGTAGACGAGATATCGGCTCAATGTGGACGTACACATGACTTACGAGAGTCGAACTCCTTGAACGGGTCAAGGTCTGCCTCGTACAGCCGTTCGTACTTCCTCTCCGTCTCTCGCTCGCCGTCCCCTCCTGCATTCTCCAACCCGCCGCCGCCGCCGCCGCCCTTCCCGCCGTAGCTCATTACGAACCTGACACGACGGGGGAAAATACCGACAAGACCCGTAATCGCTGGAAGGGTTGACAAACGAACGTCAAGAGACGCGCTCGATCTCCCTCCCCACGCAACATACACAAAGGGAGCGGTCACGTACGTACAGACGTGAGCTACTGTACCGTAGACCCCAATCCTAACCCCAATCTAGGCGATTCTGTACTTTATCCAGTATGTTTGCTTACGTAGAAAAACCTGCGTAGACTACTGACCGCCAAGCAGACAGACGGCAGTGCGGAAAACATGAACCAAGAGGCAAGCTATCGAGCGATCCGCTTGCCTCATCCTCTTGTACAGGTGCATGTTCTCCCGCCTCAGGTCTTGATTGTCCCGAGTCAGTTGCTCCGCGTTCCCCTTGGCGATGGACGCCTCCCGTTCCCGCCGTAACGCCTCTTTGCGGAACCGCTCCCTCTGCCGTTTCACCTGAAACATCCGCATGTGATGGTTTACTTATCAATTGTACTGCCGTTGAAAGAGAGAGAGAGGTGGCGCCGTTGAAAGGGCTTCTTCACACGCGCACAAATATTGCTAACTAAATAAATCAGCAGGCTCCTTTGAATTATTAGGTGTATCTTTATCCTGGACACATATTATTATGACCTCATTGGCAATATAAACCTTTACATCTATTTTAGATCCAGTGACTGAATCAGTAAATGACATAATCATTGGACTACATATGGATGGTGAAGTCGTAACATAATCTCACGATGATGATGGGCATCACCCACCCTCTCGCCGTCTTCTCGGACACCAGTTCGACTACGTAGGCTGTGATCGATAGGTTCCCTCTTGCTAGTAGTGAGGCTTCCTGCATTTGCTGCATTTGGGGGGGCGTTTCTGCACCAATTCACCATTTGGTTCCGTATATTGCACCCTACGTTTCTTTTGCACTCACAGCCGGTAATACCACATAAACGAGACAGCAGTAGTCGCCGCATGCACTTGTTGGGGCTCCTAGACGCCACACACCTACGGTACAAAACAAGGCGTTATCGCTCACCATGCAGCACTTTAAGCCCAAAGAGTCCAAGCTTGCTTTATTATTATCAAGTATTGTTATTATTTGTTTATTTAATAACGCCAACCCCGCGGGGACACATTCGCCAATCACATTACTCGGACCGACAGGCAACCCTCCCCCGCCACTCACCGCGCCCAGCAACCTATCCGCCGCGCTGAACCCCTCCGCCCCGGGGACACCCTCCACCCCCCCCGCCTCCTCGACGCCTTCCAACAAATCGTCCTCCAAAGGTCCGACATCATCGGCGCCGCCGCCCACGTCTCCCCGGCGACCGATCAACTTCCCGAACTGTTTCGCGACGGGACCGCTCTGGAAGGCCCTGAGCATGGTCTTTCCGGCCTCCACGACCTGGTGGGCGTCTACCAGATCCTGCTCGAGTCGTTTCACGTCTTGCCTTCGGTCCGACAGCTCCGCGGCCTCGGCGACGCGCTCCTCTTCCACGATTCGGAGCCTGTCGGGCACGCGCAACACGTGAGCTGTTGTCGATGCTGCTATGTGAGGGAAGCACTCTTGTAGGAAACGGAAGGTGTCGCCTTGAGGGGACGTGTACCGACGTTGGATGCTGATGGCGTTCCACTCCCAATCATTTTCACGTGAAAGGGGCGATACAAGCTGATGGCGTTCTACTCCCAATTACTTCGAGTGAAAGGATCGTACAAGTTAGATAACATTTGACTCTAACGCGATGGATGTCATCCTTGATATACGCTCTTTGGCCATAAGCAACAACTCACACTTTTTTGTCTCTGCCTCATCTTTCGCGTCAAGCGGTGCTTTTGCCGATTGGCAGCGTAAACAGAATACAGGAAAAACACACCACACAACCTCAAATCGCAACATCCGTGTTACACTCCTATTTTTTATTTGATCTCTTGTTGCGTTTGCGACGATTTTTCGATTTTTCTGGGTCCTTTCTACGCGCTCTTCGACATTTCAAAGTGTGCGTCCGTTGTGGGATAATTGGCCTGTCACAACGGGTCACGTCCGCTGGACCGGCACGAGTGCTAGAAGCTACTGAGCCGAGAGCGGAAAGCTATATGCATATGTAAAGTTTATGTGAAGACAACAACAACAACAACAACAAAGTGTCGATGCTTTACCCTTAGCTTTCACCTGTCCTCAACAGTGAAAACCAACTCTCGATACATTTCAATCCTTAACCCTCACCTCTCCTCCGCCTGCCTTGTCCTCTCCCTCAACCTCTCGAGCTCGTTCTTCAGCCGCCGGTTGTACGAGATCAACCAGGCGTCAACCCCGGCGTCCCCCCCCCCCTCCCGCCCACACTCCGTACCCCCCACCACGGCACCCTCAAGCTTCCCGCTCGCACCCTCGGACTCGAGCGCTCGGTCGCAATCGTCTCCAACACCGCTTCCCTCGCCCTCAGCAACACCGCCATGTTGCGGCCCTTCTTCCACACCTCCCTCTGCTGCTGCTGGTGACGGCGAGTGGGGGTGGGTGCGTTCTCCTCCAGCGGCCCCCTCGCCGCCGGTGCTGACACGGCCCTTCATCGACCCTACCCGTTCTCCCTCATCGCCTTCCTCCACGTCAGCGTCTCCCCAAATCCCTTCCAAGATGCGGATCTTCTCTCGCATGCTTTTCACCTGCTCACGGACGGCACAGGATAAAAAAATGCACTTGGTGTAGGCACGTCTTGTTGATTTGTACAGCAGTGTTGACTCTCTGGTCTTGTTGTACAGCAGAATAGAGCCACCGAGGGTCCAAACATACCACGCAGTATGAATAGAGACGGGGGCGGGGCGGGCGTATCTCATGCCCTAGCGATTAAACCATTGACCGCGCGTCCTCGAGAGGAAGGACCACCCTACGGTCACCGATGGCCGATCTTGCCTTCCTACTTGTTTGCCAAAGGTGCTCAAAAATGTCTTCCCTACCCAATATACCCTCTCGATACCACTTCCCGACATTTCAGCCCACTTCCTATAGCTACCATCTTCGCCTCAGGGCAGGCGCTAGAAACTGTACGCAAACAAACCGCAGTGGTTTTCTACCCTGGATGTAGTATGTAGTGATGATTGTTCCCACCTCGGATGCATCTGCTCCCGACTCCAGCTGCTGCCGTAGGCGAGCAGCCTCTGCCTCCACCTCCCGGACGCGGATCTCCGAAGATCGTTCCACGCTCTTGGCGCGCGCTTCGGCCTCGGCGCACCCCGCGACGGCGTCCCGCTCGCTTTGAACGGCCTCCCTGGAGCGCGAGACCAGTCCCTCGCGCTCTGCCTCTAGCGACGCCACCTGCAAGAGGACAGGGGAATTCGACCAAGCACCCGGAGCTAAGCAAAGGCGACACGTGCACTTCCTGGGTAATGTGTAAAAGGTCGAGGACTAGTGTAGACTACCATGTAGGTCAATGTAACACACCATCGGTGCCAAATTCCCGACTTTTCCCCACAAACAGGAAGGAGGTGGAAGGTGAGGAGGGACAACAGCGCTCATCCGGCCAATCAGCGGACGTCCTCTCTTCTTCCCACGACGGTAAGAAGGGGTGGAGGGAGAAGCGGAGCAGCACGATGCAATGTATCACGGCGGGCTGAGCAGGATGGAGGACAGAGGAAGAGGAAGCGAGACTGGATCTCCCTTCGCCTTCAAAACTGAAACGCCAACACGCAACATGCAAACCCCACTCGCCTTCTCTCGTGAAGCTCGCAGCTGCCCCGTTAGATCCGCCGCCTCTTCCTCCAAGCGCCCTGCTCTTCCGGCCTCCTCTTCCACCATCGCGGCTCGGGTCTCTAGTCGCTCAACTTCTTGCTGGAGAACCTGACAACACGAAACCACCACCAGATGGCTCAATCAGAGGTGTGTGAGCGAGCGGGTTAGGGGATAGCGGGGAGCTACCTAATTTACTGTTTTCATTGCTTGCTCCTGTTTGGTCTCGGGGATACTCGATGGTAACTTCCATGAGAAACGTGATTATGAAAGCTCGTCAAGGACGACGTACTGATCGCAGAGAACCACGTTTAAGTCCGATCTACCATGTATTGATCGTGTGGACAGGCCTTGTCGTCGCCCTCCTTCTACTCCATGTTTAGCACAAGGTCTATCTTGGTCGCGTTTCTAGCTCGGTACGACTGCACTGTACAGTAGGGGCAACGGTATAATGCCGGTCGAATAATCGTCTGGCACAGACAGATGGATAACTAAGGTTGCCCGCTAATGCCGGTGAAATTGAGCACCGGCATCATACCGGGACCGCTACTGCTGTCTACGACTACCACTACTGCTATACCTGCTACCACTACTGCTGTCTACGACTTCCACTACTGCTGTACCTGCTGTTGCGCTTGTGCCGCCGCTCTCTCGTGCTCCGCCTGCCCCTGAGCCAGCAGCAGCTCCTCCTGCACGGCGTCTTGAAGCGCCTTTTTTTCCATTCGGCAGGGCAACAATGTCAGCATCAAGGTCTTTGTGCTTCAAGCGGAGTCGAGATCATGAACGAAGAACAGCGCCAGAGGCAGCAAAGCTTCGAATATAACAAAAAGCGTGGGACTTGGTGTTGCCGCCGTAGGGCAGACCCACAGCAGTGCACGCGTTGACGACATGTACAGTACAAGCACGAAAAAATAAGCTGCTACCGTCTGTCGACAAGCCGCTTCCCCCTTCTCCCCGCGATAGCCGCGAGCCAGCAGTACACGAACGAACATTAGCGCCGAAAGACACCGACTACGATAGGCTGACTAGGCTCCTCCCCCGATGCCACTACAACAATAGGGACATGAACCGTCAATATATAACCCGCAATGCTATCCACCGCCGGGATGCACGACAGTTAGTTCGATAACATGCAACGCGTCGATAGAGTGGCGTGTTCATCGATTCAATCATAGCATCCACGTGGCTCTCGCACTTGATACCATCGCGTACCAAACATGCCATACCTGCAAGCGCGTCTGCGCTGTCTCCGCTTGGTCTGCCGCTACCTCGGCCCTGATAACACGCCTCTCCTCCTCCAACTCCTGCGCGGGGGGGGGGGGGGGGGGTCGTCAACACACGGTGAGAATGGGCCTTCTACGTTGTACTTGCTCCCGAGGAAGGACGGAACAAGAGGGTTACATACCTGTACTACACTGCCCAAGTCGGTGGCAACGTTGTCCGACTCTACAGCAGCGCAAGTTACACCCAAGAGAGCAAGAGAAAAGCTCGCAGCACTCTCAAATCAGCAACAGAAACAACAAAAGAGGGGGGGAGATCTCGCGCGCAGCAAGACTTGACCGTTTCCACCGCCATGGCATAGTCTACACCTCATCGTTTTGGCGTCATCCGTTCCTTGGTGTACACGCAGCCTCCTCCCTGGTGGAACACCGATGAAGCCGTCGACGCCTACAATATTCATGACAACCATCCCCCCCGACGAGAGCGCAACGACAAAGGAGGACGAGAGCAAAATAGCGAAAAAACGAAAAAACGCAAGCCTTTCCAATGGCGTGTACCGAAGAGATGATGGACCAATCCTGACGCAACAAATGGCAGGCGGGCCTCCACGCACACGCACCTCCGCGGTGAGAGAACCCCCACGCGCAGCGGCGGCTGCTCGTGCGGCGTCCAGCTGGCGAGACTGCTCAACGGTTCGTTCTTCCAGAAACCTTAACAAAAAGTGTAGAATACATGAATACATCATCACGCACGGAGAGGCCAGTCGCATGATGTGTAGCACCCATTTTACAAATGACAGATTTGTAATATTTAAGAGTTCGTTCCGGTGCGCTGGGCTCTTCGATTCAAAAGCACATGAGCTGTTGAGCTTGGGAAACGTCACTGATGCATCTGGCGGCCAGCTGTGGGGTGGCCCTGCTCCCTCTTCTACTTCCATCTTGCATCACCCCTTGATGACACTGGTGTGCTCGCATGAGCCCACTCCGGAGGGATCACTTGTGGTGTTGTCTATTGTATGCTTTCCATACCTTGGGGAGATTGCTGTGGTGGTGGAATTGTTTGTAGTCAAGGGTGTGCACGGGCAGCGAGAGGTACAGCAGTAGCGGCACACGGCACGACGGTGGACAGCGTTGCGTCTGAGGCGCACGTGTCCACAACCGTGCAATGTCTGAAGAGACGTGAAAGACTCGCCTCTTTACGCCGGAAGAACCAGTGGCGATATTCGAGAAGAGATAAAAGAGACAGAGAGAAGGGGGAGAGAGTTGCACAAAAACACCAGCTTCTTCCCGGTAGCTGTGTAGTTGTGATGACACGATCGATTGTGCCTGTTCGCGCAGCGGTGGATAACACCCCATCTACACATGGCAGTCCCGCCACCTACAGAAAACATCACTCACCTGATCTTTCCTTCCAGAGCATCGACAGTAACGCGAGCCGCGTTCTCCAAGGCCTTCACGGTGACCGCCGGGTCGGGAGCTTCCCGAAGCAGCTTGTACAGGGCTAAGAACGACCCCTCGGCGAAACGGCTCCTATCGGTCAGCGAATCGATCTCGCTCTTAAACGCACGCACCTGTTTGTGCGCAATTGTTGCGTTTGAGATTGGTCCGAGCATGCGCGGCGAGAGGTCAGCCTCCGGATGGGGGGTGGGGGGGCACTTGGAGGTGTGTATACCTTAGTCGATCAAATGAGCTGTACTGCGTTCCTGGCAAGGCATACATCTACGTTCAACGCCGACCGCAAGTCAGGGCCAATACGGGGGTCAAGTCAAGCCTCCTACGCCAGCAGCTATTGGTGCGATAAATTCCTGGTTTGCAGCAACCGACATGCCGACAGAGATGGCGCACTCTGGTGCACGTCATTTTTTCGGCTATTTTGTACCGTTCGGTTACGATAAACGGCACACGATGGTGTACACGCAGCATCGGACACGGACACGGACACGGTCACGGACACGCACAGCCAGGCGGGCAACCCGACCGACCCTCACCAGCGCTCCGCTTGCAGCACGCATGTCCGAGGTGGCGCCGACCTCAGCCTCGACGGACAGCCGGAACGCTTTGGCCTGAGCCGCGAGCGCACGGCGGCTCTCTAGAGACGACTCCTGGTGCTCCGCCACGGCCAGCGCCTGTTCATCCAGGCTCGGGCGCAGGGCGGACAGCCCAACCTCTTCCCACGCCGTGGTGCACGGAGTTGCGGAGCTCACGACCTGTCAACATATCGTCGTCGGCGGTAGGAGAACGCCCTTATCATTATTCTCAAACGGGCGGCACTGGCGGAGGGGCATGATGACTTCCCGTGTTTTCGAGGGCGATGACACAAGAAAAATGTATCACAGCAGCAGCAGTACCAGCAGCGTTTGCGGCGGAGTGGAGACCAGGAATATCCCGAATTTCAGAATCAGGGACATTACCCCTCACCCCCTCCCCTCCCCCACCGCGCACGCCCCTCAAAACAAGTAGTTTATGAAACATGCGGAAACTTGCGGAAGCGCGAACGCGAGAGTAACCAGTAACCCGTCGTATGCACAAGTTGGTTTGCGACGTGCGCCCTTCGCGTACGACACCACTTCCTTCCCACGGCAACATGAATTCTCCTGCCCGTTGTTGGAGGCACGACAACTTTGCTTGAAAAACAGCTCACGAAGCGCTGTCTGTCGTGATTGAAGTCCGAGCGCATCAACGCGAAACCTCGAGGATATGATTGCACTGCTGTTGCCAACGGGGGGCACGCGGAATGTGCTATTTAAGAGACATACACTCCCCCCGGTTGTTTTAGCACATACCGCAGTTTTCTATGGGTAGATTCGCTCATCAGGGCGTATATTAACGAAGAGCCGAAAATCTAAACCTAAATGGGCACAAAATCAAAATCAAAAAGCGTTATCTTGGAAAACTGAAAAAATAGGGTCGTGTATGTTAACGAGGATAGGAGACAGATGAGGCAAAAAATCAAAACGACCTGGCGCCAGGGGAAGAGCCAGCAGCGCAGCGGTGATTTTTCTAGGGTGCGTTTTGCGCTCTTCTGTGCACGTGTTAGCCGATATCTCGTCAAATACTGAACGAGTTGCCTCAAGAAGGGTATCCGGAAGGAGCTGGAAACATGGGCTGTTGGGCAATGCCAAGGTTTGGGGCCGTGAGGTGCCGAGTGCGCCGGAAAAAAAAGGTTGTGTTGAAGCAAAAATGCCAACGGTTGCGAGCGGTCACTTCAAGTTCGGTGTTTTGGGCCGCCACGGGTTGTGATATCCACAGATAACTTTCCGAAGAAGGAAGCAACAGCAACAGCAACGCCACGCGGCAGGAGGTACGCCTCTGCTCCATCTTTCAAGCCCAAGGTCTGCTACCGTGGGGTGTCGTGCGTGTAGGGAAAAAAAAATTGGTTGACCCTAAAAAATCCACGTCAGAGAGCGGCTAGTTGAAGTTCGCGCCGAATGTCTGTTCACAGTTTAGTTTTTCAGCGACAACTCTTCGAAGGAGGAAGCAACAGCATTAGCAATGCCACGCGACGGGAGGTAGCTTTACCCACCATCTGTCTCGTACAAGGTTAGATGCCTTGGGGTATCGTGAGTGTGGAGAAAAAAGGTTGCAACTACCCTCTCCCGCACGGAACAGCCCCCAAAAGCCGCGCAGCCCTGTTCTGATCGTCAGTCCGTTCACCGCTTGTCACGATCGGCATTTTCTCCTCGAGCACCCAACGAGCCGGCCCGTTTTATGGCTTGCCGGCGAGCAGAGTCTTCTGGCTACAAATAACGGCCATGTTCTCGGTGGTAGGGTGCCGATAGCCCCTCTATGAGCAGTGTGCAGCAGGTCGTGTCGTACACTTGCTTTGCAGCGGCCTCGCGGCAGGTGCTCCAAGCCTTCGAAGTCTTGAACTCCTTGCCTCTTTGATTTTGATTTTGATAAAAAAAGTCCCCCGGGGACTTCTTCCCAGACAGAGGAACTTGCATAAAATCAAAGGGCCTCGTCAGGAGGTAGCAGATATTCGACCAATCAGATCTCGATTTTGATTTTCGGCACTTCGTTAATATACGCCCTCACTATACAATGTTGTATCAAAGTGAAGGCCGCCGTTGTCTTGGAATTACAGCAGTAGCACGCTTCTGTATTTGTAGTCATTTGGGAACACAAAGATTTCGATTTTCGAGCCTCTGCTGCCTCGCACGATTCGGCGGTACATGTGCGTAGATATCGTATTATAGTACATAGATACCTTAGTCAAGCCTTTCCAAAATCCTTCCTCTCGCGCGTCCGATTGCTGCACTACAGTACCGGCACCGCTAAACGCAACAGATACATAACCCGGTACAGCAGCAAGTGGTACGCATATGTAGCATATGCACGCAACCAACATGCGGCGCAAACGAACACACACACCGAGATCTCGACATGCCTGGGATTTGAGATTTTGCCCTTCTGGATCGAGGCGACAGCGCAATAGAACTGCACAGCTCTCGCCTTTGCCCAACGATTGCTATAGCGCAGAGAGGGAATGTTCCAGAGAATCACACACCGCCGCTTGTAGTATAGTCTAGCGATCGGCGGAAAGATGCAGCAGCAGCGGGCATGTTAATTGCGAGAAGAAGCTGCGGCAGAAGCATCCAACCTTCGTTGAACCTTCGCCCGAAGAAAGCAGCAGCGACACCAATGCACTGCTGCTTCAACGCCACAACAAACACAGCAAGGTATGATTTGACCAGATTTTGACTGGTCCCTGAAGATCAATGGAGGGGTATGCACGACGCATGCCTATTGTGCCCACATCTACAGCTGCATCCATCCCTGGGGGTACAGCATGCATGGGTTAATGCCTGTACCACAGGTAAGAACACTGGAAAATACCAAACGCACCTGATCGAATATGGCCATGGCATCTGCCTGGTCCAAGCCGGGATCGTTCCCGGCCATGGCTCTCCAATCCTGTGCGTCTCTCTCTTCTTGTGTTCGGGTAGGTGGACGGCGCTACGATTGATGGGCACAGGACTCTCTCCCCAGCGCGAGCCCTTTTGGGCGCGAGATGTTAGGGTCCCTTCAGATGTAGGATATCGTACACCATAACTTGCTCCCATATTTTCTGTGTAGACCCTATGTCCCGCCGCATGCCGCCATGCCGCCGCGCGTGTTGGACAGCATACCACGTTCTCTTAGCTGCTGCTCTGCTCCGCGAGCCTTGCTGTGCGCGCTTTCGCAGACACGGCGGCAAGAGCCTGCCTTCGTTCGCCATGAAGAGAACCAACTCGGAGAGAGCTAGCCTGGAGTTGGAGGGACCAGGCGAGGACGCCGATCGGCTCCGAGCTTTGCGATCGCTGCGGCGTAAGCGCAACAAGCCAGAGGACTGGATGTCTGGTACCTTCCACCAGTACGATATCTCCGATGTCGTCGGGGCTGGCACGTTTGGTCAGGTGTGTGGCGTGCGCGTGTGCTTGATCGGGCTTCTTTTCTGTTTCTCAGCGTTGATTTGGAAGTCAAATTGACGGCGTAGACTACATGTATTGCTAAACCACCGCCGCAGCAGAGGGCCAGAGTTATATAGGAGAGAGCGGGTCAACCAGGCTGTTCTCTGCCAAGTTATCCAATGATCTATATGCATATGCCTACGATGGTAACATGGTAAATCATAAAATGCATCCAGTAGTGCAGTTCCTTGACCAGGTCGGTATTTACATGCCTTTACATATGTACGCATTTCTCGATCTTTCATTCGCGATGTTTTTGCCATTCTTCGGGAGCCGCGCTCGGTCTCGATCCTATGTTCCTTCAAGTGTGTCGTCGATCGGGCGTCCCTATGCATGCGAATGAGCAGCTTCACCATTTTTGGAGGGACAAGGTCGTCAAGTCGGTGTACGGGGTTTAGACCCGTATGCAGGCCGGTACCCCCAATTTGCGCACGTCAGATGTGTGCAAGACGGTGGTGGTGTGTGCTCGTGCCCGCGATGCTTCCAGAGTCAAACAAACCTTCGCACAACCTGACAATCTGTGAGGGAAACTGGTTCTACCTCGTGGTTTCCAACAGGTTCTACGCTTGTTGTAAGTGCGAGCACTTGCGTTCAAGCGTCTGTTGTGTTGCTTGTGGTCGTCGTGTCTTATTGACTCTCGGCAATCCTGCAATCAGCTCTAGATGTTCGGAACTGAGGGCAGAGCTCTGTGAGTGATCATGTGTGCGAGGCGTAACGGAGCCAAGCTTCCGGGCGGTCCTACCTCAAATGTCGTTACAAACATGCACTGGTACACGTCGTTCCGTGATCCGTGATGTCAACACAACCATTACTTGGTTCCACTTCACCCAATGATATTGGCTAACTCTCTTGACTCTATGTCTACCCTTGTCTCAGCATCCTGTCACCTACATCAGTCTGCTGTATCATCCAATACCCTTCTTGGTCGGTTGGTCCAGTCGTCTAGACACGCCGAACATATCATTGTCTGACCGTTATCCAAAGTTCAGCACTAACGCCTCGAGAACTACAGTAGACTGAAAGCCATTCTCACCACAAACCGCAGCAGGCTGCCTTGTAGGCTTAGCAGGCTTGGTCGGCTTGGTAGGCACGCAGGGGCACGAATCCGAACTCGAGAATATCCGTGGGTTTTACATCCTTCGATCGCACAGAGCGGGACACACAGAGTGATGAGAGGAGGGGTGAATAGTGCTGCAGTACACATGTACCCCTTTCCCGTCGACCTTGAACGCGAGGCATACCTCCGAAGGGGTTGGTCAGTTATCAGTAGACAAGAAGTAGTAGGCAAGACGTGGCAGGGATCGCCATCATACTGGGCGCGAGGACCCCCTTTTGCAGATACACTGGCGTCCCCAACGGTGTCACGCACGAAAACAGCAGCATTAGACCCTCTTTGACCGGGGAGCACGCGAATGAGAGAGCACGAGCACACCCAACCCATCATGCGAGGCTCCCAGATCAGAGTGTCTTGGAAAGGACGCACGACCAGTAGATTCTCCAACCACACAGCGTACGCGGGTTATACCAGTTGAAATGGCAAGGCCACGTGGTTTCTAGGGTCTAACACCAATTAGGAGGCCTGTTCAGGTAGTCCACCCATCCAGTGCACAAGGGGTTTTGAACCGATTGAATGCCAACACGCATGTGTCTGTTGTTGCTTTGGAACATGCTCACACTGAAACACGTGAAACACCTCAGATCTTCTGGCGTACGTCATAGCTTAACTCGTTGTGCTTGTTGTACGAGCAGCTTAGACTGGGTAGGCTGCATGCAACGCCTGTCTGCAGGGCACGATGCGCGTGCGCGTCTTCCCCCAGAACGACCTTGCTTCACAATTCCCCTTTATCGAGAGACAATGCGTCTGCTTCTTTCAGCCGTTTTCGAGATATGTCCGCGCGTCTAGTGTACTTGTACAGCCGATTCCGTGAGGAAACTTGGTGCTGCCCAAGTAACGGCCTGCATTGTACAACCAGCTCCATTTATTTGTCCTCAGTAATTTCCTGCGGACTATTGGTTGAGAACACAGCCAGAGGAGCTCCGCATTCGGCAATGTTTGTGCTCAACTGAGCAAGCGTCTGTCAATGCTAGGTAACGATAGGCAAGCAATGTTAAGCCTTTGATCGATTTGTGTCTGTCCGTACTCACAACTGATCCTGTAAGAGCACGAGTAGTTTGCAGTAAACACCTCCGCCATTGCCTCTTCGACGAGACGAGTGGGTGTCATGTATTCTGGGCTCTGGCGATCAATATCCGAATTTTTCCTTCACTCGATTCCTCGCGTTCCACCCGCTCCGCACTTGTTTTATCTACAACCAACGACAAAGGTTTACAAGGCCACCCGGACGCGAGATGGCAAGCTGGTGGCCCTCAAGTGCATCAAGCAGGAGGACGGCGATGGGAAAGGGTTCCCGGTCACGGCCATGAGGGAGATGAGGATATTACGCCAGCTCAAACACGAGGTAAGGAAGCGTCAACATGACACGTAGGTTCACAATAGTAGTTCTTCATCGGGTTACTATTGTGGTGTACCTTTCGTTGGCAGTGCAAGGTTTCGGCCGCGGCCACGCAATGACGAGCCAAACGTTCATGTGTCCAAAATTGAAGTTCATTACAGGTGCATGTATGTGTGTCGAGACTCGTGCATGTATGTGAGAGGAACATGCATGGTGAGCTGGTAAACGCCTTTGAAAGTAGACCACGAGGAACGTGCGGGTTTGCCACCAAGCATCCGTAGCGCCGATTGTGATTTATGCAGCAGATACGTCGCGAAAACCTTGGGGTAGAAGTGTGAGTCATCGCACCTGCCTTAGACCGACGTTCGTGTGTGGCTCGGTTGCTCCACAAGCAGGAGGGTGCCAATGCCGAAAAGGGTGGTCTTGGAATTGTCTCGTCGAGGGCTTGCTTTCCTTGCACGTGTATCGGTCAGTTTGCGCATTTCACACGCTGTTGGTTGCGGACCAAATCGAGCTTTGAAAGTCAGTCCAGGGTGCGTGCAATACCTCACTCGCACTATTACGGCATGACCACGAAACCTCACGATAAGAAGTGATGTCAGATGTGACGGTGATGGAAGAGCGCCTCGATGAGACTGGGCGCATGTGGAAACGAATGTATGCACCCTATTTCACTTTTTGCCACACAACTCCAGCACCTTTGGGAGAATTTCTCTGTGGGCGGTAACGAACTAACAGCGACGGCAACACACACAGAGCACTGCGACGGTGCACACACTTGAGGTCGATGTTCCCGATGCTGGCTGTCGGATCATACTTTGCTGGGCAATCTACCTTCTAGAAGGAAGAAGTTGCAGCGATTTGAGCGAAAACTCACCGTTGTCTGCTTGCAAGTGTTGTTGCTAAGGTGTACGCCCGCTGTAAAAATCGAACTTACCGTAAAACATAGCAGAATGCAGCGGTTCGTACATCCTTATGTTTCGGGGTTTGTGACGTTGCAACGCTTTGACGCGAAGCAAACAAACGTGTGTTGGATCACGGTCTGTCCCAGACGTGTGTAACAGCACTTCCCCCTATGTACCCGATTCCAATCGACCGGGTATGACAATGCCGCGTGTTCCTTGCGGTACTAAGTAGGAAGATCCCGGCGCAAGCATTGCTTTACCGACCACACCGCCACCCCTGTGCACCCCGCGCTCGACAAGCAGAACATTGTGGACCTGATAGAGGTAATCATCGACGGCAACCCCACCCCGGGACGCCTCTCGACGGTGGCGCTGGTCTTCGAGTACTTGGACCACGACTTGAGCGGGCTACTGGACACCCCGGAGGCGGCCAATCAGATCACGCCGCCCGTCGCCAAGTCTTTCATGATGCAGCTCTCGGCAGGGGTGAGACTGGGAGGGCGGACCCTCTCATGTCTAGCATGCCTTAGCGGTTAGACCATTGACCAAGTGTCCTCGAGGAGACGGAGCATTGGACCGATCACCGAAGGCCAATCGTTCCATCCCACTTGGCCAAACGTATAAAGCTCAAAACTGTTTTCCCTGGCCTGTCTATCCTATCGGTAACACTTTCCGCCCTTTCAACACTTCCTTTGGCGAGGCCGGGGGTTGATTGACGGGGCGAATTCTAAAGTTGCTGGAGGGAGTAGAGGGGGGGGGGAGGAAGCTGCTGACTTTTTCAGGATTTTTTAGGAAGCAGGCTGCATTGCTGCATTGCGCCCATGAGCGGTAAAAGGCTGTCATCGCGCGAATGCACTCGGTGAAGCGAAGGGGGCTCGGAAATACCAAAGCTTAACCTTGGTGTGGACCGCACTAAAAACCTGGTGTAACGGCTGTGTTTGGATTGAGGCCTCGCGTGTTGGTCGATTCTCGGGTCCTCCGACTTGGGTCCTCCAACGCCGCCCGCCGGCATTGTTTGTTGACCAACACGTTCCACGTCCATCTCTCTGCTGTGGTGACTCGTTCTCGCTGTACAGTGCTCGTACAACGTATCTACACGGACGGTGCTTGCCAAGCCATTGCTTCCCACGAGACAGCCCGTCCTGTAACGCTGGTCATTTTTCGCGTGTGCGTACAGGTCGCGTACATGCACGACAAGGACATCATTCACCGCGACCTCAAGGGCGCAAACCTGCTCATCTCAAACACAGGGTGAGTCAAGTGAGAAGCCAACCTATCGCTGTGCTTTTCTCGCAGCGGCGTTAGCGAAGCGAGATTGGGAATCAAACGTGGCCATCAAATGCGCTGGCAGCGTTACAGTACCCTGTAGACCTCGGGGTGTGTGTGTGAGGTATGTTACTGTGGATCTGAGGAGGGTCGGGGACCGCAATTGACCGCAAGGGTCGGCCAGGAAAATCACCCGTTCTCCGTAGAACGCATCTCCTCCCGAACCCAATTCTCTTGCCTGTTGAGCCGATGAAGCCCCGGGCGTGACGACAGATATTCTGAAACAGATCCAACAGAGGCCAATCGCTGCATCAATATTTGCGCTTGTCACAGTTGCAGCCTTTTAATGGGATTATGGTCATAAATGGTGCACTTGGACCACCGCAGCCACCCGCCATTCGCTTGACGCCAAGAGATGCGCCTCTGGTTGGTCTTGGTTGCAGGCACCTTAAGATCGCAGACTGGGGGCTCGCCAGGCGGGTGTACGAGATGCAAGACAAGTACACTACCAAGGTCATCACGCTGTGGTACCGACCGCCGGAGCTTCTCCTCAAGTCTGCTGTGGTATGTTTGCCTTTCGGTTCACCTGCACACACGCTTTTAGAATCTACCGATCCCCCTCCCGATTTTTTCCGCTTGATGTCGTCCGCGCTTGGCACTTTCGTCTGAGCCGTGCCACGCGCACGCGCAAGGCGTTACGGCAGTCGCAACCTCGTGAAGGAAGCCGCAGCTGGTGCAGGAGTGAGATGACGCGTTGTTTAATGCCTTGTTTGTCCCGAGCAATCGAAGCAGTTTCACACCCATTCAAATGTGAGACCTCTCTCGCCCGCATCATGGTCGGTTAACACGTTTGTATCTCGGCCCCTCGTTGAGCGAACACGCGTATACAAGTGTTGGTTTTCACGCGACCGTTCTCCCCAACGATAACAGTACGGGTCGCCGGTTGACCTGTGGTCCGTCGGCTGCATCGTGGGCGAGCTGCTGACGAGATCGTCCATCTTCCCGGGAAAGAACGAGTCCGACCAGCTCAGCCTCATCTTCGACACGCTCGGCACGCCCACCTCCCACACCTGGCCCGGCTGGAAGGAGCTGCCAGACTCCGACCACTGGCGGGAGTCCGTGAGGGATCACCCCCGCCCCTCGAATATGCGGGAGAGGTTCTCAAAGTGAGCTTGTGTCGCTTGCGCGAGATTGAGAGAGGTGCTCGATTGATCGGAACGTTGCTGCTGCGTGCGCGGTTGTGGTCATGGGTGCTACAACAGCGTGCTCTGTGAGACTCGTGTATTGTGGGATTATCTTGGTTCAGATGGATGGGCGGCGCGATCGAAAAATAGCCTCTGGCATAGCAGGCATTGATAGGTGTTCGCGGCATTTTGGACGCTAAAACCCGGGCGACCGCGGGAACTCCGCAACGTGCGCGATCGGTGCACGGTGTCCGGTAAGCCTTCGTGCCGCGCTTCTCGATGCTGATGTCCTTGCCCCCTTCACCGTTTGACGCCCCATCGAAACATCGAACCATCGAAGGTACGGTGATGTGGTGCTGGATCTTCTGGTGGGATTGCTCGCACTCGACCCCAAGAGGCGCCTCACAGCCAAGCAGACTCTCGAACACCCCTACTTCCACACCAAGCCGCTCCCTGCGGTGCCCGGAATGTGAGACCATCGTTATCGACGTTTTCTCCTTTGTTTTTGACCGAGCGGGGATGCCAGGAGAAGGACTTGCCGTTCCATTCCCTCGTCGATCTTGAATCGAGTGTCGTGTTCTCGCGAGGTTACCGCTATCCATGTGTACTCCCAAAAACAACAAAACAAGAACCAAAACACCAAATAATATGAAGAGGCGTAACAGCAAGACGAGCAATATAGCGTGAGGCGCAAGTCGCTATATATCATGAGCGCATGAGGACCAACGAACCCCCGACCCCGAGATACGGTATTGTGTATCTTTCCACCTACAATAATACCTGTAGGCCATCTTCTTCACCGGTTTCATGGCACTTTTCTTGAGGTCTGCTATTCGCGTGGACCCATGGTGAGATTAGTGTCATTTTCGTGCCACTGCGCCGGGATCAAAACTCAACGTCCAAACGTCAGGAGATTTCGACTTGCGAGGTTACCATTAGAAGAACGCCACGGCCCGCTCTATACGCATCTCAGAACAAACTCCGTACTTGTATGCATATTTCTCCTCTGCAGGCGATTTTTTTTCGCCCTTGCACGTGTCAGAAGATCACTCTCGCAATGTGTACACACGTTGGCCTTCGCCTCGTCTTCTTCTTCCTTTTTTTCAGGGTGACGCTGAACTTGCACTCATGCCACGAGTACGAGGCCAAGATTCGAAAAAAGGACAGCAAGAAATCTGCAAAAGTGAGTGAGCTTGCGAAGCGTGAGGGGGTTGTGTGTGAGGGTGGCATTCAGCTTTCAGCTACTGCTTGTTTGTGCTGCTGTATAGATTGTTTCTTGTGTGCCCTTTTTTGGTGAGTTTATGGGAGCGCTGCTGCTGAGGTCTTAAGGCCGCGGGGGGGATCGCAGTACTTCCTCTTACAAAAAACAGGAAACGCCTGGAAACGCCTGCATATCTCGGTTTTCCAAAGTCTAACTCCAGTACGAAACTACCATCGTAAATTAACCGCCCGCAGCGGTCGCTTGTGTACAATGTTAGTAGCTGAGGTTGTACCCCTTTCGATACACTACAGACTAGCGGTCCGCGATTTTCCAAACGATCCTTCTATCATCGAGTTCGGTGAGCTACAAGCTAGATTTTTGAAGCTGCTGTGCGGTCCAATTTTGAAACGCTTCAAGCACACGGTGAACACGAATCACCGCCTATGTGAGTGTATGGGGCCGCGAACTTCAGCGCAGCTCTTCCCTCACATATCCAGCTGGTCGCCATTGTCGATTTTGAATGCCTAGGGTCATGTATATGCATGTCCAGCCTTTAGGCAAAGGTGCTTGAAGCGTTTCAAAATTGGACCGCACAGCAGCTTCAAAAATCTAGCTTGTAGCTCACCGAACTCGATGATAGAAGGATCGTTTGGAAAATCGCGGACCGCTAGTCTGTAGTGTATCGAAAGGGCTACAATCTCAGCTGCTAACCTTGTCCACAAGCGACCGCTGCGGGCGGTTAATTTACGATGGTAGTTTCGTACTGCAGTTAGACTTAGGAAAACCGAGATATGCAGGCGTTTCCTGGATTTTTCAGAGGAGGTACTGCGATCCCCCCCGCGCCCTTAAGACGCGTTCGGTAGACGACGTGGCTGATGGGCCCAAAGGTCGAAATAATTTTGCTCAGGTGCCGAGGTCAAGAAGCTCTTGAGAGAGAGGAAATTTGTACAAGGACCAAGAAGAAGAATAGCTGTGCTGAGCCCGGAGATCGCAGAGCCCAGCGAGGGCGAAAGTTAACACGCGGTTGAGTTGCTGTCTTTGACACATTGCATGTTTGGCTCTGATCGGCTCGTGCTATAGCGGCAGTCCTCACGAGTTTTTGTGGTATTCTTGGTTGACGTTGCACACGCCGGGAGCGATTGTTTTTCTATAACAGGGTCTATTGCCCTGGTTCAAGTGGCCGGCACCCCTCACACGTTTATTGCCGCTCCGCGCTGCCCGCCCCCCCCCCCTCCGCCACAGGGAAGCTACCACAGCGCAGCTGGTGGTTCGAAAACCAAGGTGACGTCGGCCCGCAAATCAGCCGCAGTTAGTCAGCACCGACACTCCTCCCAGCATCAAGCTTTGAGACAGCAAAATCAACAGAAAGGACCGGGGATGCAGATATCCTTGCCGCAACCGGGGCTTGTCGCCCACGCTCGGCCGCCGGCGGCGGCGGCGGCAGCGGCGGCTGCCGTTCACCCGCATCACCCCCCGCTCCACCACGCCCAACACCCCATCAACAGCCTGGTGCTTAGCGCGACGACCACGTCGGGACGAACGCCTCCACCACAGGCACGTCAACAACTCCCGCCGCCGCCGCTACACCAGCAGCTGCCGCCCCCGGGAGGCCGGGGCTCCCACAATTGGGGACGATGAATGAAGCACATGCGTTTGGCTGTGCTCTTCTCGTATGTAGCACTGACATTTTGGCGCGGTTAGTCACAACACACAGCGAAGAGCTCTTGATTGACTAGAGGCCAGGGCCTCTGTGCAAATCTAAGATCACGCATGTGGTTGGGGGCTATGTTTTTGTGTTGAAGTAATTTTGAGGCAACCCTGTGATGGTTCGTTGCCATGAGTTGCTTGGTGTTGTCGTCAGAGGCTAGGTTATGACGTCATGCGGACGGAGATGCACGAGTGGTGGTGTTTCTGTCAGCTGCTGGTTTGGTGTAGATGGACTCTTCGGGCTGCATGATGATGTCGAAAACTTCGTCCGCGGGTCAGCAAAGAAAAATAAGCGGGAACAACCTGCATCTCTGATATCATGATATCTGCATCACTTATAGTAGAGCGTATTGACCAATCCGCCGAAGACGCCCGAGATAAATCCTCCTCACCGCGGTATGTGTGCATATATGCATATGTGCGGGGCATCCATACTTGTGTACGTATGTGTATAACGATGTTTTTGCCGTTGGTTGTGTTCTGCTTTTTTCATGCCATGATGGGTGATACCAAACACAGAGAGGCCGTGGGGGCGGGGAAAATTCACCAAGTAATAACGTCAAGCGTGTTGGTTATCACATGTTTACTTTTATATGCTTCTGTGCTGGGTTTATTGTGTGCACGCGTCCATACCAGCTGGTCCACACTTACGTGCCGCGTTTCGTGCACACCAATCACTATTTTTGTTTGCGTTATCTGGGACCAACGTGCGATTTTTAATCAACCGACATATTGTCTTCTACTGCTGCCGACAATCAATCGTTCATCATTTTTGACGAAGAGCGTTCGTTCATTTGACGAAGATATTTCGTAAGAGCGTTCGTTAAACTTATTCTGCGCGTTGCGCTCCGACCTGCCCGACGCCGCGGGTGTTCCGCCTCAGCGCTTTCTGTCACCTACGCTGCTGCTGTATACGCCAATCGCCAACAAAGGATGGTGGATACGTTGCTATTGCTCTAGAACCACCGAGATACTTCCTTGGGCAAGTAAATGATGACGTGAAGACGGTCTGCTGAAACATTCTCTGTAACCGTCATTCCGCCCATTTCTTCATAATTTGGAGAAGGAGCGGGTGGGATCTGTCTGTGCGTGTTGTATGTACAGCAGTAATTCCTTCCACATATATTAAGTTAGCCCCGCTCCCAAACTGCATAGTCTACAGCAAGACCTTCCACGACTGTCTCTCAGGTTTCAGTAGGTGCTGTAAAACCGGTTGGTAACCCATTGCAATAATAATGGTTCGTTCACTGCCGGTGAGATGTATGTTGTTGGCAGAAAACTGGCACGTTACCACCATGGTACAGCAGGTGGCTCGAAGCCAAAGAACAGATTTTTGTTTGTTCTCTCTCGATGCATGTACAGCCAGATGGATCAATGAAGGGAAAAAATGCATCTAAGTAACAACAGAGGCAGCGTCGTCTGCCTCCTGCATGATTTGGTGCTGTATGATATGTATTATGCATAGTAGACTGGGAAGAAAGTGTGAGATCATAGTACAACGTGTATCTTGTGATCTCCTGAGTAAGAAAACAGATCTGGATTTATTTCATCTGAGGTGTACAACAGGTCTCGACGGGGTAATTGGGAAATAGTATCCACCCCCGCTTGTGCACTGCTGCAGACCTATATCTTACGGAAGAGGGGAATGAATGCCTGATGATGAACAAACAAGACACTTCCCCGATCGATTCCCTCCTCCCTGCCTTCAAGACACCCACAATCTTCGCGGCATTTCATTGGCAGCCGATCACACCCGCCCTGCGACAGGGAGAGGCCACATGACGGACGTCCCAATCACCGAGAAGAAGGTTGCTCGAACTTTCTCCGCACGTCACATTCGGTTCTTTAGTTCTGGAACCGGTCCCGCGGCAAGCAACCAGATTCTCACATCTGACTCTATCTACCTGTCCTTGCCCTGCCCACACCCGATCACACACACACATCCTTCCATCCACAGCTTGCCTGGCGACCAGCTGGTCTTCCCCCCATCCTTCCACTCACACCACTGCCTTTCTCCCCAAGTCTTACAAGTGTCGAGCAAAGGTGCGGCAAGGGCAAGAGAGAGGTGAGACCCCGTGTGCAGGCGAGCTTTAGATCGGATGAAGCGATACCTCTGTAGGAGCCAACTCGCTTTTTTATTTTTCCGGCTACGATCCCCGTTTCGGCGGGTGATTTGAGAGTTTTTTTGATGGACGTGTGTGTGTGTTTTTCCGTTCTATGACGTTGTGCGAGCTATGCTACAGCCGACATACATGGACGGAGACGCATGCCATGCCATGCCACGCGACGCCAACAGCGACAGAAATAATCAACTCAAGCCAGCACGCACCTGGTAGCCCGTCGAAGCAATAATATATGGTTGGCTTTGGTACGCGCACCATGATGACTGCACAATCCTTTTACAAAAATGCCTCTGGTTGTGCGCGCCTTTTGTTTCCCGTCTCTTTTTTTTGTAGACTCCCCTTGCCGAGATGTGCCGTGTTCTCTCCTCCTCCTACTGCTGTGCTCTCGCTCACCACATAACAGCTACACCCCCCCCTGCTGCGCACCTCCTGCGCCCGCATAAACTCAACGGCAAGCGGTCTCCCGCCTACCGCACTCGATCGAAAAGCCACATGCCGATGTCCCGTTGCAGGTTGTGGTGTGGCAAATAAAGCTTTCCCCTGCACTTTGCACTTGACTGACTTTGTGTGCGGTTACCGACTTTGAATTTTTTGTACCATGTGCTTTCTACAACGCATATACTGTTAAACGTCTACCTTCCGCCATCTCTGTTAACTCAGCACGCGTGTCGCCCTTGGTCAAGCGTCCTACAGCATTTTTGCGTAGAGGTTGCCCCTTTCGGCGGATCGGCGAGATGTGCCCCAGTTTTTTCCGAGTGCTGTAATTCCCCACCAAAACGGCGGAAAATAATGACCGTTCAAACCGTTGAAATTTCACGCATACGCGTGTCGCGTGGTAAGGGCGGAGCGCGGCCGGGCTCCACTCGTTCCTTGCAAAATTGTCAGGAGCGATTAAGAGGCGTGTGCCTAGAGCGCCGATCCAAAGCTTCAAGTACGTGCTTGCAACCAGCATTTTGTCGGTAATTCGCCGGGTCCGCTCACACTTTTTTTTTCAACACCAGGTGTGTCCTCTCACTTTTTTGACGATCGGTCTGTCGGTGGTGATATTCCCACCGGGATGAATCTAACCAAGCAGTCAAACGCTTCTGATTTTGCTTCGATCCTGACGTGCTAAATACATTCGACGTATTCATTTTTTCACTAGCCTCACATCATCCTGCTGGTTTGTTGTTGTTGTTGTTGTTGTCTTCACATTCTGGTAGATACTGGCAGATGTGGTGCTGACCGACTTTGGCATGTGGACGAATGAATGTACTATTTGAGGTAGAGATTGTGGTTGGTGTCCAGGTTCTTCTCTTCACAAATTTGTTCGCGTACATTTGTTGTACGTGTTGTCAGCTAAATCTTTTATCTTTTAAGGAGTTGTGCCGTCTTCCTTTCGATCTTTTTCGATCGATCACACAAACCTTTCGGCGCTGTGCATTTCGCCCTCGCCCTCCCAGTGCATGTGGCATTACACCAAACAAGCGCCGATAACGTCGTGCTTTCGTCTTTCGTCGGACTGTTTCCTCTGATCTGGCCTTGCATGGTTCCTTCCGCCAATCATTGCTTGCTGCCTCTATTCTAGATATGACCGAAAACTTGCGTCATGGAAACCAACCATTTTCGAATTTGACCTTGCAGAACGATAGTACAAGGACGGAACGACGTCTCGGTTGGGGCATACCTCGATACATCTCCTCGTGGTACATGTATCCTCGCGACGGACCCTTGCTTTTTCATGTCCTTCGGACTGACTTCTTGCTTCAATATGAAGATGAAAAATTATAACTGCTGTGCCCGGAACGTCGTTGTACAGAGGAAGCGGTTCAGTCAAGTCGGCGTCCTTGCAACGCTGCTGCCCCGCGGACTTGTCCCCGACGTAGAACGGCACCTACCTGTACAGGTAACATGTCAGTAACAGTCGTTTGTTCACTACTGTCGACCCTGCATCAAATCAAGGGACTCATTTACCTGCTGCTGCTGTTGTGTAACGACGTCCCAAACAATGACAATGACAATCTCATTCAGGTTGTTACAAGTTCTCGCCTGCGAGAGTCGTGTGGCCAACGATGCATCTCTTGAAGCTGCTGCTGCCGGTGCTCTCCATCAGCTTCGTGGCCGGTAAGCATTCAAGCACTGAAGTTCATAAAACGCCCCCTTCTCACGTCGTTCGTCAGAGAGGATGGGTGTCGGCGTGCATGCTATGCATAGGCTGTAGGTAGGTAAATAATTTCATAATTTTTTCAAAGGTCCGTCCACAGCTGTATTATATAGTATAGTATATTAGCCCGAGTATCGTGTCGTATGGCTCTTGTGACAATGCTAATCGATCTCTCTTGTTGCCTCCCGTCTTTGTGTCATACCGCTACCCACAGCCCAAACTTGTGACGGTATCCTCAAGGGCGATATTTGCTGCTCGGCTGGATGCGGGGAATGTGGCGGGTCCGGGTAAGTGTCGTGCGCCAGGTTTTTTCATGTCGATGACAGGACTTCTGTCGTGGGCCGTTTTTTCATGTACTTTGAAATTGAGTTTTTTTTTCCCTCAAAACACGAGACATGCTCTCTTTTCATACACACAAGGCCTTTTCCCAACAAGCCAGTTTGTTGCCCTAAGACTCCACCAATACACTTGGGAACCTCGATCGGCACGCTCAAGTGTCCCTTGACCATCGACGCATGACATCCTGGGTCTTTTGATTCCATTGCGAACCGTGCACTGCAGGTGTGGCGACCGCGGGGGTGGCTTGACAGGCGATGACTGCTGCCACTCGGACATCATCGCCGCCAACGTCCCGTGTGGGTCCGCACCCTGCATTCTCGGGGCATCGGCTTCTACCCCGACCTCTCCGACTCCGACTACCCCCACGCCCACCCCGGACGGCTCAAGCGGCTCGTGCGACGACGGCATTCTTCAGGGCGATGTCTGCTGTGTGGTACGTGTTGGCGCATGCCTCCAAGATACCCCTATATATTATCACAGATGTTTTTTAGCTGTGTCGGGATGTTTCGCCGCACAGCATGAGGAATCTCGTTGAAGTGTTGCGAGCGTGAAGATTGAGATTTTGCGGTTGTGTGAAATGGCAGCAGGCAACGAGAGGGATCCACGTCACACTGGGAAACTACCCGGGCCATCAATACCTTGACCGTAATTTTCCGTTCGTGGAATGTTTTCCCAGGCGGAGTGCGAAACCTGCGGGGGGTCGGGATGCAGCTCGAGGAACGGTCTTACCGGCGACGAGTGCTGTACCGCTAACATCAAGGCGGCCGGCGTGTCGTGCGGCGAAGCCCCGTGCATCGTGACTGGTGGGTGGCTTTGCTCTCTGGGTATTGATGCTGGTAGACGTATGCAGAAGCCCACCAAGTCTGCCGCTCCAGTATTTTTGTTTTTGGATGTGTTGGCTTCCGTTTTCCCTCCTCGCCTGCCTGTGGTGCTGTTTCCTCTCCTTCCCATTAGTCCATTTTTATCGCCTGTCCCGTCTTTCCCCGTATCCTTGTTTCCGGAATACGCTTACATGATTTCAGATGACTCCCCTTCTCCTACGGACGACGACAACACCCCAAGCCCTCCGTCGCCGTCTAGTTCTTCCTACTCGTTTGCGGGATGTTACGTCGACAGCCCGGACCGTGTCTTGTCCGGCGACTCGATGATGTCGGTGAACAGCGTCATGACCACCGCGGTACGTACGTTTGGAGCATATTTTTCTTTCTCTGTGCGTTGAGGTCGACATGCGTTCCGCAAAACCTTTTGCCCTTGGTTGGAACGATTTTTCCCTACTCGAGTTCTGGTTCGGACGCCTATCTCGGTGTGTTGCTGTATGCATGAATGACTCAGTGTTCCGCCTCCACCTCTTTGTCGAATTTGTCACCATCTTTTTCATTGACGCTTGCCTTTCGCCTGTCTTGGCAGTACTGCGCCGACTTCTGCGAGGGTTCGGATTACTTCGGGGTTCAGTTCGGATACGAGGTGAGCATTCTCAGCCAATCACGTTGTCGAGTCACATCGCTCGGCCGGAACTGCACGTATCGTAGGATGATGTTCTGACAAACGAACAAACCGAACTGGCTTGTGTGCTAGGGTGGACGTGTACGACGTGGTTTTCATGTCAAGCTGTTGTCCGTCTGATGCACCATCACCCACGGTTGCTGCCCCCTCTCGCCTCCGGACCCCTCTATCGACAGTGCTTCTGTTCTTCCAGCGGTGACACTCCGGATGAACTGGGTGAGTCCGAAGACTGCGAAATGGCCTGCAGCGGAGACTCGAGCGAGATTTGCGGAGGATCCTACGCCATCCAGGTGTACGAGTACTCGGATGATGACGACACACCGACTCCCGTTACCCCCACACCGTCCGGCGACGGTGACTACGAGTCAGTCGGATGCTTTGTGGACGACAGTTCCGACCGCGTGCTCTCGGGCGACTCGATGTTGAGCATCAACAGCGTCATGACAGCGGCGGTAAGTGGAGGTGTCATCTGGTCGCAAAGGTTTGCTCGGCCGCCTGTTGCAGCAATCTTGTGTTGTTTGTGTGGAGGTTGGTCCGTCAGTAAGGCTCAGCGTCGTTTGGGTCGATCCTTTAACCGCCCTACCTCCTATGCTTGCTCTTCCCCACGCTCACTGTCTCCCCAACGCTATCCGTTTCTTGGTCCGTAACACTCAGTACTGCGCCGACTTCTGTGAGGGCTCTACCTACTTCGGGACTGAGTACGCATTCGAGGTAAGATGAGCTTGATCGAGTCATGGCGGCCCCCTTAGCTTGGTGCTATGCTAGTTGTAGCTAAGTAGGTACAGCTTGGTTTGGTCCAGCCGTCTATGTAGATGTATTTTATCATGAAGGTTCTCCGTCGGCCATCACATGCACCCGTTTTATAGTGGCACCGTTTTTGTTCCGTCCGCTGCCGCTACCTTCGACGGCTGTCAAAACAAAACAGTGCTTCTGTTCTTCCAGCGGCGACTCTCCGGACGAGCTCGGTGAGGCCTCCAACTGCGACATGACCTGCAGCGGAGACTCGAGCGAGACATGCGGAGGATTCAACGCCATCCAAGTGTACATGCTTGAGGACGGCCCGGCACCCACCCCTGTTGCTCCTTCCCCCACCCCGGCGGTTGGTGAATGGGAAGTTCCCGATCCTTCCCCCACGAGCAACCCGTCCCCCACCCCGTTGATGGAAATCTCCAGCAGCTGCGGGGACGATGAGGACCGGCCTTCTTTCCGTTACGCCGCCAGCAGCGGAGTCGCCGGTCGCCTGTGTGAGTATTGACACGTCGCGGCATGCTTGGAGTAGGGTGCATGTGCACCGGATTGCGTTCTTCACAAGGTCAAGCACATCGGGGTTGACGGACATGAGTTTTCCAGACTAGCATTGTTTGGTTGGACTCCGGCCGTAGTTGGTCACATTCTGATCGATTTGCCGTGCACTTCTATTCTGAAATGTGAAAAATTTAGCTGTTGAACAAATTTCGTATCCCTCTGATTGGCACCGATGCTCTCTATTTTGCAGACGCCGAAGGCGAAGGATGCTTCACCATGACCGACCTGTACAACTTCCGTGGCACGGAAAACGACGGATCCTCCAAGGGCCCGGTGTACATGCTGGACGATGATGGCACCAAGCTCGACATCCCATCCGGCATCACCAACAACTGGCTCCTCGCCGCCGAGCTTTACATCACCGGCGGTGGTGTGTTCTACTGCAAGGGAACCAGCGCTGGGGGAGACTGCAACCAGCTCCGTATCCAGTCTACTGGCTCGGACGACTTCCACGAGGTGAGGCATTTGTAAGCAAGTACCCTTGCACTGTGTGCTGTTCCGTTGTTAATACCTCGTGGACGTCCTTGATATTTGCAAAGAACTACAGTAGCACTCGGTAGGCCTGACCCTATGCGCTGCAGATCTAGAGGTGGGTGGTTTTGTGGTGGAGAGGGTAAAAAGATTGCTTCGGTAATCCCCTGTTGACGTTCTCAACCTTTTGGCCGTCGCGTTCCGCGGAACAATCGTTTTCCAGGTCCGCGGGCACGGAGGTAGCTTGTATTTCGAGGACACCATCGTTACCTCGTGGGACACCCCGAACAAGGAGCCCCAGGAGACGTACGAGAACGGCCGTTCGTTCCTTAACTGCGTGTCCGAGAAGCTCACCGGCGACGATTGCGAGGGCAACGCCAAGAACGAGATGGGAGAGTGCCGGATGGACATTATCAACTCTGAGATCGCCTACCTAGGTTACTTCGACTCTGAGTCCTACGGCATGACGTGGAAGGTAAGATCAACCGCAAGCGCAAGGTTTTCCCCGTTCATCGTGTTTCCTTTTGCACGTTGGCGGCTGGTTGGTGTTTACGAAGCCTTTTGCGTTCGCGTCGGGCATGTTCACAGTGGCAACGATCCTGAGCGCTTGTTAACCTAGACACTTTCCTCGATTCACAACCTTTCGTGGACGCGTTCCAGGTGCGCGGATTCTGCAAGGACCTCTCCAACCCGGAGGTGTTCGAGCTCACCAACGTTTACGGCGACCTGACGGGATCCGACATTCACCACCTCTACTATGGGCACTACAGCTACGGGCACCAGGGCGGTGTTTGGACCAACAACAAGATGCACGACAACTGGCAGTACGGCTTCGACCCCCACGACGACTCTGACTACCTCACGAGTGAGTCGGTGCTTAAAAAAAATAAAATACATCGAATTATGTGATCAATGGTACCTGCTGCTTATCTTTTGACGATTGCGCGTATACTCCCCGTTGATGTGCCTGTTCTCGTGAAACATGCTTGGTTTCTTTGCTATGCATGCGCATCCTATCTCAGTTATCTCCCCTTTGTTTTTTCGTTGCGCGGTCTGCTCCGATGATTCGCAGTCGCGTACAACGAGGTGTACAACAACGTCAACCACGGTGAGCGCTCTTTCCAATTGGGCTGGCTTTGCCTTGCGTTTATCTCGATTGGATTACGTTGATCATGATCCCTGCCTCTGCTTTCTTCTTGTATCCCCCCGGCTCCAATAGTTGTGGGTAGAAGGCCATCATGACGACCAGCGCATAGCCAGCTCGTTCGACGCGGCACCTTCATTGTTTGTAACCTTTCGCGTGTTCGATGCGACTCGCTCCAATGATGTGTTTCCTAGGGATCATCGCTTCCAAGCGCTGCAACAACGTAAAGATCTTCGAGAACGAAGTCAGGGATGGTGGCGCCGCCGCCGCGGGAATCTTCCTTCACCGCAGCTCGGACGGCGCCGCAGTCTTCGGTACGTGTATATTTTTTGTCAAAATACAAAAACTTTTTTTGATTCCAGCGCAAGGGACTGGTCTCTGATTTCGGGATCCCAAGGTGACTCAGCTTTTGCGCCGAAACAGAAGTGCACCGTCTGTTTTACCGATCTCTGAAACCGTTTCTCGTTGTGCGTTTCTCGTTGTGCTTCTTGCGCAGACAACACCATCACGAACATGCAGGACGCTGGTATCGCCATGCTGGAGTCTTTCGATGCTCAGATCTACGGCAACATCATCAACGGTGCCAAGTACGGCATCCGCATGAGCCTTGGCTCGGGCAACAACGAAGTGTACCAGAACTCCTTCACGGACATCTCCCAATGTAAGTTATGGAAACAATCGAGTCAGGTTGCTCAGGGAATGACGTCGTATTTTTTAGGATAAGGCGACATGAAGTGATGTTCAAGCACATCGGTATTTGTGGTTGATGCTGCAATTCGTGTTTTGCTCGCGCTATGGGTGCCACAGCTTGAATTCCATCATTACTGCACTAGTTTCGCCCTTTTGACAAGCCGACTCTCGGCCTTCGTACTCTTGTCAAAACCCTCTGTACCGTCAAATCAGACGGTCTGTACACTTACGAGGGAAGCGATGAGCCGGACGTGTCAGACGGCCGCCCGTCGGGCAACGTGCTGGCTCTCAACCTGGTGGAGGACTGCCCCATCGGTGTCAAGATCAAGGAGGGAGACGATAACGAGTTCTACCGTAAGTTGGCGTTGGCTCGCCACTCGTTTGACGAAAATGAGGGCCACTCGAATGCTACATTGATCCCTAGACTTCTATGTCATCTGTTTGGTGTTGGTTTCGATGAGCTTGATATTGTGTTTTCTTCGGCAGTTGTCTTGAACAGTGCAAGCAGGGCCTAACTGCCTACCCGCTAGGACTACGTACCCGGTTGTCTTCCGACAGTGCGAGCAAATTTGCCCGCTGGTGCTTTGGTCAGTTTCCAGCAGATGCACTTATGTCCACCCGTTCTTCACGCCTTTGCTCTTCCTTTCCAGAAAACACGTTCATCAACGTGGATGCCTTCGAGTTCCCGGAGTCGACCAACACTATGTGGAGCGGGAACGACATCGGTGACGGCTGCATAGAAGAGGATGACGAGTTCGATGCGGCGTCGGGATCAGACAGCATCCCCATCTGCTAATATTCAATTGCTTTTGCGGCTTCGAATAGCGTTCGCATTTTGACCCAGTTGGTTTTTTAGGTGGTTCTGGTATCGGGATGGGATGGTTGCATATCCCACGCGACCAATATGGGCTCAGTTGGGAAACAAGGAGGGGTCTAGACTCGTTTCGCTGATTCCAGCCGCTCTTGCAATTGCCATGGAGCGGCTTAGACGACCACGTGCTTGTTTTCTTTCGCTTTCGCTCGAGAAGATTAGGGGGGTCAATGACCCGTCCCGCCCTGAAGCTTCTGAACGGCATGTGCGCAACAGGCCTCGGGAGTTGTGGAGTTGTCCCCTGAATGTATTTTACCTTGTTTCCGTAGCAAACGCAATTGGTTGTTGACGCTCTTGTGACGTGTGCGTATATGCATAGATGGCGTGACCTCGAGTAACTATAAATTGAATACTGGTGTCTTGCTTTCGAAGTCGCCAGCCCACCCTGTACTTTGGTGCGGGAGAGAATCACACATGAATGTCAGGAGGACCGGCAGTGTGGGCCCTGGCTTGCAACGTGTCTTGTGAGCTAGCTCCCCGGCTTTTTTCGGACAAATGTTGTCGGTAGTCGCAGGCAAACGATGAAAGTTCACGTTACCCTCGTGAGGAGTTCTCCTACGGTCGTTTTGTGTGTTGTGGATGCCCACACAGCTTGTCGTTCGTGGGAATTGGCTGGGTGTAGTGTGACTCTGGAGGTCCCAGGATTTCCTTCTGTGTTTTGACATGAATCATGAGGTGCGGTTACCCGCATGTTCGGCGAGGCTTACTCTAAAAGAAACCAATCGGGCTGTGTCCTGGTTGTATGTCGTAGGTGGTCTGTTCTGACCTAAGTCCAGGTAACACTAGAGATGCGCTGCTTTTGGTTTTGGTGCCACTTTGGTCTTGTGATGATTGTTGTATAGAAGTATTCTATACTACGTGTCTTGCTGTCGTGAACTCGGAGAATATCCACGCTTTGCTATTGTACCAGAGCGCCGTGGCTCACATCTCCCGTTCGCGTCGGCCAAGTTTCCAGGGAGTGGGCTCGTGTGTTGCCTTATTTGTTTCCATGTGTGCTACGTACGTATGCGTTGGTACAAACAAACAATTTTTGGGGGTCCCTGTACTATATCTGAAAACAAGTACTCGGAAAGGCGCTGTTTTAATAATTGCTTTGTGGGATGTCCTGGTATTGTCGTGTGAGAATGGAATATAACGACTAATGCTGTACTTTGTTCCAAATTGTCAAGATTATTATCAAGAAGTTGGTTGGCCACATTGGTTGTTCTTGTGGGTCACACGAGACAATGTGTGGCCATTGCCTTACTGATCGGCGTCGTGTCAACGTGTTTCATTTACAGTATTTGGTTATTTTGAAGGGAGAGAAGTAAAAAGGCGGGGGCGGGTCGGGGGAACGTTTTTGTACTGCTAGCTGTAGCCAGTCCCCGTTGATGCTGTCCGCCGTTCGTTGTTGAATGCGCTATGATGCAATATGTTCTCTCGCGTTTTATTTTGGAAGCGGGACACAACAACGACTGGGATCCACGGAGACGATGGGTTTCTCGGGTGGAAGTTGCACCCATTATAGCTATGTGTACAAAGGAAAACATATTTATGTGGTGCGGTAAAAAGTTTTATGTTTAAAAACCCATTCAATCCTCCATCGTTATTGTTCCCTCTGGAACCACGATCGATCGAGCTCGACGAGGGATAATATTTTCAAGGAAACACATGGGCAAAAAATCTCCCCCAGACGTGGGCATGGCGCTTGTCAAAATCAGGGTTAATTCGACCGAAAAGGCTCCGAAAGACGTGATTCTGCCGAACTAAATCGTCCCAAACTCAATTTGACGATCTTACCCAGCCTCTCTCTGAATGTATGTCTGCGCCCAACGAGAGCCGTGAAGATCGTGAATAAATTATAACGTTGTATTTATGTAACAAAAACTGTTCGCACGTTCTGAACCCGTTACTAACTTGGTTTAGACACTATTTCAATCGCTCGGACGCGACAGCAAGTGGTAGCCTTACTCGTGCGAGGAAATATGTGGCATGTTGATTCCACAGCCATTGAAGCAAACGCAAGAAGAGGACAATCTGACATCCGATGATCGTAGGGAGAAAAAGAACTTACAGCCAGACTTGCGGCTGAACGGTTGTCGGTTCGGTTGAAACGGTCGTTATCGATTTATATCGACATTTTTGTCGCACTTTTTTTTTTATTTTTCTTAATATGACACAACGAAACCATCTCTATCATAGAAAAGAGTCTGAGACAGATTAGCAACTCTCTAGTCTCCCGTTGCCCCCTTCTCTCCCCTCCTGCGGCTACACGCGAAGCACATGCATCCACGATACACACGCTGGTGTTTGATGGACACCGCTGGGTCGCGCATACACCGTTGTTACCCGACGTCTTCTCGAACCCTTCCAGTAAGTAAGGTCTAGACGATACCACAATCAATCGGCGATGGGACGAGATCACGTCAAGGTTTGCGTGCGAACAAGGCCCACGTCTACCTTTGCACAAGATGCCATCGTCATCGACAAGGAAGCACAGGTTCTAAATAAGCATATCTCTAAGCACCAAAATCCTACCCGTTCGAGATACTGGAGTACAGCCTAAGGGGGGGTGTTGGAAGTCATAGCAGTAAACACAGGTAGTAGGTGAAGCGCAGCACCTCAGCACGAGCCTGTGCATATGTGAACCGCCCGAAGGAATCTCAACGTGTTTGGAACAAATCTCCTCAATGTTCGTTGCGTCCATGAATTTTTGTACCTGAAAAAGTCGTACAGCAGTATTTATTTGTATTGTGCGTGTTTCTGCGACATAAGGCACTGCTGCTGTGCGTGTCACGCTAACACGGTTATACCCTCGGTGGCACAACGTATATACACTACCGTAGTACAGCACCCCCCTGGACCAATTTTCAAATCTTGATTGCTCCACGACGAAGAGGATGCACAAACGTTGTGATGACACGTTTTCGGAAAGTTCTCGATGAGACGGTTCCAACACCGCCACTTCGGCACCGCCGCTGTCTCTATTTCTAGACTGAGGAATTCGGGCGACATACCAACAACACCCCGCCACCCCGATATTTATTACCAGTCTTGTTTTGGGAGAGTAATCAGGTGTAAACACCGTCACAGTCTTTACAACGCCAAACAAGAATGGTTGGTTGCAACTTGTGCACGCAGCGGTTGCACGGCGTAATCAGGCACTTTCATGATCGATGGTGTTGATGCGTATCCACGAAACTTCCCTAGAAGCTGGTGGGCTGACGTCTTTCAAGGATGCCGACGAGATAAAACGTTCGCAGGAGGAAGCGTGACTGCCCGGCGTGGCAACGATCTACAGCAGCAGTAAATCAATCAATATGACCGGGGGGGGTGATGAAGTCCTTTCATTTCGTGCTCGGTGGAAGACCAGCGAGAAAACTACATACTGTCTCTTCTTCCGACAATCAATCCATGTGCTTGTTTCGACAAAGGTGTTGGATTGGAGGCAAATAAATAAATCACGAACGAACGACGAGCCGTTCTCTGTTCCCTGTTTGATGTGCTTTGGAACACCCTGTGACGAGACTCTTTTTCCAGTGATCACCGAGATTATGGGTCCACACGAGTGGGTGGTCAGATCGCCGTCACTATGATTCCAATGCTGCCTGGTATGGAAAAATGTTCTTAACGAACAACAAAAAAATCGCAGACAATTACGGTCAACCATGGCACGCTGGAGCAAGAGGCAGAAATCGCCGCCACCGGGATGCACGACAATCGCCAAAACTCCTTCCGCTTCCAGTTCCATCACGTCTTGCACAACGCTGGCCAGGACACCATTTACGATGGGCTTGCCCGGGACGTCGTCCAGGGCGCAGTCGACGGCATAAGCGGTGAGCCGGGAAAAGACGGCAGGCATTGAGTTACCAAAGAATGTTGACGCAGAGTCTAGGTGTTTTGTTCCTACGTCCCGTGCGTATACAATGCACAATGATATGATTGCAAACGGCGGGGATTTATCCCGCTGTCGGTACTTGTAGGCTCACCAGCGGGTTTTTTCTTCTCTTCTCCTCGCTCACCTCCAAGCACAGGGGATGGATCTCCCAAAATACTTTCCAGCCGCCGTGCTCGGCGTTTTCGTGTTTTTGAGTAAAACACATGTTAAGGGCTTATCTGTCTGATGGTAGGAGGTTCAGTAGGCTTTCGGTCATCGTTTCCTTCGTAGTTGCAGTTGTCCTGGTTCGTTGATGATGTAAGACCCTGCCCACGACACAAACAAACACCTTCGGCCGCTCAGTGCACGTGGAATGAAGTACGGGAAACTATTACGCCTGGATGGCCGTCCTGTAGGCTTCGACTCCGATACATGCTGACTTTCGTCATATACATGGTACTGGTTGTTGGGGGCTGGAGAGTGAGTCTTTTTGCTTCTTTCGATCATACCAGGGTGCATCATGACCTACGGGCAGACCGGCTCGGGCAAGACTTTCACCATGTCTGGAGACTCCGGAAACTACCAGGTAAAGAGCTCGTGATACTTTGTTGTTGTAGTTCGGTCCCTGCTCCGATGGGATCATCGATGCTGGCGGAACGGGTTCCGTTGTACTGCTCTCGCAGAAATTCCGAGTCTTATTTAATCTGTGTTTCGACGACGAAATATTTTGACGAAGGCGTGGCGATTGTTCTGGGGACCGCGCGTCGTCTTATTTAGTGCAATTGTTTCGTTCAACACAGCCTTTCTGCAACAACAGTGACTTTCATCTCAGCACCGAATGGCATGCTGTGCAAGTATTCTCGCCCAACAAGTCAGGCGCGCATGAACACTACGGAAGTTGTCATCAAGGGGAGCTTGCGACCGCGTGCGATTTTACGCTAGTAGCAAGCTGTGAAACATTTAGACACGGGTCGATACTCAGATCTGTTTAGGTGCACGCCCATTTTCTGTTCTCGTAGCATGTGCTGATCGTTTGCAGGAGAGGCACCATATATTGATAGTTGCGACACCGATACGATTCAGAACGTCCTTCGTCACACCCTTATGTGTCCTACAGTCGAAGAGGGATGCTTCGTACGGCATCTACCTAATTCAACGTTAATATTTTCTTTGCTCGCTTTTTCGCATCTCCCAACCCTGCCGGTGCCTGGTCTCATCGCTTGGATGGATCCGAAGCACCGTGGCATATCCCCCAGAGCTCTGACGCACGTTTTCCAGGAAGTGAACGCTAGAATCGAAACCGCCTTTAGCGTCAACATAACCTACATGGAGATCTACAACGAGAAAATATTCGACCTCCTCGTGGACCCTGCTGTCAACGCCACGAAGGTGATGAAATGGGGGCGGGGGGCTTACTGTAGAGGCACTTGTTTCTCTTGCACATTTTTCTCGTCGGCAGTGATAGGACGGCTTAGGTTGGCATTAACTTCATCAAAGGTTGGGAGATCTAGGGCGGTCCATGCGGAAGCCTTGGTACTTCTCAAAGTAGCGCTGTTTCGCGATCAGCACGATGCACCTCTTCGCCATTCTGTCGCCTTGCCCAAAGCCATTGTCCTATCACACGCCGATGATCTCTTTGCATCAACGTACCTCACAGCTTCACCTAGGACGGCTCTCATATTTCATATTTCAATATTTCCTCGTGGCAAAACATTTCCTCTAGCTGATAGACAGACAGGTAGACAAAGTGAAACGAACGGTAAAATTGGCAGATCTTTGGTTATTGTTCGGCGGTGATCCCTCCAATCAAACCGCTCCCATGCAAGTCTTAGTCTTTCTCTGTGAGCCTTCACAGCTGCCGACGAGGATAGATAGCCCGAACAATCCTTCTCCTCGTGCGGCGCTGTCCATGAAAGGGAGACTACACCATTGCAGAAGATCGGGCTGGAAGGGGAGTGTTTGTCAGGGGCCTGACAGAGGTGGAGGTGCGTGCAGGAGAACAAACTTGGGCAACGCAAAACGAAAATATTTGGGCCGCTGTTGGAACGTACTTTCGGAAGAGGTGCAAACCCTGCATCAGGTCACACATTCCACACGGGGACAACAGCGATCCTCTCTTCTGTGGCGCTTTGAGGTCTTTGGATTTACAACTAAATAACTGCGGTTGGTTGCTCGATTAGAGCCAATCCTGTTGTTGTGCAATCTGATCCACGCTCAGGCCTGGCTCCATTATTTCTGCCAGCGAGGTTGGTTTACACAGTCTTAATGGTGAAGGACAGATTGCCACGTCCCCAAGTGGCTTCGCGTCAGGGGAATACTCGTGCGCAAGAAGCAGCAACACACGCATCTTGCACGTTTGCACGCAGAGTGACACTTGTTGAGAAGGTAAACGTTGACATGGGCCGCCTTACCCGATTTTGGCGTCGTCTTCAGAGCTGAATGACGCTGAAGGAATGTGGATAGGCCGGCTTCCTCTAGGATAATACTGGAAGGAACGATACTTGACGGGCGACGTAAGATCCTCGTAGTTACATTAAAGACAAGCGTTTATATGACTGTGTCGGTACTTCGCTGATCCATGCGTTTCTCAGTTTGATGCCCCCACCAATCCACCGGCTGTAACCAACTGCAACATCGAGGGCCTCATCGGCGGTCATGGCAACAGCCATATCGGTAGTTCTGACGGCCCAACCCACCGTCGAACCAACGGTCAAACCAACGGTCAAACCAGGTCAAGTCCGAGCAAGAGGCCTTGAACCTTCTGTACGGGGGAGAGCTGATGCGCACAACCGCTCAGCACAACCTCAACAAGAAGTCGAACAGGAGCCACTCCATCTTCACGGTGTACGTTACTCAGAGGGCTAAAAGCGGCGTCAGTGAAAAGGTGACAAGATCCTCGGAGCACAAGCAAATCGTGGTTTTCCCGTTCGCTATCTTCCTGTTTTCATCACCCTTGTGTTCGGGACAGTGCTTCTTGAGTTTGCTTGTGTCGTCCCGCTTCTTGCACAACGTAGTTAGTTTTTCCTGGTGTGCTAATTCTGCACCCCGGCCAGCAACACGCCTCCTCCTTTGGGTGCTCTTCCGAACGGGCAGAGGAATGGATACATGTCATACAACTGGACTTAGCGAGGTCGACGAAATTTTTCTCCGGCCAGGCCGCCCGTTCCCAACCGAGCTTTGCTTACGCCGACATGGTAGAACCCGCTTGTGTTACGTAAAACACTCATGGAAGGGATGTGGCCCTTGGTCGCGGCTTACAGTGTGAAGACATACGAGAACCACAACCACAACCATGTGCTTCACGGTGTTTGTTGCATTAATTACGGTCAACGTCATCGCAGCTCCTGTCGTCGGGTCATTGTAAAAACACGACGATACGACGCATACACTATGGTATGCATCTTTGGAGCACGGAAGCTTTGTGTGCCTGGTTCGCAGCCACTGACTGGGAATGTTTTAGGCATGATACTTCGTGAAATCCTTACTATAATCAACACCAAAGCAAACAGCAAAGTCGAAACACACACGTAACAACGTCATCGAATTGGTATCAGCAAGGCAAACCTCCGGCCAACGGCCATTTCAACCACGGCGCCGCGGGTATGATACTGCATGCTGTTAGGTTACCAGCTGGGAGTATGGTAGCGGCCTCGGACCTGCAACCAATATCATCTCTGCTCTCGGTTAACCTTGGCATCCTTCTCGTCGACGTTCCTTTAGGTGGTATCGTCGAAGCTCAATTTAGTAGACTTGGCTGGAAGCGAACGGCTCAAGAAAGCGCTCGATCAGGTAAACGAGGGAGAAAGGAAGACAAAAAGGGCAAGGGTTGAGGGTAATTCAGAGTGGGTTTGGCGAAAACGATTAAATGAAACAACTGTGGGGCTGGTATTGCCTCGAGGAATCCGTGCGCAATGCGCACACGTTTTCCTTGTAGAAAACGCCGAGTGATCACGCGGGTTGCTACGCACGGGTGTTAGCTAGATGATGCCGTTTCGTGTGTCAGGTCGTCTCATTGTTAACAACGGCCTCGACAGAGAGACGACCGTGAACACACTGCGCAGAACAGCTTCCCCACATTGTAACTCGCTGCTGCGGACTTCAGCCCGTTGAAGGCGGTGGTTAGATGAGTGCTTCGTGTTTAGTAAATGTGTCTGTGGGCGGTCGGGTGGGGGATGACGGGCCGAGGAGCCTCACCTGCCCAGATATAAGGTGCACTATATTTGATGAGTCGTACGGAGGTGGGTCGCACGAAGAAGACAGTAACGGCTTGATGCCGCTGTTGTACTATTGGTGACAAGGCTGTAAAATCACTTGTCATTACTGAGTGCGGTTGACAGCAAACACGGTTGATAGGATGATACAACTACGTACGGGTAATCCTATTAGCAAGAATATTTGGAAGACGTGGTTTTCAATGAACATTTATGGTTTTGTCGGGATGCAGGAGAGATTGGAAGGGCGAACCGTTTCCGATGAGACGATCAAGAAGGAGAGCATGTACATCAACCAATCGCTCAGCTACCTCGAGCAGTGTGTCGTGGCCCTCAGCAGGAGGAACGCTGGACACGTCCCGTACCGCCAGAGCAAGCTGACCAACGTCCTGAAGGTGTGACACTGGTGCTGTGCGGTATTCACCTTGTAAATCGTAGAAATTCGGTACCGGTAGAAATTCCGTACCGGATCTCTACCGGAATTTGATTCATTTTCCTCGTCCTTGGCTCGTCGCGTATTCTCGTTCGTGTTTAATCTACCGCGTGATGCGACAAACTTGTGACGTGATAGGAGACGAGGTTCACAAACATCTAGTTTCTCTCTTGCCCTCCTTCGCAAGCAGTCAATCGGCTGCTACCCCAGTCGTGAGTCGTAGCAGTAGGTCGTCAGGAAGGATAGGTCACCTTGATGAGGTCAAAGACGAAACCGTAAACAAGCTTGGCGCCTGTTCGATCTCCAAGAACCATCGTTGAGGTCTCTGGCTCAAGCGATCGAACTATCGCACTGCCTAGCAGTAGGATGCAGGTAGGGTGGTTCTGGTGGACGTAAACCTCGTGAACAGCATTGATTCTTCTTTGTGAAACAGATTATCGAATACCGATATGGATGGCCACATAGCATGCTCGTCTGTCAAGGAATAGCTTGGGTCACCGCAGAATATGGGAGTACCAGGTAGAGACAAGAGCGGCTTCAAAGGCGGAGATATTGTAAGCAAAGCTTGCTTCATAGAACAAGTCCTTGAAAGACGAAGTGGGTGTCGTAAAAACCTTTCCTGAAACCCCTACGTGCGTCGACCATCGGGACAAAATGTTCTTCGCCGTGCCGAATGTGTTTTGCTATTTACGTTTTCCCTGCTTCGAGCTGATCCCTTCAAGAGCGAACCCTTATTTCTTCGTCGAGAACGCCCTTTCGTCGATGCTGACTCGTTTCGTTTCGTTGTTGCTCGTCGGGTGGGCCTGCTCTCTTTGAAAGGATTCACTAGGGGGGAATTGTAACACTCTTTTGCTCGCGTGCATCTGGGGCGAGGCCCAGCACTTGGAAGAGACCATGTCTACCCTCCGACTCGCCAGCCGCATGATGCGAGTGCAGAACGAGACGCACGCGGTGGGTAGACCTTATTGTACAATTCAGTTGACATCATGCCGACCAGTACCAATAATGCTGTCCCGGCGCCTTTGGCAAACCTCAGAGCGCAGCAGAACCTCTGGTGTCGTGAAATAGTGTGTTTAGCGGTCTTTCTCTCGCGCGTTGCAGCGCCCTTGCCGTCGAAGGGGGTGCACATCCCTTTGCGTTGCACCTTCTCCACAAAACTATCGTGGAATCGAAACGTGTGTTTTGCGGTATATATCCGTCTGCCGCACATAGCGACAACGGTCTCGGTTTGAGAGTTCAAGAGCAGGATCAGTCGCCTTCGGCCAGGATGCGCCACAAGAGAGACTTAATCCGCAAATGGAAGTGTATCGTTGTTTCTATTTGTGTTCTTGAACGATTGAAGGCCTCTTGTAATGATGAACACGTCTTGTTTTCCAGGGTAATTGTAGCTGTGTGTCAACCGTAACTGGTGCCAACTTTTTCTAAGTGCTGCGTTACTTGTTTCGGTCGTAGATATACTACGAACATGGGTATTGATCATGTACAGGCAAAGCATACCCTTGTCCGTGGTCATTTTCATGCAATTTTAACGGCTCTGCCACCGGTGTGCGCAAGGCGAAAAGGTATCAAAGTGCAACCTCCGCAAACGTATGGACGTAGTACATCACGCGACGAATGCACCGCAATTTTCTGGTACGTTGACTTTGCCATCGCCGTTCCCTCGTCACCGCCACCGCAGCTCGAGGTGCTGGACCCAATGCAAACCCTCAAGAAACAGGAGAGAACAATCCGAGATCTCAAGCAGGTATACTAGGATGTGACGAGTCATTCTACGACATGTAAGCTTACAAAGGTCAAATTTTCTTGTCATCTTCGGGGTTCCTCAGCTGAGGAACCTGCCCATATTTTGCGTCGTCTGTTGGCATTTTGAACTTCATCGTTGATCTGCCTAGATATTATTTGTGGTGTTGTTGCGCCTTCAGTAGTCGCCAACCTCAAAGTTTGGCCGGGGTATCTACGTCCTCGCTCTTGGGATGTCAGGCGGAGTATGCATGGTTGCACGAGTCTGACGCCAACAGGCAGTAGTACCCTCAACGGGTGCCAAAAGCGTGAAGTGCTCTTGTTCTTGGCGTTACCGGGCGCAATAAAAAACACGAACATCGCAAAAGACAGCTGAATAGACTGGCTTTGAGGGCGCACTATCTCATTATCGCGAGCAGAACGTGTGCAGTGTGGCTGTGTAGGTACACCATCGGGTTCGATTCAGTGAGAGCCTTTCGGAGATTCTGTCGATGATATTGTTTCCCGTTGAAGCCGTCATCGCACAATTTCCATCGCTCGCCCTGGTTTCGCCTTTGGCCTGTCTCTTTTTGATGTACAAAATCATGTGGTTTTCGCTTGCGAAGGAGTTGTTGATGCACGATGCCTTGGCGGACAGATCGAGAGTGGTCTACGACCCGTACACGCCCGAGCAGCAGCAAGGTATCCGTCGCCAACTGGAAAAATTTGTTGCGGCCCAGGTGAACAAACAAATTTATATGCGTTCAACACTGCTTGACGAAAAACAGTACAAGACAAGAAAAAGGTCTCTCCCACGGTTTAGTGTTCCTATCTACCGTACAGTGTAGCACTCATATCTTGACACAAAACGACTCTACACCGTCATTGCATGCAGCACAAAGTTATGCGTGCGTGCTTACTTTTGCACCTCGATAAAACACATGGAAACAATATTATAGTTCCATGTTTTCCAAAAATCGAATAAACAACACTGGATGGACCGCAAACGGGTGTCCTTATAATACAATACTGCCGAATTCCAATACCTCAAGCTACGATGTATACGTAATGGAACGAGTCACTTCTTAACTATGTTCGTTGAAGACCGCGCTGTCACCACATTTTATTCTCCGTTAGTCCAGTATTATTGTCAAGTACTGCTGTGCCTCTACCATTACTTTTCTTCTACAACCTTCGGCACCCAACAAGTATCACCATACATTGGTGTTCTAGAAAGGCTCCTGCCTTCCTTGTATCGTGACCATCAATACCTCTGTTGGTACGGTATTCGAACCAACTTGTCATTTGCCGTACGTTTAGTGCCCCTATGTCACCACGTACGTATTTGTTTCTGAGGGTCCCGAGGAAGAGGAAGCGTCGTTCCCGCCGCTGGAGAGCGTACGCCAAATGAGGGAGATATGCCGCGTATTCAAGACCCTAATCCTCGAAGTGCAGGGGGATGCCAGAAGGTGTTGCTTCGTTTTCTAAGCTGCTGATAGGTCGGGGGTTGGGGCACTGCGTAGCCATGGCCGTTGATTTCGTTGTCTTAGCACTTGGAGGTAGGTATCTACTGTCCGACGCGCAACGAACAATCGTTGTACTGTTTAGTACAAACATGGACGGTATGTGTGCGTGTTCTTGCTTTTCATCATGCCGTTGATGAACCGCTCGCTTACACAACAAAGTCTACGAACTAGGACCCTGCCTGTCCAGCTGAAGAGTCTCGATCCGGGGTCCACATAGAGTTACTTAGCCGTTAGAACCTCAAGCACCGTTTCGCTTGTCCTTTTCCGTTTCTTACGCACACATACATACATGTACGCATCATGCATGGGCGAGCAGCGCTCTTCTCAATTCGGCGGGTGGGATGGGCGAAGGAGGCCTAGCCACTCCAGAGGACGGCGACACGAGGGAAGGGGTGGAAGGCGGCAACCCGAATAAGATGCAGGTGATTTGACGAGACCAACACCACGCATAGCTCGCCACCACCAACGACGACGATGGCAACGTGTTGCTATTTCCGACGACAAGTTCACGAACATGTTGACAGGTGGCGTAAGAGAATTCAACCACCCATGAGACACCTTGTACCACTTCATGTAGCCAGTTTGAAACTGGGCTATAATGGCTCGGGGACATGAAGCGTGTGCCCCAAAAGGGCGGAGTTGCTGAGTTTTCGTGCGAAATTATGCAGCTGGTTCCCTCCCGGCTACTCCACTCGGCCCATGGAAAGTCCTCGGGCAATTTCGGGAGGAGTGTAGACGTACAACACAGAACACCTGCTCACGGCCGCAGTCGTTTCTTCTTTTCCAAGGACCTCATCACCACATGCTCGACGGTACCCCCCCTATGCCCGAACAACACAACAAACAACGACGATGACGACGACGTTGACGGCGACAATAACGGCAACCAACCCTAAGGGCACCGCGGACACGTTGGTCGGATCCATGGAGCCTGACAACGGCTTCGGGTTGGGGCGGGCACCGGATCACGCACGACCGGTGACGGTAGACTCAACGAGGGACAGGCCGCTCTCGAGACAGCAGCAAGGTGGTCGAGGGGGGGCGAGCTCCGCGTTTATGGCGGGGGCACCGCCAGCGGGACAGGTAACTCTTACGTAGTGAACACAAGGAACCGCATAGAAAGTATGGGTTTTGTGTCTGTATGGGGCATGCAGTCTAACCGAATAGTCGGGGCTTTGGTCCTCATTTCGTCAATACGTATACCTACGTGTGACCGTCGAGTGTAACCATCGCAAGGCGGACCCGAGTGTTTACGCTGGGCTTTAGTGAACAAAATTTTCTACCGCCGTCCTATCGAAGAACGCTTATCTACACCCAACGCGGCGGCTCTTCTCTATTCATTGGGATTGATACCGTTCAGTTGCGGCTCTTTCTTCTTTCTTTGCGCTTCTACGTCGCGTTCTCCGGGTCACCATATTTATAGGAGTTCTATGCTTGGATACAATTTGGCTCGTCTCAGGGGGTGACCCAGAACAGAATGGCTTGGTACTCCGATATCTGCACGAGGGAGATGAAACAGAAAATGTCTCAGCAGAGACCCTGAAGCGTTCTGAGAGGTTGCCAACATCGTAGAGATGACACACGCCAGCTTTCCCAGGGGCCTCCTACTGTTGGTGTTTCTGGAGAGCGGTAGACGAGGCTACATATTTTACCCCTGTTTTCAGGGCGTGTTGCCATCAATCACCTTCTCGGGACGCATACCCCCTGTTATTGATGCAGATATGACACCCATCGACGAACCCTGTCTCAGTGTTTTACCGCTCGATCCCTGCCCTTAGTTCCTTGTTGTTTCTTCCTTAACCGGGCGTACCGTACCGTTCCCGTACCGTTCCGTCAGAGCGAGCCCAAGGATGGTTTACTGTCGCCCGTGCTGTCGGCCTCCGAGGTTGGAGACGATGGCCCTTCTGCGACAAAGCGCCACTTTGGCCGGAGCCGGGTCGGAGGTGGAGCTGGGGGCGGGGTACAAGCGCCGGCCTCGGGCACCACGTTCAATGACCGTTCATTGTTGGCGGGCGGGGCAGGTGGAGGGCCGTCGGGGGGCAGATGGGGTGGGGGCGGTGGGGTGGTGGGAGAGGCGAAGAGCGCCATGTACGAGGCGTTCAAGCAGGTGAGGCGTGAATCGCAATGTGGGGGTGGCTATTTGTCGGGAGAAAACAGCTAACAGTTGTGGCAAGTGACAGCGCCGCCGTGCCAGAAGAATTTTCCCGCGTACAGGTTGATCGTGTCATTGTTCGTTCGACACAAACAAGTGTATGTAGTGCAAGCGCCCACTTGCCGATAATCTGTTGAACAACTGCGGAGTATCGTGGTTTAGGGCTCACTGTAAACCGCAGCGACTGTGTGGTCTCCTCTGAAGTAGCAGAAACTTCCAAGGATTCACGGTATCCTTCCACCCGGATGCTGGCCTCCGGGCGCGTTGTTGACCTTTTCGAGAAGGGGGTGGGACGCCAGCTGAACGGCGAGCTCTTGGCCACGAAGGCTTTGGCGAAGGCGCAAAAGGAAGGTGTCCGCGAACAAGCGGCGAGGGTAAACGCTCTCAAGAAGCAAATCGATCAACTCCAGGTCAGTACATGCAACATACATCGAAATATCGCACACCGTTTTGATCGCTTTGGGCTCGCAGTAGAGGCGAAATATCCCGGAGAAGTGATGGCCCTCCTCGTGTCAGCGGCAGCAGTGATACCGCCTCTTTTTTTGAAAACCGTGAACGAACGTCTCGCCAATGTCACCGGCACCGCGCTAGCGTTTGGTCATTTCAAATTCTCCCGGGACACACGCCTGCCTGTGGGGTGCCAAACCCGTTCGTCATTCGTGCAGGCGACCGTGCGCGATAAAAGGCTGAAGCGGCCCTCCCTGCCTGACGTAAAGGGCACCGCCGATGACGTCATGGACGAAGACGAGTTCAAGTGAGAAAGTCCAGGAAGGAGAAAAGCAAAATCTTTCATGCCTACCTACAAACAGAGACAACTACAGCCCATCTGATAGTCCAAGAAAGCCTCACTAGAAGGCAGAGTGAGCCAATGTGCCTACGACGTGTGCCTGTTCCTCGTGGGCATCGTCATCCTCCTGTCCATGTTCCATCACCGTCCACCCTCTACCGTACGATATGTATTCCTACAACTGCTGGTGACTGTGTTGCTGTAGACTTGTGACCCAGGAACGGGAGACAAAGCGGAACTATAAGGAGGCGTTTGAGGTACTGGCCAAGGCCAAGGCGAAGATGGAAGCGTCCGCTCAGCAGGAGGAGGAGCTCAGGAAGGACCTGATCCAGTCGTTCGACGGCTACTTGGAAGAAAAGGTGGGTGGTGGGATGTTGATGCTGTGGATGATCCTTCACGCACGTTGCTCCGAAGTCCAAAAGAAAAATCACGGATATAAACGAGTGCAAGGAGCTCGCTGCAGTTGTTGTTGGCGACGGAGAACGATGAGTTATAAATCTTCTTTATCTGCGTAGAGATATCGTAGAAGACATGCTCCGCAGGAGAAAGCCGGGGGGCCTTAGGGAGAGGTCCCGTCTTTACCCGAGTAGCTGAAGGAGAGATCCAGGAGCAAAATAAAGAAAAACAAACGGTATTAATTATAGGGTGCACACTTCCGAGGTCTCGCGACTAGGCGAAACATCGACCGGCATCGATGCCGCGGTACATGCAGATTCTAGTGAAGGGAGGTTTCGAATACGACGATTCCCTGGGTGCTTAGATAAACACTTTATTGAAAGCTTGATGCACCATACCTGTGCTATCGACATTTCACCTTGGGACGCCCCAGCCTTTCCGTCTTGCATGGGTTCCTGCGGGCATTTTCTGGCCCGCTATTGCAAAGCCCCAGGGAGGACAAGCCCCTGGTGACTAGAACTTATCATCAGGTGCACCCCCACTTCCGCGATCGGAAATCGAACGCCACTTTTGTGGACAGGCGGAGGGCGGCTTTGAGGAGGATGGGCTAGATATCGACAGCAGGGCGCCTCTGTCACCGGGTGGGGGCATTCGGTGGGATGAAGGAGGCTTCGAGGACACGGGATCGTTGGAACAAGCCGCGTTGACGCGGGTGGCGGACAAAGACCAGAATTCCCTCGCCTTTTTCCAGGTAGTGCCAACCCAAACAACAACCGACCCCCTTTAGCTGATTCGCAGAACGTGTGTGTCCCACGAGAAGCACAGCCTCGAACAACGTGACAATACTGCTGTATTCAGCGCTCTTCGCTCTTTCGTGCCGGGTTTGTCGGAAGTGGGAGGTGGCCCACCGGAGGTAGGGGATCAGTTACAATAAATGCTGCAAATATGGAGCCGATGAAGATAAGATTTTATCCGTTCCAGTTTGTATCCGTACAAACCCTTCCGGGTAGATGTGATGTGACCGTTTCTATTGTGCCAGTTTACGACAAACGGTTGATGAACGTCGCTACATGTGATGCTTTTCAGCAGAAGACCAACTAAGTTCCAAGCCAAGGGAAACCCAGCAACTCGTCAATGACGGCGCGATCCCTTCCTGTCTCTTGGTTCTGGTGCCTTTTCGTCGTTGTCAACTCTTGCTTGCAGGCCCAAAAAACGAGGATCGCCACTCGAAACCAGAACACTCTCGCCCTGAAGCAGGCGCACAGGTCGAAGCGGAACCGATGATGATACTAACTTGCGGTTCGTTTTTTGGCAGTCGATCAAGCGGGACTTGGTTTGAGCTGAAGCGCGTGTAAAATATATACTGCCTTTCTAAACCCAAGAACTTCCGTGTAGTGGTCAAGTACTGACAAAGAGGGTATTGTTTCACGCTTTCCGTGCATTGAAATAAACTGCTGAAGGACGAAGTGTTGCAATCCGGCGCGTAAAATCTGACGTGTGATACATTCTTCTTGTTCTTTCGAACACAATAACCACCTCTCTCTCTCTTCTCTTAGTCTTGCTTTCGTTTTGAAAAAGCGAGCGGAGGGCGTGGCGAACAACTACGAGTAGAGTTGGGGCCTGCTCGGAAGATTGACTTCGTAGACAGATTGGGCGAGGTCTTGGTTATGTAGTGTGCTGCAGAAGTTTTTGCCCAACCGATCTGTTTTTTATCTTCAATAATAGCAGGAGTGAGGTTTACACAGAGTGTGCTCGCTGCCGACCGCATGTATATATCCTACATAATAACACGGCTGGCTGCATCCGATGTGTGTGTTTGTATTAGCATCGACCGCCCTAGCCGATCGATCAATGGAAATGCGTGTAGTGTCAGCGTGGCATTAAACAGAAAACGCATGCAAAAGCCCCCATCATCTGGGATCGGTCCCGTGAAAGGGGGTCACGGGGAGGCCAGTCAACTACACACGTAGTCTAGGCTGGTGATTGACACATTTATTTCTGAGACGGCGCAAGGAATATATAATGTAGCCCGGATTGAGAAGACGGGAACGGAGAAGGCTGAAGGCAAAACGTAAACGTGTCTACCGCAGTCCCCAATTCCTTCTCGTATTCTGTTGGATCCCTCCTTGCGTTATATATTGCTCCTGTAGTTACTCGTCCTCCTCTACAGTAGTTTGATGTACCTACATATCTCGTATTGCTGCTGTGCGTGTCATGCCGTACTTGATACATTCATTGCCTGGACCAGCTTCCGTATTCCGAGAACGCGGCTGCCTCGCGTTCTCGCCCAGTTCGCGGCCGCTAGGCCGTGCGTTAGCCGTGGGTGAGGGTTAGGCTTGGGTTGGGTTAGGTCGGCCATGGTTTTTCCTAGCCTTGCGTGGTGTGTCCTAGCCTTCAACACCGGTTAGACCTACAGAGTCACTGACAGAGGGTAAATAGACCTCCGGGCGCATCATCATCAACCGGGGTCACATGGATGGGGGATTGGTTCGGGAGAAAATGACACAAAACACAACAGCGGTGAGCCGGGGGTTTTCGGTGACGGCACAGAACCGTACACCCGTACACAAGGACCCCAGAATTGATTTCGAATTCTCACAGTGATCTGGACCCAAACTCACGGCGGCTAGCTGTGCATGTGCCTTTCTTGGGCGAATAACGCGGCGTTATCTATCTACACGTCCGAGTCACACACCACTCGGGTTTTCTGTCGTTCCCTTCGCTGCTTTTTGGTATCAAGAACAAACGTCCGCTCAGGCATTCACTAGAGGCCTTGCGTGTGTGATGCAAACACGTGGAGCTCGGTGAAAGGACATGTGATCTGCAGAAAGGTACCCATGCGCCCATTCCAGAGCTGTTCTCTTTATTCGAAAGAAGAACCTTTATAGCATCAAAGCGACATACAGCAGTAGTAGGGTATCCAGGGCGAGTTTCCTCGCAAGGAAGTGGTCGGGACCTTATTTGCCAAAAGTCCCTGTCAAAGACTGCCGTGGGTCAATGATGTTTTCGGATGTTTTCCCACATGGGCAGTCTTTCTGTGTGCGCATTTATTATTCCTGAATCCGACATCCGTTGCATCGATCCGACATCAACCCGAAAAAAAGCGTTTCGTTGCGAACTCAGACAAACGCAAGCCTCCGCGTGTGCCTGTAAAGCCGCCAAAGGTACCATTTGCGGAACCCCTCCTTCTTGCTCTCTTGTCTCCAGTCTCAGACGTTGTGGTGGCAGGCCTTGCTTATTGGTCTCTACGGCGACAGCCCTTGTTGTTACAAACGTATTCTGTGGAGCGCGCTCTCCAGCTTGAACCATGGGGCGCTACACGACTGTCCAAGCATGTGAGTGCACGGAACGACGGCGATGATTGCTCAAGTACCTCGTCGTGTTTCTTTCCATTTCCCTTTTAGAGCGGCTCAGTTGCAATCACACAATCACACGCTGCACTGTCGGTAGGACAGGCGCCCCGCTCGTCAGCTCGGGTTTCAATTGCCATAGGTATACGGTTCCAGATTGGAGGTCTGGACTGATTTGTCCGCTTTGTTTTCGCTGAGAGCCTTTGTGAAAAACCACACCGAGTAGTGCATACCTCTCAGCAGACGAACACATCGAAGACACACGTGTACACGTGTACCTAGACTACATACCAGGCACATACGTTTGAGCTGCGAGAAGCAACCGCCTGCCCCCGGCTGCCTGTCTGGTTCGCCGAGCTGGGCCAGGATAAGTAGTAGTGCTCCCCAGGTACGAACACCCATCCGCAGATCGTCACAGCTGTAACAGGTGACGCGATGTGTTCCCAATATCGGATGCCACGATGACGACTCGCGGACCCCCCTGGGGTTATGGTTAGGGTTGTGTAGTACCCAGACACAGGGTATCTTGCCAGTGGCAAGAGTAGACTCTGTTTCCAACTGCTGCCCCCCTGAAGGCCAAGCCCATAGGCATTAACAGCAGCGGCGGAATTTAGAATGTACTGCGTACGATTATTTATATCTAAACCCCGCCGCCCTCGAGATTGCTGTTTTTGACGTCCACGTTCTGTCCGCAGTCGGACATCCAAGTCCCACCGACCATGACTTATCCACAGTGGTAAATCCTTGCTCCGTGTGTCATGAATCCAGAAAGTGTACGTAGTCGTGGAATCTCAACGAGAAGACTTGGTGCAACTTGACTATTAAATGGACTACAGCAGTACTTGCCTCGCCCTTGGTCTTGAAAATGTTGACACGGCCGCTTGCCGTCACTTGATCATTCCGGCCTCCATGCGTCTGTCGCTTGTCGCCCTTGTTACAATCCGTTCGAACGCGGATAACAGACAGCGACAACAACCCGAAGCTCGTGCACGTGAGCTATGACCAAGCCAAGGGCAAGGACAATGACGAGGGAAAGGCGGGCGGCAAGCTTGTCGTCGAGAAGACGGACCAGGTCATGGGCAGCTGCGCCGGCGCAGGGTGAGTACAAGGTCTGTTGGCAGACGACAGAGCAGTAGGTGTAGATCGCTGTGCCGTCGTGGGTGACCCTTACAAAAGAGGAGCAAATGACTGATAGCTGTTGCGGACTACCGATCGATCGATGTCGTCGTGACCCTTACGACAGAGGACCAGATGACTGCTGTTGTAGCTGTTGGCGACTATGTACGACTCTTTGTCGACCAAGTTCAGGATGCACTCAGAGTTCCCAAGTATGGATGCATACGGCAGGTGCACGACGAGCTTCCCGTTGTAGACACTGAGATTCGCTCCACTTTCACTTTCGTGCTGAAAATCCTCCTGGCTTGAAACGGTGGGAAATTACAAGTATTCCATGGTTGTGCAAGAAGCGACACCCCTTAAAAGCGCAGCAGAACCAGTTCAGGTACCAGCAGCAGCATTGCTTGGTTTGCCCTGGTCCGGCTCTGGTGCCTGCAGTTTCCTTCCCATCGCGGAGAGCTTCGTGGCCAATGCAAGAAAGCCCGTGCGTTCGTGTGTTGTTGATATCCAGGTGCTTTTGCTCCTGCGTTGTATAGTTTTCACCTCACCTTGTAGAGAGGCTAAATTCGCCCGATGACTGTATTTATGAGCAGGTCCGGCGAATTTCACACGTACCGCGCCCACCGGCGGAGGGAGATGCACCGAGTGGCAGCGATGGACGAAGAGGCCCAAGTCGCTGAAGCAACCGCAAAGCTGCACGAAGCTATAGAAAAGGTGTGTTGGTATCTATTATATAGCGTTTTCCATGCTTTGTGGGGGAGACGCTTTCGAGGGCGAGCCGTTTAAGGCTATCTATTTGTAAATCCTTCCCCAGGATCTCAAGAAATAGCTTTGGGCGGGAAGACTGTGTACGTACGTCAGTGTCAAACACCATGGCAAGAAGCAAGTACATCAGCATCATGTGTGAACAGTTGCAGCAACTGCAACCAGTAAGCGGAAACATGTAGTTTCCAACAGTCGAGCCATGTCGTGGCGGTGTCAGCGGAGGTAAAGAGCAATGCAGACCGTGCAGACCGCCGAGCCTCAGGTTGGGACCGACGTTGGTATTTCGGCATACGGGGTTTCAACAAAAAAAAATGTAGAAAAATATATAGAAACCGCTTTTTTTCATCAACCCAGGCATGACGCATCAGCGATATGACACCACGGCTGGCCGGTTTCACGTAAAGATCATCTGGACAGTGGTGTGGTAGTTAGCTCTCTGGGTGAGCGAGTTCGGTGTAGAGGCGCCGAGATGGGTGAGCTCCAGGTGCGAGGGTCGGATGCCCTCAAGAGATGTACGCAACACACAAATTGTTCGCGGGTTGTTCTTGTAGCCAAAATCCTAGAGGATCTTTGTCGAAGAAAAAGCTCGCGCCGAGCTCCCAAAAATGGCACAAACCCTATTGGAAGTAGTCTTATCAATATGCATTACAACATCTGTTTTTCCTCTGTTTGCTTCTTGCATGTCCTTGCATCACCTCTTGCCGCGGTGTTAGCTTTACCCCACTCCGGAGGGAGGCCTTGTAGCCCATTGTAAAACCTCCCGTTGTAGGACGCTAACCTCATGTTGCGAAGAGGTCCATGCTTTTGTGCCTTTGAGAAGTCAGAGAACATGTCCAGCGGGGTCGGGGGTACTTTCTCGCGTATCAATCCTAACCTTAACCCTAACCCTAAGACGACAAGCCTACGAGAGTCTGACCAGGTACTGTAACGACTTTCAATGACGAGAGATGCACGAAGAGGGCCATCTGCCCCCAGCATATCCCCCTCATGGTTACCCTCTCGGCGTGTCCATGTTGCCCTCAGCAAGGAAAGTAGAACGGAAGACGGAACGTGCGTGATTATTTTCTGAAGACATTCACCGCGTCTTTGAGGGTGGGGAATGAAGCTCATTTTCTCCTTTGTTCCGGCCCGGTCGGAATTGCATTAGAGACACACAACGTTGGCTTTGCCGCTACCCTCTTTCACTGCAGTGAACACATGTATCAATACCATTTCGAGCTCTTGGTAGGCTCTGTCGCCCTTGTGCACCGTAATTTTTTCGACTTTTGTCGCCGCCGGACGATAATGTGACTGTCAAGGCTGGCCCCAGCCGTTGACTTGGAATTTGTGACTGCTGTTTGGCGTCCGCGGCATTAAATGCAGGGCAAGAACGAGTGCGAGGAGCGGACACGCAAGAAAGCGGAGAAACGGAAGCGGAAGAAGCAGGCGGCCAAAGCTGGCAACAGCAACGGCGCCAAGCAAGCGAAAACCGGTGCCGGCAAGGGTAAGGGCCCTTCGGCCTCTTCCACCAGCAGCAGCGGTGGCGGCAGCAGCAGTGACGGTGCCGCCGCGGAAGAAGACGAGTTTGTGTACATTCCGGAGGCCGATCTCGCAACGGCGGGAGGGGACGGCGGGAGCGGGTTCAAGAACGATGGCAGCTTCTTGGAGATGATGAAGAAGGAGCTCGAGAAAAGCGAATCCAGTGACAAGCCATCCGCTTCTGCTGCTGGTACTGGCAAGGCAGTCGTTGCCAAGTGAAAGAGCCTCTAGAGGGGGCGCGTTGTGGCAAGCGTTTAATACCGATAGGTGTTCCGCTTGTTTGGGTCCTTGCTGTAGTCATAGTAGATCTGCTCTTGCGGCGATAGCCTGTTGCCTGTAGCGGGCACATGTTAGTGACATATTTTGGTGTCGTGTGGCCGCACGAACTGGACGTGCTCCTGAAACCGCGCCGCGTGGTGCCACCGCCGATAGCTTTGGAGAGTTTTGGGAAGGTTAGCGATGCCGCCGGCATAGCTTGTGCCGTTGGAACTGGTGGTGGGGTCCATCGCATTGGTGCATTGTACATACCTTGGTCTACTTGGCTCTCTACACGTTGTAAGTAGTAACTTCATAATATTAATTGAGGAATAATAAAAACACACACAGAAAGACTTGTACCCATTCGAGATATACCCACAGTCGAACGGGATGTGGTACGTTCTCGTAGATATCCAACAAGGAGGCTAGACCACTTCATCGTACGCGGTAGTGCCTTCTCTTCACAACTTCCGCGTCACAGCTTGGCGTTGATAGGCACGACTCTTGTCTGTGTCGTCTATTCACGGCAGATGAGGCCTGCGCGCCTTGATGAGTAGTGAAGAAGAACGGCAATATCACTGCTTGCTGTGGTCGGTCGCTTGCCGTGCGCGTTCGGGGTAAACGCCTCCCTTCGCCACCTCGAACGTGTTCTTCGGCGGTACATATGTAAGAGGTTTTGGTGTCAACTCATGAAATCGGACCGCATGCGACAGCTGCTGGTTAGCGTTTTTGTGGAAACCTAAGCTCTCTACGATCAGCGTTCATCGCAGAGTGTGCACCACTCAAGCCGCAGAGGATCGCCGTGGTCTACCACGCCCGTGCACTCCACGTTAGGCACACCTCGACAAGTTGTCTTTCTTTCTTCGCGCAAGACCCGATTCTATCTTACAGGGACAACCCCACCCGAAAAGCCCATCTAACCAAGACACACAAAGATAGTAGCACACAAGGAGCACGTTCAAAACCACCCCATGACAAACATACACGAGGAGGACTACACAAGAGCCCAATCGTTAACGACCGACCTAGCGTCGACATGAAGCACACACAACCTTAAAACTTCGATCGAACCCACGAGATCTACCTTCCCGTCACTCTACCGGAACCACCGAAGCTACCCGCCTGCCACCTCTCCACCCAGGCGTTCGCTGGTCGTCCTCTATTGCGCCGGCGCCATCGCTACTGCCGCTTGGGGTGTGCGGCAGCCCAAGTGATGAGGATGATGGCTGAACGTGAATAGTACGCATGGTCGGCTTATTCGACCTAGACCTCGAAGACGTCCATCGTGATCCCAAGAGTGCAAGACGCCGGGCCAGCACTCGGGGCCGCAGCAGCAGCGTGCGCTCTCGGCCCACCGGTATCGTCACCTCCAACACAACAATCACCCACGTGAAGACGAACAACACCGAGATCCAGTACAGCAACAATTGGTGGAGCTCGTCCGGGTATCCGCGGGGCGCGTTGCTACCGACGGTTTGGAAGACGATGGTCTCTAAGGTGGAGCTGATTGCCGCGGCGACATGCACCGGAGTCCCGGCGCCGAATGCGCTGTCCAAGGCCTGCCCGGGGCGGGGTTGGGTGGGGGTGGGGGTGCCAGCGAGGTTCGTGAATGAGGCAAAGTTGGTGGACGTGGTGGATGCACTGAGTGACCGCCTTGCTTGCTGGGTAGTGCTTTCGCAGCTGGAGCCGCTGGGGACCCTCTCGAGCCGTTGGTTTGGTTTTCGGGGGTTGCGGGGGGGGGGGGGGGGGGGCGCATGCGCATTCATTTGCAGTGTTACAACATCTATCTGACTGTCACATCGTGTTTGACACCGTAGAACACCGCCTTCCCTGAAGATACAGCTCTCCCACATGGTTGCTCATTGGTGATGCTCGTTTAAAGATCAAATAGCACGCGACGCTGTGTTGCAAGGAATTGTTGGCACGCTACGCTCAAAGAAGCTTGAAAAAAAAACAAAATGAACCACGGGAAGTTGTGCTTTTTCTCAAGTGATCTCTTTGCTTTTGCTTTTGATTTCAGTCTGGGTTGAGATCATTATCGCAGAAACATGGTTCTTTGCCCTGGGGGGCACGGAAGACACGGTGCTCGACACAGAATCAGAACGTTTTCTGACGCGCGAAGAACTCAACATCAACAGAATCAACAATGTTAACAATGCTAGTCCCTCAAATAGAGCGACTGGTTGTGGGTCGTTCTTCCTACCCTCACCAGCGATGTTTTCAAGGCCGACTTCACGGCAGACACCACCCCGTCACCCTTCGCCCTCGACACCAGCGCCCGCCGCGCGACGTAGCGCGCGCACATTCCAGGCGCCATCGCCAAGGGTGCGAGAAACATCCAACCACCGAGGGCGGCGACCAGGGACGCCAGTGGAATGGTGCGCTCACAAACTTCCGCGACGTGGAACCCGACCAGGATTAGTCTAGGCCACGCGGAGTCGCGCAGCCACGGCAAGAAGCGGGTTCTGAAGACAGAAGGCACTAAACCCGCTGCTGGTGTTTCTGATCGCCTCTCTTTGTCTTGTGTCTGCGTGCGTACCGGGGAGGCGCCCGCCATGGGGGGGGGGGAGAGGGGAGGTTTCACGTTAGTCTCATATATCACCGATAGCAACAGCGATAACAGTAAGCAACAGCCACAACAGTCACGGCAACTAACGACGACAACAACGGGAGCAACAACAACAACGACAGGGAGGTGCACTATTTCGGTCAGTCTTCGCTTCCCAAGCGGTACGTGGGCAAGCCGAGCTAACGAACGCGTCGCTCGCTCACCAGACGCCTGTCGTCCAGTCGCTGCATGCTCACGACGCCCACTACCAGCGCCTTCATCCCCACGGAGGCCAACAAATACCAATACCCCACTTGCCCCCGGTCCCACCACGACAGGGCCGCCGCAAGCTGCGTGGACAGCTGTATCATGGCGTGCCAGCGCCACTCCACTTGTTGCAACACCTGGATTGTAGAAGCAGCGTCCATCGTAAGAGGAGGGGCTCAAACCGATAAAAATCAATCCCGCATAGCTGATAGAGAAAGGGGCAGTGTTCATGGACAACGGTGCCACCGTCAACCGGTACACGCGTGGAAAACCCTGTGGCTTCCAAGTAGATGGAATCTAGCCGAGGGCGCAGGCAGCACAGGTTAGCCTCTCAAGCCCTCGTCGTCACGATTGTACGACAATCTTGACAAAGGTGGCCTGTCAGTAAATTGCCAAAGAGTCGGGGGTGTGGGGGGCTGGGCTGCCGCGAGGACTCGTCTCTTGATGCCAAGAACGGTAGGTCATCAAAATACAAATTGAAACTTGCCTGGAAAAGGTCGCTCTCACAACTGTGGTGAAAGCATTTTCTGGCTTGCCACGTCAGGGCCAGTCCCAACGCTGCCATCGGCAGCCAACAACGCCCATACCCGAGGCGATGAGTGGCCAACACCCCCTCCATACCCGACATAACTCTCCAGAGAATTACCAGAAAAAAGCCCCACTTGCACCCAATGAGGTACAGCCTGTAGTTGCGAACAATTTTGCAGAAGAATGAGAGCAAGCGCGGTATTTGGACGGCACTTCACGTCAATTTTCAACAAGTTCGATAGGGAGGAACGCAAATGGCGGCGCGGCGCGCCTGGGCGCAATCCTGTACTAAATAACAACTACAGAAATCACTTTCGCGTGGCGAGTCCGGATAAGCGGACCATTCGGATGAGCAATCGAAGAGCGAACTAAACAGATGGCGACATACATGCGCGCAACCAAATGCATCCTTCTTTTGATCCTCTTCAAACCGAGATTGTGCCTGCCACCACACACATGAGAGCGACAATGCTCTGCAAACGCCAATATCTGCATCTAAACCAGCGGTAAGAAAAGCAATGAATGCCCTGGGAATCGTATAGATCTGTCTCGAAAGCGAACATAAACATCCAAAAACATTCAAAGTACGTAGTAAACCTGATTGGCGTGGGGCTTTCGATACACCGCTGCCCTTCCACATGGCTAACAACGTTCAACTCGTCCTTCTGCCCCTCAGCGCAACATTGCTCCCTTGACAAACAAGCACCAGGCTACCAGACCATATTACTGTACATTTGGCAGTGTTCTTGAGCCCGCGAATCGCCGTCATGTGAAGGTTGGGGCAACATCTCACCTCGCCGCAATGACCAAGTCTATCAAGACCAAAGCGTTTCCAACGACAACCTTGAACAGGAAGTAACAGAAGTCTTCGCTGTTGGCCCACAGCCGGCTGGCACCGGTCCCGTCGTCTCCGTACTCGCACAAGTAGTCTTCCTCCATCACCCCAATCCCAATTTCACGGTCCAACTCCTCCGAGCCCTGCAGCTGTTGCGAGAACCCCCCTTTGGCCCCTACTTGGTAGCCGGACCCCCTCAGTCGGGATTTCTCTTCGCAGCCCGGAAGATCTGGAACCCTCAGCGTGAGAGGTATCGGCTTGAACGAGGAGTTGGTGGAGTGCTGCTGCTGGTGTTGATCTTTTGACGGTGGTGTTGCCGTACCCCGGTCTGCCTGATTCCCCCCGGCTCGTCGAAGACCAGCGACACTGGCGAAGTGGTGCCGGCTATCCACTATTCGAGGGTTCCCCGCCCACTTGAAGCCACACGCGTTAGGGCCAAGGCTAGCCTTGAGGAAGAGGGGGATAGGAATCTGAAGCGCCGGGTGCAAGGAGGAGGAGGCGGGCGGCGGCACAAGAAACCAATTTGGTGGGGCTCGGTGGCTGCTCATGATGATTGGTTTCTGTACGAAGCGAGAGAGGGGGCCACGTCCAGTTGTGCTAAATAGCTTGGTTGAGAGCGATAGAAAAAAACACGCTAAGGGGTCGCAATTTTCGCCACGTGTCAATGCACTCGCAGACCGGTGGGAAGTAGACTGTTGTACTTATCGTACATTTTGAAAAATGTTGACCTTTGTCAAGTGGTGGTACCTCAGGTTCAACCCCGACTATTTTCTGTCGCTTGCGAATTGGTGAAAGCTCCCTTCTACCTTGACAGTGACACAAGGTTCACGGTTACACACAGGCTGTTGTGCAAAGTGGAGCACACCTTGACCCCAAAACTATGCCCCAGAGTGGCTGATTGCGGCTCCGCGATTTTCCAAGAGCTTACACGAGATACGCGGGACGTCAAGACGCCGTTTTCGTACCTCTCCGTGCAACTTGTTCCTCTCGATGTTAAGCTCTCGCAGATCGCGTACATGCCTCAGGTAACGCGGCACAGTGCCAGAAAGGCGGTTCCCTCCTAGGTACAGCCTCTGCAGACATTCGCAGTTCATCACCATCCGCTCGGGGATACTTCCGTCCAGGTTGTTGTCGTTCAGGTACAAGTCTTGCAGCTGATCGTTACGGATTTATTCCCGGAAAAGCGATTCGGACGAAAATTGAAACAAGCAAACAAAGGTAGCGGGTTGGAAGTTAGCGTCTGGGTTGAGCCGGCGGGCAGGGCTGACTCAGGTAATTGGTTCGTCTACTCCGTATTCGATCAGCGCGTGTGATGCATGCTTCTTGTCCATGCGTGTTAACAAGACTCATACAGCATTGGTTGAATCGCTCTCTCTCTCTTGAGTCGTGTCAAAAGTATGCGGTAACGCACAACAATGGTGACCGGATTTGAATGCTCTTGCTGCAATGGTTACCTTGTGAAGATGTCCTAGCTGCCACGGTATGTGCCCCCTCAGTCGGTTTTCCCCGAGAACCAACCCGCGCAGGCTGGATAGCTCCCCTAGCCACTCGGGAACCGTCCCGGTGATTTTGTTCTGAATTCGGTGGCGAAGACAAGTACACCGGCCTTAGTTCAATAATATCGGCTGCAGGAGGTTATGGGCTGTTCTTCTCGGACCATGCTCCGTCTAATGCCACGGAGTAGCAGTTCAAGGAGCAGCACTAGGTTCTAGGCTACGACAAATCAAGGAGCAGCACTTGGGGCCCCCGAGCAAAGAACAAGCTTTGCCTCGCTGAATCGGGGAAGAGCACTGGCTCCAGTCCACGAGATACCTTTCGCCACCAACAACGGGGGTCATTCCCACTGTCAAGAATGGGAAGGTGTTTGGCGATAGCTCTCTTCCGACCCGATACTTGCACCCTCTTCATGGACTGAAACATCAAGGCGCGTATGTAAGTTCGACTGATTGATTTTCGGACGTATTTCCGGGCAAGGAATCCCGAGAGCAGCGGTAGCGGTGACGGAAATCCGAGGAGACGTGATTAACCATCCCCGCCGGCCCAGGTGGTAATAGCAAGGGAGCGGAGGATCACGACGACCATGTAGCAAGCAGTCGTTGCTTTTCTTTCTAGCCACATCGTCCGTAGCCGTTGACCAGACTTACCCGATACAGATACAAGTATCGGAGCCCCCTTAAGGCGCGCAGAGAATCTGGAATTTTCCCCCACATCTTGTTGTCGTGTAAGTACAGCTCCTCCAGAGCGAGGCACCTGGACAGTTCCGCTGGAATGGACCCCACCTGCACCGAGAGTTTTGTCGAGGGCCACAGACCGAATAGCGATATCTTCCCACGTTATTTCTCGCATTCTACCGATAACGTCCTTCTACGCGTTCCAATTTTAGTGGCATCGGTGAATTCAGTGAGGCACTTAAAACCGAGACCCTCGCACATTGAATCGGATACCCCGCATCGTCGAAAAAGTGGAGGTACCGGCAGACTGCAAGTTTGCGTCCACATAAACCAAGCAAGACTAGATGACACCGTCTAGCGAATTGAGTTGACTCACTCCAACGGACAAGCTAATAAAACACCACACTTGCTGTCGCATTGTTATAGGCTCACCACCGCGTTCCGTTCCAAGTAGAGTCGCTCGAGGAGAGTGAGCTTGCCAAGCTCACGCGGCAGGGTCCCACTAAACTGGTTTCCATCCAACGCCAGGCATGTCAGGAGCGTCAGCTTCCCCAAAAAGGAGGGGAGGTCTCCCGAAAGATTGTTGTTAGATGCGGAGAAAGTCTTGAGAAGCTGCATCGATTCCATAGAAGGCGGGAGACCGCCCTCGAAGCAGTTGTCGCTCAGGTCCAGATGTTCCAATTTTGTCAACATCCCCAGGCTATGCGGAATCTTCGTTTTTTCATGCGCAAACGTGGGGGAGAAAGATGACGCAGCAACAGGAACAGCAGGTACACGGAGGTAGGTAAGGGGGGTGATATCTTCCGTAGACGCTCGCACGTCAAACCCATCAGACCTATCGACAAGACAGGGAGAGCGAGATTATCAACGCTCGTCGATTCTTTTTCGTCTTGGCCTAGAACTTGCTTCGACTAGCTGCGGCAAACCTTGTTGGGCAAGGCGCTGCCACATGTCTCAAATCACTCCACAACCCGCCTCTCTTCACAGCATGTGACCTGTACGCAACATAGATTTCAACCTACAGCACTACCTGGAGCCCCGATCCGCGATAGATAGTCATCCGCCAGGAGTCACTGCAAATTGTCTGTAGCAGGCAGCCAACTGCACTCACCTCCCCTGACAGCCTGTTCTTCTGCAGGCTCAGCCTGTAGAGGTTCGGGCACGTCTCCGCCAGACTCTCCGTCAGCCCGCCGTACATCCGATTCTGGTCTAGCACCAGGCTCTGCAGCTGTTCCATTCCCTGCAGATCCGGAAACGGCTCTTCCACCTCGTTCGACCCCAGGTTGAGGCTTCTCATGCCACTCCCACCGGTGGCGCCGCTCGAGCGCAAGAACCAAAACTGAAACTTGACGGGAAACTGAAACGGCCCCTCGAACGAGTTCCCCCGGAGACACACCGTGGTTAAATTAGGCAGAGTCCCTAGCGCGGCCGGCAACGGCCCGGACAGTCGGTTGAACGACAAGTCGAGGATCAAGAGCTCTTTCAGGTCTCCGAAGCTGGCGGGTATGGGGCCCGTGAGCTGGTTGTTCTCGACACGCAGCCAGTTGAGTGCCGACAGAGTGCCCATGCTAGCCGGAATAGCCCCGGACAACCGATTGCTCGCCAACTCGAGCTTCTTCAGGCGGGCGAGGGAACCGATGTTGGCGGGAATCGCTCCGCTCAGTTCGTTGTTGGACACGTTGAAGGTCTTCAGGGCCGTCATGCGACTGATAGAGTTGGGGATACCCCCGGACAAATGGTTGTTCTCCGCCGAGAAGTACTCCAGGTGGAGGAGGTTGCCCAGGCTGTCCGGAAGAGGTCCCGAGAGCTTGTTGTGCCCGAGCGACAGGCGAATCAAGCTGATGAGCGAGCCCAACAGCGGAGATATGTTATCTGCGGCCAACAAACCGAACGAGAATCAATCGGTAGAATTCGGAACAGAAGTGTGCAGGGGTAAATGGGGTGTGGGATGGAGGGAGGGGTATGTTGAAGGTGGTTTCGCGCCGCTTGGGCACAACTCCATGGGAAGCACACACACACCGCTGTGCTTCGATTCTACAAGAATACACCAGATCCGGTTTTTTGTCGCGAGTGCGGTATCGTTGTGGTTGATAAACACAGGTGACCAAGGAATCTATCTGGGACTCGCAAGCACGCATCATCGGTGGATCACGAAGAAATATGTTGTATGTGCCAGTAGTCCCTCGCTTGGAACCAATACGTATTGCATATGTGCTACCTCAAACCGCCAAGTCGTAGAAAAAAGAAATTACGATGCAACACGAGGTAATGTTACCTCGCAAGTTGTTTCCCTGCAGCTGGACCGTCTGAAGCTGAAGGAGCAGTCCGAGCTCCACGGGAATGGTCCCCGAAATGTGGTTGTCCGAAAGGTTAATGCATTTTAAAGACTCGAGCCGAGCGATTATCGGGGGGATGCGACCGCAGACGTTGTTAGACGACAGGATCAGATACTCAACGCTCCCTTCCTTTGATCTGACCCCGTAGACTCTGCCTTCGTCTAGCTCCGCCCGAGACCGTCGGACAAGATAAGAGTCCCATCCCCCCCTTCGCGGCCACCCTGTCCCGTTCATCCGTCGGTGGAGGGCTGCCAGCACCTTGTAGGTGTCGTGGGCCTAGAACAGGATTGTTTCAGTTAGACACACGCAAATGGGGGGTAAGTGATTCCGTGCCGTGTGATATCGTCCTATGGAAGGAGCCGCATTGCACGGTTGGTATCAAGGTGGCTCGTGCACAGCTACGCTTTTCACATCACCACAACACAGGGAAAATCTGGTGAATTTGCCCTCAGCCCTGGCTCGTTGGTTTGAAAGTATCAGCCACAGCCACAACACACATTTCTACGCGACGAACGCCACGATAATTTTCGCTGGAGGGGTTGGGCAGAACACGGTTTTAGACGGCAGACGAGATATCAATTGTGCCGATATTTTCTACCATGTCCGGCTGCAACGCCAAGACAACAACAACAATACCACAACGTTTACGCGTGCCGGGTGCCGCAAACATGCATGCTTGATTGCACCAGAGCATCAATGAATCCTGCTAAGAGCAAGAGAGTCTTACAGAGTTGGAAGGGGCGAAGAGCTTGAGGTACTTGCGCGAGATCTTGGTTGCAGGTGATTCAACAGCGACGGTCACTTTCGTCAGTTTTTCCATCATAGATCTGCCCTCGTCGCTTTGGGGCCACAACGGAGTGTCAAGATCCTTGTCCTTCCGTTCCTCTCGCTCATCAACGTCTGCTTCGCCATCCGAGGTTGTTTTACTGCTGCTAGAACTCGTATCGTCACCCTCTCCGAAGAGTTCCACAGACAGCTGGCGGTTGCGCGTGCGCCGATAAGCCACCAAATCCGCAGTACTGTGTTGCCTGTCGGGGTGCAGTGCGTGGTATTCCTTCCACGTTTGGCCGCCCATCGGCTGATCAGGTTCTTCTACCTCACTCTCGGCCGCCTCGTGGATCGTTCTTACCGCGTCGGCGTTCGATGTTTCGTTGGCAGGCGCGGGTTCTCCTTCTGTCACGATCGGGGGAAGCGCTAGCTGAACGCTAGCTCTTGCCGCCGAACGTCCTGGCCTCATGGCTTGCCCTGGCATGTAGCTTGCCCGTCGCTGATACCGTACAGCTGGTTGTGTTCCTATGCCCGTGGGGTCAAACGCCGCTACCGCCCTTGCTCCTGCTGCTTGTCGCGTCGTCTCTAACGGCAGTGTTGTGGCATCGCCACTCAGCTGTGTGGTTGAATCGACGGGCGGTAACGCTGGAGCCGGTGTCTGCGTGAGATGGTCATTCTCTCCATCGAGCCTCGGTCCGGAGCACTCTCGCCGTTCCGCCAGCACTTGCCCTGCTGCTGCCATACCTGTTGGCACTGAGAGTTCAGAAAAAAAGTCTTCATCCGTTAGAGACTGCGATCTTTTGTGGTCCACGGCCGGCCGTTGTGCGCTTTCCCCTAACGTTGTTGCCGTCTCTTGCTTGGCCTCGTCAGCAGGATCTCTGCTCGCTCCCACTCCCCCGCCTTGCGCTTTGCCCCTCATCGGGTCCGTTGTCCACCCGTGTTCCCCCCCCTCGCTTCTGTTCTCTTGCCTTCCCCCGTGCGTCCTCTCCTTCGTTCCCTGCTGGCTTTCCTCCCCCTTGCCGTCTTCCTTCTCTGGCTCCCCCTGCCCTTCGCTAGACAGCAGTCTATTTTCTAGGTCCGCCTCACCCCCTTCCCCCTCCCCGACACCCAGGTAATCGTCTCGGTAGCCGTCGTCCTCTTTTTCGTCTTCGAGTTCTTCGGCTGCTAGCTCCAGCCACGACAACCTCTGAAACGACTGAGTTTCCACCGTCAGATGGGCTGCTGCTGCTGCTGCTGTGTTGGTGCTGTCCATATTTCTTGTCTCCATGACGGGGTCCGACGAAGCTTGTTGAACGAGGTGATGCTGCCTTGGTTGATGCGCTTGGTCCTGTGCAGCGGATGATTCCTGGGATGGGTATAATGTATCGGCGATCAGAAGCAGCGAGCTTCCGTTTGTTTCCTCCCGCATCGGCAAACCTACCGGAAATGCATCAGCTGGTACTGATGCTTGTTCGTAGTCGGGGACTGCATCATCAGCTGGTGGTGACACTTGTTCCATGCATTCAGCTGGAATATCTTCGCCTATGTCCCTGATGGTGCTCACTGCATCATCGCCCCCCAACGGTCTTCGTACCACTTGATTCATTTCACCAGCATGACACGGCTTTTCCCGCATCGAGTCAATCGAGTATCGGTGCTTTGATTCCGTGGCTGCTGCACCAACTGATCCTGCTTGCGCACCTTCGGCATGATTCGCCGAAGGGGAGGTAATGACCGAGCCAGACAATACCTCGCTCACCCCCAGGTGGTCAGTGCCAGTTGCCCTTTTGGTCGAAACGCTGCCAGGTGAAGACGATGCGAGATCATGTTCCGCCATGAGAATAGCCACATCCCCGACGAACGGCGAAGTACTGCGCAGCGCAAGGCTCCACTACACTACATTATCATGTCGGGAAGATGATGGAATGTGGGAGGTCCATAGATACACCAAACTCACGCCCCGATGCTGTTGTGAAGACCGCGCTCCGCCTGAGTACGATTGCCGTATCAAGCGGAGGTAATCACGAGCTTCCACGGCGTTTCTATGCATGTCTTGTTCGCACGTTACCTTTTCGTACACACGCAAGGGGTGCCCTAGGTCCTGAGAGCCTGGTTGTTCCTCAATTTCTCAATCATTTTTCGATCTCCAAGATCTCCGTAGATCGGTTGTGCGGCGCGATTTTCGACAGGAACGGACGCAGGACGGAACGGACGCCGGACGGAACGGACGCTCCACACGAGAAATCGATGACGAGGCAGCAGGAAAGCACCTGTCGTTACCTACTCATAAAGCTGCCGCCGTTTGTGCAGCCGTATCAACTTCGAGTCTAAGCAGTATGGTAGAACGTGTCTTGGGATCTGATGCAGCCACCGCTGAAGCCTGTGGAGATGCGCCTCGTCATGGGAGCAGCAAGAGAGAGAAGCTTGTTATCCCGGAGGACGGAGAATCTAACCTCGCTGACAGGCTCACAATGCTGAAGCTAGGTAAACAGGGGAGCAAGGACGGCGCAGGTGTAGCCTCGAGAGAACGGCTAGATTGGGGGGCACTCGATGAGGAAAGAAAACAGAAGGGGCCGAGCTTGATGGAGCAGATGATGGCAGAGGCAATGGCGGCCAAGGAGGTGAAATCTCAGGAGCAGCGGCTCGAACAGTCGAGAGACGCTAAGCAAACCTTCGGGGGCGGGCTGAAAAAGGGATTCCTGTCACGTCCCACTCGCACTACTGCTGTCTCCTCAGCAGCACCAAAGAAACAAAACGGCGGGAGGAGAAGACAAAGAGGAAAAGAGAGCACGAGCGGTGCCCCCCCTGAAGTGGAGGGGAGCATACCCGTCATCACCGGTCGAAAGGCGTCGTCAGGAGGACTTGAGTTCGATGTGTCCGCCGAAGCCAGTAGCACCACGAGTGACAGCCTTCTCCTGCCCGAGGTGCAGGAAGCGATGAAGCACTCTGCATCAAACCCCCTCGGTGGAGCCAGCGGTGGCGGGGGGGGGCAGGAATGGTTAACGCCCGAGTTGCTCCAAAAAATCTCCGAGAAGCCGCGGCTGGCGGCGATGCTGACCGACCCTCGCTTCTCCAAAGCCATGGAGCTCATGTCTACCTCCCCAAAGGATGCCCTCGGGATGTTCGAATCCAGCGCCGAGGCCCGAGAGAGTTTCACCGAGCTCATGTCCCTGCTCTCGAAACATTTCACGGCCATGGGGGATGCGGCCGACGAGAAGGCGGCGGCCGAGGAGGCGGACCGCAGGAGGGTAGCAGACGGGCCGCTGGCCCAAGAGGCGCTGCGACGGGCGGCGGAAGGGGTCGGCGTGGCGGCGACGCCTGCGACGGCGGAGGAAACCGCTACCGTCGACAAGGTCCTCCAGCAGCCGGAACTGAGAGAGCTTCTCATGGACCCAGGTATGCAGAGAGTGCTGCAGGAGTGTGGAGAACCCCAAGAGCTGGCGCGGTACATGCGTCACCCGGAGTTTGGACCCAAGCTGCAGCTCATGGCCAAGGCCGGGTTGATTTCGTTCAGGCCTTGAAAAGCTGCATTGGAATGAGTGCAGTGGTAAAGATATGAGTCAGCCTGCGTAGTTCTTGGGACTTCAGGGAAACTCTCGTGCATACACACTGAAAGGGCGGGCCCTTTTCAGTGTGTATCTCGCGTCTCCTGTGCCATGTATCCTATGTTGGTTCTAGCAAAGTTCGTCTTTGGTGTGTCTTGTTTGAAAATATGACATGAATATGTTGTGTTACAAGAAAAAAGAGGGAAGCGCATCGTCACACGGAAAAGACTGCCTGTTCGAGATGGTTGTGTGTGTTTTGAAGTCTTTTCAATCAGAGTTGAGCAACACCTGCTGGGTACTGCACCTCCAAGTCGAGTCTGTTCAAGTCCATTCGGTGTTTATCTTGTTTGGCTAGCCGCCCTGCCTCCTTTGGTCTGTCGGACAGTTTGAGAGGAAGAAGCGAACTGGTATTGGTATAGTCAGTGCAGAGCGATCGCCACGAAAAAAACACTTGCACCACGTGAGTCCTTTGCTCGCCCGCGAATGCCAGCGCCGCGAGCTACCACGTCAGGTGCGCGCGTGCACATATTTCTCGACGGCAAGCAACGGCAGGCTTCCCACACCATTTTACTGGTGTAGAAAGAGAAGAGATCACTTGGCACCAACGGACGGACAACAACCGTGAATAAGGCTGGATTGGTATAAATATTCTAGCCACCTCTTAAGTACCTCCGTCTGTGTGGTGGAAAACGCAGCTGGACCTGTGAATGTCTTTATCAGAATGCCACGGGAAGAACAATCAGTTGTACAACTCCGACGCTACGACGCGATGTTCGCCGCACGAGACGCACACAACCAGCGTCCAGGGTAACTACTGCGAAAAAATGCACTCTTTGGTGGCACCACGCGACCAACGAAAAATGCTGTACGAAGTAACGCACGCTGAGTGGCATGCGTGAGTGCAACCCACCCTTCGAAATGATCCTTTCCTGTCAAGGCCGTGGTATGATAGGATATCAGGACTCCGCAAGGTACTTGGGCATGTCGCTTGCTCAACTCAGGTATCCGACGCGACATATATGCGGATCCTGCTGCCCCCCCGGAATTGGTTGTCTTCCTCCGGACGTTCCGTTTAACCTTGAGATGCCACCCAAATGTTATCGAATGCCATACATGGCTCTCTCTCCGTCTACCCTCTTAATATCTCGTGTTGCCACGGGGTCTTCGTGCTGTAATGGCTTTTCCTCTTCCTTCCCACCTCCGTGGCGACTCGCGGCTTCGTCGCCACGATCCTCATGTCCCGCCGCGAGAAATTTGTGGAGGCGATTGGCTGCAAGCACTGCTCCTACCGCGGCCTTGAGTCTCCTCCTCTGCAAACCCTGGAACTCCTCTAAAAGGGGCTGGAAGACACGAACAAACACAAAAACATAAACACACAACAATCAACGTTTTCGCGTTTTTATCCCGCTATGAAATTGACATCTTCACATTGGTAACCCGTAGCGCGGTCGGTGTATCCAAACCTTTCCGAGTGAAAGTGTCGTTGCGTTTTTATCGTAGCGAGGTACGGGGGGTCCGCGCATCTACGTGGAGATATCTTGGAGCGTTTCATCCATTTGTTGTCCAGGTAACACTGAAGGCAACATGCTACGAACGAACGCCAACCGTCGAACGCCGACATGGATGCACGATATTTGACGTCTTCCCAATCGAAAAAACGAGGAGATCATTCTTGAAAGGAAAAGAAGGGTCGATTAACGCTTTTATTCATTTCAAGACAAAACACCAGATGTAGATACTTCAGTTGGTGATACACTCCGCGGATTCGGTGCCCTGTAAATTTCGCGTCAGCACCTACCTTGTTTTCGCCGAATCGCCGGTCACTGAGAGAGCGCGATAGCAGCGTGTTCCCCTGAACCTTCATCCAAGGGTGGAACATCGCCTTTTCCGCCGTAGGGCGATCACTTGGGCTCGGACTCAGCAACGCTTCGACGAAATCTCTAGCTGCCTGTTCTCCAGTGACGCATCGGGATACGATAGTCGAAGCAACATCCCCAAAGGGTGTCAGGTCGGCTGGGACTTTCTCCGCTCGCCCCGGAAGATACATTCGGTTGGTAAGTATATACTGACATGCACGAGTGAAGCAGAACCACCCACAAGGAAGGTCAGCAACAGCAGCCGTGCACGGCAACGCTCAGCACGCCACGGCAGACAACTAATCCTGCTGTATCAAGACCGCCAAGACCCTCCCTTTGACCGGACATCAACCGACACCTTTCAATACTCACGTCTGAGACAGCTGACCACTGCACTTCGTCGAAGGGTGGGTTGCCCTCTAACGTGGCGTTCACTGTTTCCGTAAGAGTACCTTCCACCCCTCCGAACGGCAGATAACCTGTATTAAATGACGGAACAAAATCGGCATCGATACATGTACGCATACCGTGATGTGGTTAGGTTAGACAGCGGCAGCAAGCGCCGTAAAAGCACTCCAACACAACATGCTAGAAGGTGGTAGCGACGAGTTGCAGCAGTAGCGTGCCGTCAAGGGGTTCCCTAGCTCTAATGTGTTATGTACGATGTTTCGACAAACGCTCCAACTTCACGTTTCGTTGCGCACCTGGAAACCGCGCGGGAACTATTTCTCGAAAACGGGACACGCGCCTCTTGTCTGTGGCTGTACTACTATACGGAAGAATATGGACTATCAGCTTTTGGAAACACCCGGTAAATAGAGAGCTCTGACCTTGTTTAGAGGCTTGTATGGGCCAATCAATAGTGTTCAACCTGGCGCGCTCAAGGGGATGGATTCATCGTTAAGTCCGAGCAACAGGAATGTTTTTCAGAATAGTTTGACGAAGCGTGACGTAGGGAATCGCCTTGAAATAGGTATTGTGGCGAAATGGCTTGGTCAGTATATACAAAATGAATTCACACGAGGCGTGTACCCTCAACAGGGATCATCCAATGCCTGTAGTTGCAGTCTCTCTTACCCGAAAGAAGCACGAAGGAAATCACCCCCAGGCTGAACACGTCCGCCTGGCCGTCATACGGCATCACGCGCAACACCTCTGCCGCAGCGTACCCTGGGCTCCCAACTGGCTCCACCACCTTGTACGTAGGCTGGGACAGTACCGCGGCAAAGCCAAAGTCCGCCAGCTGAGGAGACAATTGCCGAGAGCGAGAGAGAGAACTTGTCATACATACGAACCGGCGCGGCGGGGATCACGGGCTTCATCGTATGTGTACCGATGTATTCATACGTGCGTGTGCCAGGGCATTTTGCCTGAGCGTGTTGGACGGAAATTGACAAAAAACATCTGTTCTATCTGCCGCACATACCTTCACGTACTCGCTCCCTCGTCGTACAAGCAGTAGGTTCTCGGGTTTCAAATCGCGATGTATTATCCCACGCCGATGCAAAAACGCCAACGCGTCCAGCACCTGCAAGATTATCTGCAAGCGGGCAGAAAAACAACATGGGGGCACGGTAGATATCATTCCAAAAGTATGCTTGCATCCCTCCTACCGGTAGCGCAAACCGCTAGGAAGATTTGTGTACATAGGCATACGTACAGGGATGGGCTATCCAAGCATGATTTCTACAGCACGGTACCCCTGCCTCCAAAACCCACGAGAGGTTACGGTAAATTGCGCGCACGACCTTCAAAATACATGGCAAAGTTCTGGGTGCCGTCGATCGAGGGAGAAAACGTCTGGGATGCATATATGGAATGGAGTCTTAATCTTGTGCAGACGCTAGATGGCTGACAGCTGGCCGGGCCCGATGGTGATGCTTCCCTATCATGGTATAGCATATCCTTACCCTTCGTGCGCATGCCTCGGAGTAAAACACTCTCCGGACGATATCCTCACACAGCTCCCCTCCCTCCATACGCTCCATCGCCAGGCAGTACGCCTGTTCCCACTTGTAGAAACCCCGCATCTCCACAACGTGTGCGTGCGTAAGGCCCGTTAGGATGCCGGCCTGCGTCAAAGTCAAATGAAAGCCCAAACAGCTGAAGCTTTTCCGAGAGACCCAAGACGAATGCGTGTGAATTTTCGAATGATCTCGTGCGCGCTGATATAGACATTTCTGGCACCGCAGAAGTAAATCCTGGTAGACCAACACCAGAAGCTTGGTTATGGGGGAAAGTGGTCGGTACGGTGGAACCAACAACAGATTCGCCCTATGCCCGCGGGTGGCCAAGCGGCCCCCAAAACATTTGACGAATGTAGGGGAAAAATAGAGGGCCACCCACGACTTTCGATAACAACGCAACGACCGGACAGCGCTGTTGAACACCACACCCGCAATCACACTACCACCCGAGGGCCGGATAATCAGGGGTACGAATTTTACCTCCATGAGGAATAGCTCCTCGTCGTTCTTCGAAAGGCCCTTGCGGAAGACGAACTTGAGCGCACTCTTCGACTGAGTCTGCCGGTGAAGCTTGAAACGAAGCAATAGCAAGCGAGTGTGTGTGCGAGAGAGGGAGAGAGACCGACAACAATGAAACAGGGATAGAGACGGGCGGAGAGACAACCAGGACAAGAACATTGTGAACAACCGACACACCGTTCTTCTCATAGCAAGGAGCCTGGCGAAAGGGAATGGCGCTTTGTGGTTCAGCTGACTTACGTTGTGGTGGAAATATTCTCAAGTCATACCGAAGAAATCAAAATGCTGCTGGTAGAACACGTGTGTTACTGAAAGCTCTCACATGAGGGACCTAGTAATGTACACACACACAGTCGGTGGTTTAGACATGACGGCCTTACCCCTTCCTTGACCAGGCCGAAGCCCCCGGTTCCCAGCAGTCCTCCGACTGCGTAGTCCACATGCACCGCCGCGTGTGTGACGATAACGGTTGTCGCTCGGTCCTTCTCGTAGTCTTCATACCTACATCTTGATTGCATTGCGTTCAAGTGCGCAGCAGTGGAGAGATGTTAATGTAAACCGAAGCGAGCACGTGCGTCGTGGTGGCATGATTGGGGGAAACAACCGTGCCCTGTTTAACCCACGTGTCATGCATTGGTCACATGCACCAAACCCTTGTTTCGTACACAAAAGGCTTGACAGAAAACAGGTTTTGAGCGTAAGTCAGGCGCAAACAGCGAAAACGTGCCAACACGGTTAACGGCCCGAAAAGGAGTCTTCTTCCGAACTTGCACCGATTTTGAGTACAATTTCTCAGGGTAGTTCACGGAGCGTTTTTTTCCCACGGAGCGGTGCGGTTTTAACCGCTCCGCTACGTGAGATTTTCCCTTGAGAAAAAACACTCCATGAACAAAAAATACGCTCCGCTCCGAGAGAATTTTGCCCTCGGATAGACCGCTCCGCTCCATTCCGTGGGGCTTCCCAAAAATCCGTACAAGCGTTTTTTTCACGGAGCGGTTTGAGCTACTCCATCACACAAGCACTGATAAAACCGCAATGCAGTCACGGATAAACCGCCATACAGTCACGGTTTTCCCACGGAGTCGCTTTTTTTTCTTTTTCCTATTTCTATTTTCAAACTGAGGATCACATCTGCTGTTGTACGTGTTGCAGGAACGTATGATGAGTCGAGGAGGTATTAGGAATTAGTACTGGCAAGTTTCAACGAGAGGCAAGTGAGGAATCATCTGCTGTTGTTGTACGTGTTACAGGAACGTAGGAGGAGTCGAGGAGGTATCGATGTGGGGAACGGTCCCTTCCTGAATAATTGATTAGTTGACAGCTTTTTGGTCTGTTTGGGCTGTCCTAGCGGCGAGGACGCATACATACGGTGGTCTCCAACCGCAGCACACGGTGCGGAAAAATCGATTTTCGGTGTACCAAACCCAACGCTTTTCACGAAATGGCAGGCACTCCGTCCGTTTTCGTATGGATATCCGTGCGGTTTCCACGTTTTTTTCTGACGGAAAACCGTCCTCGAGGCCACGGTTTCGCGCGGTTTACGCTACGGAGTAAACAAAACCGCTCTGTGAAAAAAACCGCACTACGGATAAACCGCTCCGTGACATGAAAAAAAAAAACACTCCGCTCCGTGGGACTTTTGCCCTCGGATAAACCGCTCCGCACCGCTCCGTGATATGTTCAAATGAAAAAAAACGCTCCGCGGAGCGGTTCTACTCCGTGAGTTACCCTGCAATTTCTGATGTCGTATCACCGACGTTGCAGCCCAAGGACGAAAACAATCGCAACAAACAAATAATGGCCTGCACTATTCTCCTGAGCAGGGATTCCAATCCTCGTTGTTAAGGCACCATTGATACTCCTCGTATAAACCGCAGCGTGGCACGATAAGTTGCAAGGATTTCGGCACTTGTGGCCACTGTGCTCTTTTCGTTTTATATGTGGCCATCAGCGTAGGGGTGGGTGCTGTCGTTACGGGCGGTGCGCCCACCCGCGGTACCCAGGAGTGGGGACCGCAAAACGAGGGAATCACGCCGCCCTCAGACCCGGCGGCTGGGCCGGGTGGCGGGGGTGTCAGGGGATCGCTCCCCCGAGGTGGGACAATCGGTTTTGCCTGATGCTCAGTGGTCCCTACGTACTGGCCGTCCATGTCGACCGTTTTCGCGGCTTGGATAAACGCCCTCCTCCACGTGTAATATCCCTGGTCGCGTTCGAGACGCGGCGTGTGCACTGACACACGCATTTTGCTGAATGAGTTCTGGTGAAAACCGTCTCCTTCGCCGACGAGACCGCCAAAACCACCAAAACCATCGCCATACATCTCGGTTAGTTGAGGTCTCTTACGTCCTGTCGCTCTTCCTCTCAAACCTAGCGGCCAAGCACGACTATGCCAGACTGACCCTACAGTCCGCCCAGACTCTGGATCGGGGGGAGATCATCCGCGTGGTGGGCTCCCAACACTCCAGTATCAAGCAGGGGAAGATCCATCGGAAAGGCAACCGCAACCATCACAAGGCGGCCGAGCAGGCATTAATCGCGAGCGTCGGAAATGGCGGTGGCGGAAAAGCTGGTCGCAACCGCGGCCGCAGGGGACGCGGCGGCGGCGGCAACGACGGCGGCGACAACGGCAACGGCAATGGCGGTGGAGGCGGCGCGGTGACGGCGGCCGGTGCTACCGGTGCAACAAGCGAGAGCATCAGTCGTTCGCGTGCACTACCCCCACTGCCGAGTTTTTGCCCCAACGCGAGAACTGCGACGGATTTGGACAAGATAAGAGCAAGTGCCTGTCAACGAAGGACGAGGAGGAGGCGAAGGGCGAGACGGCAGTCATGGCGGTCGAGGTGGCGAGCGATCGCGAGGAGCTGGCTGTAGTACGTGAGGCCTTGTAAGAAGAGGCGGGGGGAAGAACCCCCTAAAGCCGCGCGGGTCACTGCGCGCGCTCCGTCTACACACAGCAGCAGCAGCAGGAGATGGTGAAATTGGCACCATTGCAGCAGCGTGGGAGGGTGGAGACACAGAAAAACGGAAAAATGGCCGTGCGCCCATAGCCGCGACGGAAGGGGCGTGGGGGCAACATTCATAGTGCACGGCGAGATGGCCGTGTGCCCACAGCCGCGACGGGAGGGGCGCGGGAGGGCAACAACCAAATAACACGGCGGGAGGGCCGTTTGCTCATAGCCGCGACGTGAGGGGCGCGGGAGGGCAACAATCAATGCAGCCCCATGGCGCGTCGGACGGGGCGTGAGGGGGGGGGGGGGTGTACTCATAGTCGTGCATGCCGTAGTCGTTTGACCATTGACCTCGCATCCCTACAAAGCCGGGACGGAGCACGCCGGGTTCTCACCGGGCCAGGCTCTCACATCACCAAGCGCGAAGCGCCGTGAGGTATTTGGCGAGTCGCATGAAGGGTGAGCTGCATCCTGCTAAGGGTGTTCGGCATCTTGTGCTTACTTCCTTGCGTACGGATGATAGCTACGTATGACTTAATTTATTTTCTGGTGCTTTCACTTCCAGAGACAGTTGTAAGCACTGTGTAACTGCCTCGAGGAAGCTTGACCATTTTAACACAACGTGGTGCGATCATCCCCCGTTGCGCGGAGTGAGGTTTCTCGACCCCGCACAACATGATCTACTCGACCACCATTATGGTTACCGCCAAAAAAAAAAACGAGGTAAAAAAAAAAAACGGTAACCTGGTTGCCGAGTTCACGAAGTGAATTGGCTTGTTTTACAACGTCGTTGCCAAGCGACGAAAACCCAATCCCGATGGCAAACACCGAGTGGGGGGCTTGTTTTACAACGTCGTTGCCAAGCGACGAAAACCCAAACCCCGATGGCAAACACCGGGGGGGGCGAAGGCGTGAGGGGGGGGGGGGATCAATAGCCCCATGGCGCGTCGGACGAGGCGTGAGGGGAAAAAAAAAGGGGGGGGCAACATGCATCGTGGTGCAAAAACGGGAACTCTTTTTCTGGCGAGGCTACACGCCGGGACGAGCGCTGGGAGGGGAGCAACATGCATCACAGCGCTGAAAATGCCACTTCTTTCTTGACGGTATTTGGTGTTTGATGGTATTCGTAGCACTTTGGTTGAAGAACCTGGGAGGGTGTTCCGTGTTTCTCGGAGGCGTTCGCGCCCACATGTTCAGTATTTTCCTGGTAGTCATTCGGTTGAGAGCCTTATTGATTGCGGTCACGTGGTGCCGTTCTATAGGTTTGCGAAATGTGTAGGAATTGTGTAGAATATTGTTGGAATCGCTGAAGGAACGTATGAGGAAAAATGTGGACACCAGTGTTGTACTTCCCCGAGAATAGAGGATTGTCGAAAAAACATGCATGCCGGTAATGTTCGCTCAGAAAATGTCTGATGTCTGTTTGAACAGACGGTAGACGTGCAGCCGCATGGTGGTAGTTGTTTGGACCAACTCCTCAGGATAGTCATACGCTATTGCTTACCAAGAATTGGGATAGGTCGTTGTTGGAAACAGGGTTATGATCTTGGTACTTCATGCAGGAAGAATATGATAGCACGCCGCCCACGTTTGTAGACGTAGATTTCGAGCGTGGACGCTGGCGCGACTGGTATTATGCATGTCTCGATCTTGCTCTAGTGCAGCCGTGACAAAGCAGTGTCTGATGGAACGGTGAACGTTGGTCGGGTTTTTTGATCCGGAGGCCGGGTTTACCCCTGTTTAGTTTTTTGTTTTTTGTTCGTTTGGTTTTTGGTCACATCCGGCATGTGCATGCCCACTGGTGGTTAGTTACTTGTGTTCGTGTGTGCATGAGCGGATGAGGATATTCCAACGGAACTGATAGTCCCCTTGGATTGGGTTTTATGGTCGATCCACGGGGCTCGGCTCTGTGGGAGTGCTTGCTGCTCTGCGGCGCTCTCTCTCCCGCCGCGTCTTGATCTCGTCGGCTGTCCTTAATAAAAGTGATACAAGCACCTTCAACACACGTACACTAACATTTTCTAGGAGTGGCCAGATTTAACAGCCAACACAGCTTCGAAGTAGAATTCGTTAGAATTTTGGATTGCCATCAATGTCTGTCGTCATTGGTCTGCAAAGATCACCAACGACTCAAATCAACGCTAAACGCCAGTAATTCGCAGCGGCGCAAGTAGAAAAAGCGAAGAACACTCGCCCTTGGCTACCTCCGACGATGTCTCCAGCAATCAAGCCTTTCGGGTTCATCGACGTGTCGGAGATCAAAACGGTTGGTCATGAAAATGAATGCCGTTTGGGAGACTGTAGCGAGTAGATCATACATAAAGTGTACCCATTCTGTTCCGCTAGAATCTTGGAGTATCACGGAGTAAATCATAACCCAAAACCCTACAACTGAACTTACTTGTAGAACAGAGCGGGCACAATTTTTCATGAAACAGCTAAAATGTCTTGCTTTTTGTGTGGGGTGCGATGCTGGCGTTATGTTTTAATGCAGCAGCAGCGCAGCAGCTACAAGCTGCGCGCTCCGCATGTGGTAGGCGGCTTGGGCCGTGAAGTTTCAGTTTTTTCGATTTCTTGATTTTCCTGTGGGTCGATGTGTACCTCCTCCTCTGCATATCACATACCACACACAGACGCAATCAATTTTTCTTGTCTCCCCCTGATCCATCCGTCTCTTCTGGCTGAGAGAAGCATCGCTTGTATATGTATCGTTGTTGTTGTTGCTGTAGGAAGACATTTCTCGGCGTGCAAGAGATGCGTGGGCTTGGCGAATTTCTTGCTGGATGATACCATTTTCCTCTTCATTCCGGTAAGATCAGGCGCTACGTATTACTCCGTAACAAAAGAAGTGTTGTTGCGCTAGACTATTGGTTCGCTTCTGCTGAGCGAGCTGATACATCCCGTTCCTCGACAAACTCGGCCTTTTGTGTTTCTGCGACCTCACACGCATCACATCAGTTACATACATAGCTTTGGCGCAAACATGGAATCCGTGGTATTCACCAACCGAAAAAGTTACACTCACAGCAGGCACTCAGGGATTCGAGGAGCACATAATTGATGGTGCTGCGATTTGGTGGGAAGTTGCCGCTGAAGGCACTGGCTCTTTGGACAAGCTTGCCGAAAAATGCCCGCCGAAGCCGGCTCCAATATTACACGCGGTGTCGTTGTTCACTCGTAACGAGGACAACGGCACACCGCCACATGGTAAAACGCGTTTCAGGAGGTCATCTCGCGTCACCCTCAGAACGCCCGCAAACCATCATCCATATGCATGCATAGACTTTGCCCTTTGCAACGGGGCCTTGAACAGCATGTAGACTACATGAAGCAGTAAGTCAGCAGTGTAGACCTTCGAAGAAGGTGTCTCCTACGACGGAGTATTTATTTCCGCTGGTAGGTGGTGTCACTACATATATCTTCACGCAAGTGTCGCATCCAACTGCGTCCACCAGTACGGCATGCACCCAGCAGGCATTACATCAACACACAGGTTTAGATTGTTCGGGAGTCGTTGGTCAATGTCATGTTCCGTGTTGCAGCATGCACACGGACGGGAAGTAAGAATATAGCGGGTGTGGCAGAGAGACATAGCGTCTCCCCGCAGGTCAGTTTAGTCTCTCACCTCTCAGCTGAAGCGTCCGGGTTCCTGTAGCCGCCGAGGCAAACTCTCAGCCAATCCCAGAGCATAAGACGGCGGCGCTTCAACCTGCTTCCTCCGTTCGTCGAGGGTGTTGAGGAGAGAAGCCACGTGCACAAGCTGCGGTAGTTGAAAAGTTTGAACCCTTGGAAACCTTGGATCACCTATAGCGGATCTACGGAGAATCGTTCGGCTAATCGGACTTTGTTTTCATCTTTTTCTGATCTTTTCTTCGGACCTTTTTTTTTTCGGTTCCCAAAGCGAACCGCGACAGATCTTGTTGTCTTTTGGTTCGTTGTCCGTTGGGCTGTTGGTCTGTTGGTCTGCTGGTCTGTTGGTCTATTTTGGTCTTTGGCCGTCGGTTTCAGATCCAGAGATCCAGAGTTGTTGTCGAGGAAACGAACATTGTTTACATGGTATTGTGTCCATGTTTTCGAGCAAAGCGGGATGGAAGTGCGAACTTACTAGCCGCTGTTCGAGAGGAAATTAAAAAAAAAATCGCGAGGTTTCAAATTGTGCACATTTGTGAGTTTTATTACTGTCTGCTTCGGAGTCTCGAAGCCTGAAAGCAACTCTGTACTACAGCAGTACCAGTGTAGATACCTCCGTCGATCGACGCCTGCCCGCGTGCGGAAGATGCATCTCGAGGTAGTCGAAGTCTTAGCGCTCGCGGGTGAGGGAGCGGCTGGCAGCCACTGGTCCCGCAACACTGCACGGCCTAGATACTCGCTAGGCACGGACGAGGCCAAGCAGGCCAGCTTCCACCACTCCTTCACCTGCTTCGACGTGGCGGAGAGAGTGGAGGCGGACCATGATATTGTCTTCGCAGGAAGGGTGGGTGAAAGTGTCCATGTTATGCGATTCCCGATTGCTGTTCCCAGTGCCTCATACTTTGCAGTGGCGCATCTGCAAGACGACCTGTGCTGGTAACTCCTCCTCTTGAGACCGCATCACAGGCATGCCTCCCCCGTTGTTCTGCGGGGCTTGCATGTATCCAGATATAATACGTCGCTAGTGTTAGGGATCCGCCCTTGTTCACTGACCCCGTCGCGTACATGGATGGTGTATACTGCTGTCGTCTACCGCTGCTGTAGTCTCGAATCATCGCGTGCTTGTACCTGTAATCTTGTGCCCACGTGTCACAGAGCAACGGAGCAGTTGTGCTTTGGCGGATGGTTGCCCGCAATATGTTTGGCGGGGCGAACAAGAACGACCGCGTGCAGGAGCCCCTCATCACCGCCTCACCTCATCGGGGTGCCGTCACCTGCCTAACGCACACCCGTCAAGGAACCTACGGCTCCTTGATAGGGCCACTGATGTTCAGCGGATCAGCTGACCATACTGTCAAGGTGCGTTGTCGCGCCTTGCAGCTACATATTTCGACAGACACGAGACCCAGGAACCTCAAAGTTGGTTGACAGCAGTAGCCACAACCCAAATGAGGAACGGGGGTCACTCGCAGCCGAAACCAGGTAGCTTGCGAAAGGCGCTCTCTACGCCGACGGCGTACAATATGATCTCCTCATGTCAATCTGCCGTCGCGCCATACAAGGAAGGTGTGGAATGCATGGGCTGGTCCTCCGTTCAAGGAAGCTTGCCTACAGACGATGGCCGAGCACAGGGGTGGAGTGACGGCCCTAGCGTTTGCTGGAGACACAACGCTAATCTCTACAGCTCGAGACGGGAGTGTACGACTATGGCGGCCGCAGCGGGGTCGAAAGCTCTTGCGCTTCCCTTTCTTCTGCTGCGTGAAGTGCTTATCCGTCTATCCTACAGCAGTGGGACGAGGCATGTCTCGATCAATCGGTGAGCTGCGATGTTCATCCGGCATTTGCAAAGATCCTGATCTATGTATCAAGAGATCCCCGAACGATGGCTGCACTCAAACACCCGATCAATTCCTTCGACACACCGGTCGGGATACTGCTGCAATTGAGTGCTCACCACTAGGCTTCCCTATGCGAATACGTCTGCATCGTGCGTGGTGAAACACGACGTGCAGGGGCAGGGCAACCAGGAGCTTTCGTGCATGTGTGGCCGACGGCAGCATGTGTTGCTGGTGGGGAGACGTGGACTTTCTACTGCGGCGACAGCAACGGTACGGTATCTGTTTTCCAACGAGCTCCGACATCTGCGGCGAAACGCCTGGCCAACGCAAGAAAAACTTCCGACATTCTCACCATGAACCAGTGAGAATAGAGAATGCATTGTCTCGGTTTCGGCTTGATCCAAAAGTCGATATGCTGCCTTGTATAATCAAGATCCTTCCCGCTAGCTGCTAAGGATCTTCCACCGGGTCACCCATAGGCTTTAACGTGCGGTTGCTTAGTCGATAAAGCCTGATCGTTTCGGTTCTTCCTCTGGACGTAAAGGTATCGGGTTGGATTATAGCGGACAATCTACGACCACAGTATGACGTTCCACCACCACGCTCCGGGCGGGTCGCTGATAACAGGTTGGCAGATGATGAAGTGACTCTCCACAGAAGGTGGACCCATCTGCACAGCCTTGCCATTACGGGGCTTGTTCTTGTGGCAGAACACAACTTTCTTCTCAGCGTGGGGAATGACGGGGCTTGCCGAGTTCTCGACTATCTACAGGTACGCTGAAGAAGCTATTCTCTTAGAACTCCCTTAGCTGTGTGTGCCCCACACTGTTACACAGGTGGAGGTCGTCCCCCCTTTCCCAAAATGTTGGATGCCCTCACCCCCTTGTGAAGACCAATACAAGGTCGACCACCTTGGAGAAGATAACCAAGGCCTCGAAAGGGGAGAAATCGAGGTATTTTCGAGGCCTTGGTTGTCTTCTCCAAGGTGGTCGACCTTGTCCAGGTCTTCACAAGGGGCGAGGGCATCCGACATTTTGGGGAAGGGGTGTCAACCTCCACCTGTGTATTATACTGAGTAACACTGCTGTAACAGAGGAGGCGCTTCAGGAGTACGGGCGGCATGCCTTGAGTAGTGGCAATCGCCCCCAGGTGTTGTGCGGGCGCCTTGCCTCGCGGTATGCACGAGTTAGACGGAGTTAACAAGCAGTGTCTTTCTCGCACTCCACCACCGCGTCTGTGTGTCATGGGCGTTGGACTTTCTCTGACATGGCAGGGAAACACCTTCATGACGATTGAGAGCGACGGCCACAGCCTTTTTACGTCCGTGGCGTGGGATCTAGCTCACGAGCAGCTCGTGCTAGCGGATGCTTCCGGTGTGGTACAAGTTTGGAACACCTATACGGAATCGGTACGTCTCCTCTCTGTCACGGTGTCAGGAAATTCTATCACTTGAAACCGCGTGCATGTTTGAATTTTCGCATATGGGGCCAAGGCCCCATGTAGCATACGATTTCATCTTTTGAATCTGCTGTAGTTGATAAAGGTACCGCTGTCGCATCGTTCAAACCTTTTGGGTCTCTGCAAAAGCTGAAATCGTAGTATGTTGGAGACAACGTTGCTGGAAACTCATACCATGTAGTATTGGGACAGCAACCTGTCATTTCTGATGCCAATGGAAGTCACTTGAAATTGTGGTAATATCCAAAAAGAGTCAGCATCACAATACGTCACGTCCATTGTCAACCTTCTTTCTTGGCTGGCACCGCACGCAGCTTCTTCTCAAGAAAAAGGTGGCGAAGGCAGTCACGTACATCGGCCCTCGCAAAGGCCAATCGCTGAAGGCGCTGATGGGCTTTCACTCATCCAAGGCGGACGGCATGATGTACGGCATGTCTCCCTCGGAAGGCTGCTTCTTCCGGTGGAAGCTGGTGCAAACTATGAGCAGAAGATTAAGATTCGCCACACTCTCTAGAGCCACAGTAGATACCTACGTGTCGTGTGACTCACGCATTTAGGTCTCCAAAAAATCGTACAAGTATCTTCTTAAACATCGAAGTAATTCGAGCGGGGAGGGCGGGGGAGGGATTCATCATCGAGCATGGCCTTCGTCGTGTGTACCCTACAGTAACAGTTAGCACGCAGGCCTTTCGCACGTGGATGTAGTGAGACAAATGATCTCGACTACTCCCGAACTTGCAATCAATATGTTTCCTCTACCGAAGAATACATGATTCATCTTCCAATCCTATCCTGATTGGCCGTTAAATCAGGTCAAAGCCGAAAGCAGTGTCTTAATTGGGCGCCATGACGACAGTATACTAGGCCTGGGCTTCCAGGGGGCATCGGCCTTTCCCAGTCGACGAAACGCCCCCTCTAATGATGGCGGGATTGATGTCGCTGGGCGGGCTGGGAATGTGCAAAAGCTTGAAGACAGAAGCGAAAAAAAAAACGTCTACGAGAGCGACGGCAGCTGCACTGCCGTGGTGGGGACGACTTGCAAAGAGCTTGAAGGAACAGGACTAGAAAGCGACGGCGACAAACGACCAACAGACCAACGCGGTAGTCATGGTAGTATGGGCGGGGTAGCAGAGATCCACAACAGCGACACAGAAGCATCAGAGGAGGACACGAAAGAGGAGGAGGAGGGGGGGCAGGAGGAGGAAGAAGGGAAAGAGGAGGAGGCCGGCTTTGGGTTGGTGGTCCTATCGGCAAGCATGAACGGTGTCATCAGGGCATGGGAGACGCTCGGAAAGAGCGAGAAGTACTGCATGCGGCATTCAGGAGGCGTAGAGGTGACAAGCATGCTCGTACTACCGGGAGGGTCTGTCTTAGTCACAGGTATGATAAGAACGCGCTGGCTAGTGTGACTGACACCAATACATTCGCACGAACGTGGTTGTTCCCGGTTCCGAACGCAAAATATTCCAAATAGCGGGGGGGTTCTTCGAAAAGTGCAGGCCACAGTCCAAGGTACACAATGCTTTGTCAGAGGGAGAATCGTCCCACAATACGGGTGTACGTAGTCCGTAAGAGAGAAGCAAACAGCGTAGGGACAATAGAGGCCACAACGATATCGTTGAGACGCCCAATAAGTATTTTCATGGTGGGCGTTGAGTGATGCTTTTCACTGCCTCAAACTGTAACACATTCGGTTGATGGCGTTCCTTTTACCAGGAACGGACGACGGAAGCGTGAGGTTCTGGCAACTAGACACAGGGGCAGGAGAATCATTTCAAGCTCACGACAATACCGTCAGTGCTCTTGCGGCGTATAGGGATCAACTGGGATCATTGGTGCTTGCCAGTGCGGGCTTTGAAGGCGCGATCATCATTTGGAGAGCGCATGCGAAGGATGGCTTGAAGAAAGATCGAGTGAGGAAGCGCAGGTCGCAAAGTTATCGCGTTGACGGCAGTTGTTCGCACGTTTCTCGTGCGCCCGTGTATCGCTTTGACGGCAGTTGTTCGCACGTTTCTCGTGCGCTCGTTTCCCGAGCGCCTGTGTAACGCCTGTCACACAATGCCCCGACCATGCATCCTCTGTGATCCAAGCACCAAGCAGTGTTGACCAACCCATGGATCTTGCTTGTTCTATTTCTAAGCCTCTATGTACCACCCTCCATGAACAGGTGCCCACGGTAGATTATTGCGTTCGTGACGCTCATGGGGCCTTGGACGGATTGGACGGCGAAATCCTTTGTTTGGCTTTCGTTGCTTCAGATGTGCCGGTGTTGGCCAGCGCGGGCAATGATCGCGTTGTGCGATGCTGGCGCCTCCGGGAGCGTACGTGCATCTTACTGCTGGTGCTAGAGGTGAGCACTGACCTGATTACGTGCGACACGCTCGTGGTGATACTGAACCACCATTCGGGCGCAGTTTGAATAGCAGAATTTGTCGTTGCAATGGGTCCTTCGACTTCACGTACTCTGACACGTTCGCCCTCTGTTGTACTTCCCCCGTACAGGGCCACGAGGATTCCATCGAAGCGCTAGTTTCTGACGGACTTTTCCTTTTCAGTGGAAGCTGTGATGGGGCCGTTCGAATATGGAATGTTTCCAATCTTGGGCACGAAGGTGTGTTAGAAATTTGAGTTTGGTTATGTGTTGGCGGCTTTGAATTGATTGTTGGGCGAATCCCGTACCTTTCTCCTTGTCTAGCGGGCTCTTAAGGTATCACTGCACTCCTGTTGGATAAGTTGAACTACTTTACACCTGGGGCGCGACTCGTGCGTCTTTTCTTACTACACACAGACAACGTCAGTCTTGGAGACAATAGCAGGCATCGAGGTGAAATGGGACGAACGGAAACTATGATGGTGGGGGCTTTCAAGGCGCATCCGAACGGAGTTTCTGGCATGGCCGTCATGACCAGCGAGCGAAACAGCCGTGTTGACGTCGTTTACGCAGGACGAGAATCACAAGAGGCGGGAGGGTTGATCGCGACTTGTGGAAAGGCAGAGGGGATCGTTAAAATATGGGATTACACGCATGTGGAAGATGACGGTACCTGCGGAAGGTAGGGTTAGGGTTTGGAACGGCCAACAGCTTGATTGGTGTGTCGGTGTCAACCGGTTCGGAGATGCACGAATAGCTCGTCCACGTACATAATACTGTAGCTTAGCCTCGCGAGGTATACAGAGGACACTCTCCAAGCTTGGGGACCCGATAATTGCCTGGCGCAAAGAGCTTGGTTGAGGGTTTCACGCTTGTGTGTGCATCTGTACCGTCCAGATCGTGTACACACAACACAACACAATAAAATGAACTTTCCTCTAAACTCCTCCTCGTTCATCGCCCGGAATCCCGTACCCTCGCAATAGGCTCATCACCGAGTTTCGTTCTCAGGATGAGTCACTTTTCAACTGCGTTGCGTGCACCCAAGGCACTTCGGGGAAGCCCTTATTGTTCGCCGGCACCAACGAGGGCAGCATACTCCAGTTGGCTTTCAGTGGCATCGAGGAGGGAAGCATAGAAGATGAACGCGAGGATGGACGACCTAAAATAGTAATTTAGTCTAGGTCCTTCATTGGCCGATTTTTGTACAAGTCGTAGTCAGACGCCGGGCTGCCCAGAAAGAAAGGCCAATACCACCGTAGCGCCGTCGGGCACGGCGAGCAAAGGAATTAGTTTAGTCGGGAGAAACACTGCTTGTAGTAACTCGATACTGATGACCTTTTGAATTCTGAATTCTCCGTCGTCTGTGAAAGAGATTCCTTGTAGAATCGTAGTATTCAGTTGGAGGGCAGTTTTGCCTGGCCGCGGTTCTCTGCGGTTGCAGTTGGGGTATTTTCGTATTTTCGGCGCTACAGCCCCGGTGTGCCCCCCTCCCCCCGGTGTCGTCGGTGTTTGTCCGTTGTCGTGTTTTGAGTCCTCCGCTGCCCCGTTTACACGCACGCACATTATTCAACCAGCCAACTCTTCGTCCATGTGTCCGTACAGATCATTCATGAACTCCTCCGCTCCCCGCAGCACCCCGTCCGTACGCCCGCAGAAGTCTTCCTATCGGTTATTTGGTGACACCCCATGAATAGTCTCCTCTACAGAAGTTCTACCGTACTGCTGTAAGGTACATGTATACTGCTGTACATCACATCAATCATCAGTCTCGCTGTACGTTGATGTGACAACACCCCGTAGCTACACTTACGTAGAACAAGCTTACTTCATCATTGTGATTTTTTCGCGTTGAAAAAACTGAGCGGATGTTCCGAAGAGGATATATATATATCTCTCTTTTTGTCGTTTGACCCCGACCCTTGCTTAACCCTTTTCTTCAGTCAGGGAGGCAAGGCGGCTCAAGAAGGTTTAATTAAGGAATAATAAAAACACACACAGAAAGACTACCCATTCGAGATATACCCACAGTCGAACGGGATGTGGTGGAGTCTTAGTCTTTTCAGTGAGTGGAGCGAAACCGGCTGGGTACTGGACTTATTTCGAGATACACTGATGATTTATGGGCGCGAATATTTGCAATCCATGGATTATAGAAGAGAACCACAGTCCAAACATCCAGACGGATCGAAACCCCGGGAAACCGCCCGGAGTGTCCCCGAAGAGGTTCTTCTCCCTCTCCTATAAAAGCAGCGATAATCACGGCGGCGGAGAGCCGTCTGAAGGCGGCGACACGCACCCGCACGCTGGGGGAAGACGAGGAGACAACACACAACGATAACTGGTGAGATCCCGTCCCGACAGGCGTCCGTGCATCCTCTGTGTCTGTGCCTCACCCTCACCCTCTCTGTGATGTTTTTTTTGGAAATAAAATAGCAACGGCCGCACCCGCACCAGCGCCATGTGTGTGTTGGTCTGTCTCCTGTGTTGCAGCCTCCCTCATGCTGTCCCACGTGTCGATGCTGCTCTGTACCTGTTGTTGCCGTCGTACGTACGTTGGTGATCATGTGCCTGCACTGGTGTGGTCAGGCCAGGCCAGGCCCTGCCTGTTGTCCTTGCCGTATAGTCCGGAGTCTTTTCTTCTGGCTGCTCGGCTGTATGGTGGTGCTACAGCAGTGCTGGGCTGGTAGAGGTGCAGGCATTGTGCACGCACTTGCCCAACCCCTTAACTTCATGTGTCTACCCTCCATGTTCGCGTCGTGGGACCCGTGGCCTGCCGTGCGGTAGTGTCATTGCTAGGAATGCTTCCATCCAGTGCTGCTCTGTCGGCCTCTTACGGTGCTCGTCATGCTGGCGCTGCGGGAGCCTTTGCGGGCTACCCTGTACAAGCCCACCCCGTACAGCAACAACAGCAGCAGATATTGACCACCAGCCCTCCGCCGGAAACGCAGGCGAGACGGGTTGATGTTTGACAAGTGCGGTTCGACGTGACACCGGCAATGTTTGTTCCGTGGGTGTAGCACGCCAGTGGATTGTCGCTGCTGTGCTGTACCTCGTGCCTTTCAACGCGTGCACGTACGGTTCGCTGTTTTCGTGTACTCAGCGGTGGACGGCGAAACGTTTCATTTGTCTTGTCTGTGGATCAAACGTGGACAGGGGGTCCTTCCATTCCGCCGCGTGGTGGGTTTGGCGTGCGGTGGCAGGCCATGCTTTCACCTGGCACTGGTCTGCCGTTGGGAACTCCGGCCCCTGTGGGTGCTCCGGATGCGGGGGCCGCCGGAGGTTTTGCGGGCTACCTTGTACAAGCCCACCCCGTACAGCAACAACAGCAGCAGACATTGACCACCAGCCCCCCGCCGGAAACGCAGGCGAGACGGGTTGGTGCTTGACACGTGCCGTTCGGCGTGACACCCACAATGTTTTTTTGTGTGCTTTACTTGATGTTGCTGCTGCTGTTCCCCTTGGCCCCATGAAAAGAGCACCGGTATCTGGCATTCCCCCGGTCCACATCAAGGCTCCCTGTAGAGGCCCTGCCATTGTTTCCGTGGGTGTAGCACGCCAATTGATTGTCCCTGCTGTGCTGCACCTCGTGCCTTTCAACGCGTGCACGTTCGGTTCGCTGTTTTCGTGTACTCAGCGGTGGACGGCGAAACGTTTCATTTGTCTTGTCTTGTGAATCAAATATGGGGCAAGGAAGATTGAACTCGTTGGAGTAGGTCTACAGTGGCTCCCGTCGTATCCCACGGTTTGTCATGGTTGGTAGTCATGATGCCGCATGACGAACGGCCCTTGAAGCGTGGTACTGCTGTCGCCTCCACATTGTTACCCTGTTTGTCTGTGACACGCCACTTATTTTTGTGCTCCCGGCTCTCCCATACGGCGCAGGTCATGGGATGAAGCCAAAAGAGGTGACGAAAGCAATGAAGGCGTTGCACGAGGACAGCGACATCGACATCAACAAGCGCGCGGTGCAGAACGCAGCTGCCATTGTGCACGGGGCGGAGAAGCCGAGAGATGCTGCCGATGCGTACGAAGAGGTGTGTCCATGTGTCCGTTGAGACTGTTGCCTCTCTTGTTTGTGTGTGGGATGTTGGGTTTTGCTCAAGGCGGTATCCGGGCGACAAGACACATACGATCGCAGGTGACAACCGGGAGAATATATGCCCCATGACACCAAACCAAGAAATGTTGGAGGTAAAAAATGTGTGCCGTGCCGTCGTCGTGGTTTTGCGCTGATGCCCTCGATGTTTCCGGGCGCTTAACATGTTGCAATTTCAGGTCATGGCCGCGACGGCCGACGGCGGAGTGTGCGAGATCAAGATGGATGACAGCGGCCGCCTGACGCACATCTGGTGGCAAACGAGAGAGCAGGTAGGTCGCCGGTCGTTGTGCCCCATACGAATATTCCCCAGCCGGAAGGTTTGCTTTCATTTTAGCATCTCGCACGTACCGCTTCGCCGTCCGCAAATGTAGGACGTCTGACCGAAAGCACGCCGTAGGCAAGGGTGGGGGTGCGTTGTGACGCGTCCAACACACGTCACACCCACAATTAAGTGCTCTCGATCCCCTTCGACGTCATGCTCCGAATACGCAGGTGGCGCTTTGGAATCGGTACGGTCACGTTGCGCTCTACGACGACACCGCTGTCAAGAACAGATACCGTATGCCTCTCGGTGTGCTCGCTGTCGTCGATTCGGAGTATCGGACGCGGATCGTCGGCCAAAGCATAACGGCCGACACCACAACGGACACTTTCCTGTGGATGTTGAAGAGTGCGTTGGAGTCTCGCGGGAAGCAGCCGGATACCTTCATCCAGGACGCGGACGCGGCGATGACGGCGGCGGTGCGAGAGGTGTTCCCGGACGCGCTGGCGAGGCGCAATTTATGGCACCTCAACCAGAACGTTATCAAGGCCCTCGCTAAAGTCCTTGGTGGGTACATGAAGGTGCGCTCTACTGTGTGTGTTGGCGTGGTTAGTCTGGCCTCTCGTATTGTCCTGGTCGCGCGACGTACGCTGCCCACTCTAGCCCCCCTCCCCCACTCCCGCTTGTATCCCCTGTGCGAGTTGGTGCGTTGTCATGGATCAGTGTCGCCTACTTGGAAGAGTGATATCCAGCGTCTCTGCGTAGACCGTGATGCGGAGACGACCTCGGCTTCGACGGAAACATACCTCACGACGTCCAGTGCACACAGAAAAAGCAGCAGCAGCAGCAGCAGGTTGTAAGCACCAATGGTATGTCGCTGAGTTTTTTCAACCCTCTCCTCGTCTCGCCTTAGCGCTAACGAAGTGTACGGGGTTGTTGGTGGCAGTCAATCGTACAGACCGGTAGCCCATATCGCAAAGGCCCCAACTCACGCAACACCCACCCGGCCCACGTCGTTTGTGTTTTCCGCAGCCTTTCATGGACGAGTTCAGGTGTGTGCGTCAGCAGCTGTCATTGGCGAAGTTCGAACGGAAGTTCAACGCCCTCATCGAAAAGTACCCGAAGGCGGAGAAGTACATGCAAGTAGTATATGACGACCGTGCACGGTGGGCGGAATATGTGTCGCCCCTGGTGTTCTCCGTGGGTTCGTGGACGACATCAAGAGTTGAAGGTGCGTGTATGCGTCATCTGCCATCATGAGCGTTTTGTTCGAGAACGACAGCGCATATAGCGTTGTCGTTGTTTTTGGGAGTTTTTCTACGTCTGTAGGGGTTGGGGGCGGCTATCTTCCTTGCCCCCTATTTACTATGCCATTGGTGAGTGCTTCTGGACGAATTTATCGTACGCCGTCAGTGGATGACCAGTAAACAACTCCCTACATGACGCTAATGTTTACGACCTCTTCGAAACATGTGGCTGTTGTCCGGCCCCTGTTGTTCGGGATTGATGTACTTGGTCGGTGCACTGCGATCGTCCGGCTCACGTGTACATACATCTGTGGCGATGGGTGCGTCAAGTCATAGGCTTCTCTTTCAGTCGTTTGGCGTACTGCGACTTCAACGATGTCTGATGACACCAATCACTAACCTACGGTTTGGTTTGTGTGTCGCTTCTTGCGTGTTTGTCCGCCGCACACACAACAGGCCAAAACGCCCTCATCAGGGATAGGTGCAACTCGCGCTCCTCGCTTTTGGACGTGGCGAAGTACTTTTCGGGCATCATCTGTTCCCAGAAGGATGCCGCCATGCTGCGTGACGCAATCGACCATCTGCCGCCTAATCGGATGGCGGCTCCACCAGCGACCGCTTTCAAGAGTGTGCTCGAGTCCTGCGAGTTCTCCATCGCGGGCTGGCCGCGGCGGTTCATGGAGCAAGAGATGACCGCGGCCATCACGTTTTGCCAGATGGGTGGTGGGGAGGTGGATGGACCAGAACGCGCGGCAGCTTCGGGGCGCACGTTCGAGTACATCGAGGACAAGCTTTGCGACGCCATTTACGTCTTCGGGATTCACGAGCAGCGTGATGACAAGGCCTTCGACTACCTCGTCTTGCTCTTTTCCGACGGCAGCCATCTCTGCCAGTGCCGCACACTCCAAACTCTCAGGCTATTTTGTCGCCATGTGTGGGCGGCGATGATGTACAGCCCCCGATTCAGATTCCACGTAGGCCTCCTGCACGAGCACTGGCTGACGGAAAAGGCGAGGGGAACACCGCAGCAGGACTGGCCGGATGTCGCCCGCCCTCGGTGGGTGGTATCCAACCGCCACGCTGCGAGAGAAGTGGACGGGGCGGCGGGAGAGGGAGAGGGAGAGGGGGTGGGGGGATGCAGCGGGAGGTGGAAGTCTTTCGTTGGGAGCAGCCAGACGGTGCAGACGGTCCTGTTGGACTTGAAGGAGAAGGGGCCCACGGACCAGGATAGACAAGTGTTGTACGCCGACGTAACGAAGAAGCTCGGGCAAGCCGCGAGTATTTTGTCTGATCGCTTTTCACCGACAGTCGCCGTAGCCCTCGTGGACCAATTTCTGACGATGGTCAATGTGCAAGCAGGCGGGGTAGGAACTACAACGACGGGAGGGCGGGGGGCGGCTCTCTTCATGGCCAACCCTGGAACTGTTCGCCTGCCCGCTAGGACAAGTAATAAAAGACGACCTGGCGCTGCAGAAAGATACACAAGAGGGGGTAGCAAGAGAGCCGCGACTTCGGGGTCCCAACTCTAGTTTCGGTGTTGCATACTTTGGGGTACGTGAGTAGCGGTACGCGGCCCTAGGTTTACGACGTCACCGGGGCATATGCCTGAACGATGTTTTGTCCCCCCCCGGCGGCAGGTCAAGGCTCGGTGTGTTGTTTATTTTTCGCTTCGGCGTTTTTGCGCCGATCGCCGTCTGTGATGTTGTCGATTTTGTGTTTGTATGTCTATTTGGTTGTTGCGGTGTAGCGTTCGATGGGGCCATCTGGTTCCTGTCCTGTTTTTATTTCTTTTGTTCCATTTCCTTTTCTTTTCTTTCTTCCGCCCCCTTTTTTGCCGTGTTGGGGTCATATCCAGGTCCTTTCTTTTTTTGGTGGGGGTCAGTCTATCATCAAATCGCTGTTGGATATTGATTGTTCTGTTTTGTTTTTTTCTGCGTCTATCTGTGCTTGTCGACCTGTGTTATATCTACCAAAAAAAGAATACTGCTGTATGTAGTTCACAAAATCTACAGCAACAATTGCTTGCAGCAGCAGAAACGCACAACAACAGCAGCACCACACGCGGATAGACACACACACAGAGAGAGACGAGCACTCCTCTAAGTACGGGGCGTTGTGTGTCGTCGTGTCCTCCTGTTCCTCTGAGGCCTAGCGTCTCCTGGGCATCCCGGGTGCGAAGGGTGGCCTTGGCGTGAAATATGTGCCAGTATGGCAGTATGGACTGTTGAGGCTGTTGCTGCAGACGAGAGCTCTGCTTCCGAAGACAACGGGCGTTAGATCCAGGCTCCGAGATAATATTGAATTTGAGAGGGAGAGAGGAGAACCTCTTCGGGGACACTCCGGGCGGTTTCCCGGGGTTTCGATCCGTCCGGATGTTTGGACTGTGGTTCTCTTTTATAATCCATGGATTGCAAATATTCGCGCCCATGATTTATACCAGTGATGCCAGCTGGTGCTAAGTACAAAAACATCTGTATAGGTAACTTACATTTTACAAAACATCCCCTGTACTTCTCTACTGGGTCAACGACAAAATATCGGGGAGAAACCCTCCGTTGTGTCGTGTATTGTAAAATGTAAACGTTGCGAGAGACGAACTACATGTAACTGCTGCAACCTTGGAAAAAAAAATGCAGCCGTTTCAGAAAAAACGCCCACTCTGGTTTCATAAAACCCTCTCTCTCCGGTCACGGTACTCCAGCCGCGGGGCGGCGCAGGGCGCCAAGAGAGCACGTTCAAAGCCATGCATCGCTCAACCAGAAGAGCAGCAGCACTTTGCTGCTGCGGGGTAGCGGTGTCCTCGGGCGTTTTGACCCCGGATCTGTTACCTGAAACCGAACTGATCACAAATTGCTACAACTTTCCCGAGGGAAATTTTCACAAGGGAAACTCCGTCAGGGACATCTATGGGACTAGCCCTCACCTCGTCCGTGACCTCGGGTCGCCGGCGGTGGACTTCACGTTGCACGACCTGGATGGTAACCGATGGAATCTTGGCGAGGTTTTGGCAGCAGGAGAGGGGAAGCCGGTAGTCCTGATTTTTGGGATGTGGACATGCCCAGCGTACCAGGGACTTGACGTTATCGAGGGATCAGGCAACACATGGTCCTATTGGGATGAGCATACTCTGGTGAGAGACAAGCGCGTTTAGTGCTGGCGTGCGAAGCAGCTGATGATCGCGCTCTGTGGGTCGGGAAGTCTAAGCAAAAGCCATGGAACCGTGGACGCAACGCAAAAATACACTCGTGCAGGACACCACACCAACTTTTCTCCGCTACATCCAGCAGGGTGGGTACCGTCCGTGTCTCCCATGGTTTGGGATACCACCCCCCTCTGCATTTTCGATATTCCAACCTCGATTCCTACTGCTGTGGTAGTACAGAGTAGAGTCCCGAGTACCTACAACATGCGTCTGAAGGAGAATTTCTTCACAACACGACCTTTTGAAGCATTGATCCCTGCCCGTCGCAGGGCGGTAGAACACCGTCACAGACGGGCTGTAATATCGTTCCTCACAACAAAAACGCGTTGTAAAAGGGGGATCGCGTTTCGCAGAACCTAACGGATCAGCTTGGATTTAGAGGAGAGGATTTGCTCAAAAACAGGTTTTAAGGGGGGGGGGGGGCGGGGGGTACTCATAGTCGTGCATGACGAAGTCGTTAGACCATTGACCTCGCATCCCTACAAAGCCGGGACGGAGCATGCCGGGTTCTCACCGGACCAGGCTCTCACATCACCAAGCGCAAGCGCCGTGAGGTATTCGGCGAGTCGCATGAAGGGTGTTCGGCATCTTGTGCTTACTTCCTTGCGTACGGATGACAGCTGCGTATGACTTTATTTTTTTTCTGGTGCTTTCACTTCCAGAGACAGTTACAAGCACTGTGTAGCTGCCTCGAGTGTGCTTGACCAATTTAACACAACGTGGTTCGATCATCCCCCTTGCGCGGAGTGAGGTTTCTCCACCCCGCACAACATGATCTACTCGACCACCATGGTTACCGCAAAAAAAAAAGAGGTAAAAAGAAAACGGTAACCTGGTTGCCGAGTTCACAAAGTGAATTGGCTTCTTTTACAACGTCGTTGCCAAGCGACGAAAACTCAACCCCGATGGCAAACACCGGGGGGGGCGGCTTGTTTTACAACGTCGTTGCCAAGCGACGAAAACCCAACCCAGATGGCAAACACCGGGGGGGGGCAGCTTGTTTTATAACGTCGTTGCCAAACGACGAAAACCCAACCCCGATGGCAAACACCGGGGGGGGCGGCTTGTTTTACAACGTCGCTGCCAAGCGACGAAAACCCAACCCCGATGGCAAACACCGGGGGGGGGGGGGGGGGGGAAAAAAAAAACCAAAAAAAAACTTTTTTTTTAAAGGGGCCCCCCCGTGAAAAACCCGGGAAACCCCCCAAAAAAATGGAAAATTTTTGCCGGGGGGGGGGGGGGGGGGGGGGGGGGGGGGGCCCCCCCCGTTTTTTTTTTCCCTCACGGGGAAAACCCCGGCACCCCCCCCCCCAAAAAAGAAAAAATTTTTCCCCCCGACCCCACCCCCCGGGGGGGCCCCCCCCTCCCCTTTTTTCCCCCGGGGGGGCAAAAAAAATTTCCCCCCCACATTAATAAAAAAGGGGAAACCTCCCCCCCTTTTTCCCCCCTAATAAAAAAGGCCCCAAAAAAAAACCCCCCCTTCCCCCCTTTTTT